AGCACTGAACTCACAAGTGTGAGAAAGAGCTGCCTGGACATCAATAAGACCTCATATACATATACATTTCCTCATGTGAAAATTGCATAAGTATCTAGTCATACATAAAACAACCAAGAGATTTCAGGCTGATCCTTAAGGACCTCACAAAGTTCCACCTTAAAAAGTCCCTGTCAAGTAACCCAGAGTAATAAGTCCATACTAGTAAGCAGTGACTGGTTGGATTACAATAAGGGGCAGAGACTAACTCCGTTCAAAATCCTCACTATGTTCGTTTACCATTCCTTGTAAGGCCAGTCATAAATCAGACCATCTCTACTACATACTTAGTAGCACAGACTTTTGCTGGATCTGCAGAAACATATTATAATAATTCAGTCAGATTGTGCTTGCTTATTCAGTGTGTTGTCCTACGTGTAGCATACCTAGCCTCTACAATTATATTAAAGGCTCTATATAAATGCATATGGTGAAAATGGTCCTAAGGGATAGTAGGGGTTCTCATACTACTTGACCTAATATAACATAATTCTTCTCACTTCATATGTTCTGTGGCCCCACCATCGGATGGCCTATATGGAATATATACCTAACTATAAATTATAATGGTCACCCCACAGTTCTTAAATATGGCTCCCTGCAAATACGATGGAGTCTTCCCACTAACCAAGATGGATTTTAGCATATGAGGGGGCACAAGCTGTCCCAACAGCATCCCCTCACATTTGGTGATATTATCTGCCTTGGAACAAAATATTACTATGTGTCAAGGTAAAATGTAATAGTTTCTTGACAAATGAGTTGTGTACTGATAGTGATGGATCTCATCTATCCAGAAAGGCATCTACATGTGTGAGGCCTACTTCATGGGGGTTCTAACTGTATAGGCCTTCAACATCAAGGCTGCATAAAAGTGTATCCTAGTGGATAGATTCCAATAGTCTAAGGGTCTGCTTGGTATCCCTCAAGTTTGATGGCAGTGTATTTACTATATCCCTCAGGATGTGATCTACACACATACTTGCTTTCTGGGTCAAGTTGTTCCTCCCAGAAACCATACGTCTCCCTGTTAATATCGGTCGTTGTTTGTGGATCTTAAGTAGTGAAATAAATTTAGCTATCTTTGGGTTCTTAATGAACTTAAAGTCATATTCAACCTGTGTTTTTAACTTTCATTCTGTAGCTTCATTTAAAATTGATTTAAGTTCCAACTGATATCTCTTAATGGGGTCTGTATCCAAATTTGATATGACTCACTATCCCCTGTTAGTCTTTCAGCCATCTCAACATACTGGGTACTCTCACTACTCATCACTACCACATTTTCCCCTTTATCGGATAGCTTTATTACAATTGAATCATTGCTACTAAGTTGTGTGCGAGTTTCGTTCCTGTAGTGTAATGTTACTATTGGGTTTTAAAGTCAAGTCCTTAGAGGTAACTTTATCAATCTCTCTGAAAGTCAGCTCTAGGAAAAGGTCAATATGTTTAAATTCTGCTAAGTGAGGTGGAAATTCACTCTTTTTTTAGGTTAGTAAATGGTGATTCAGTATAACCAGGCCTTTCGTTACTAATCAGGATGTCCACAGGAGTGTTTAGGAGAGTAATATCACTATTGTCAAGAACCAAGTTTTTAATCCTTTTTTCAATGCATATTTTGTGGAATTTATAAAGGGCTAGTTTTCTTGCAAAAAGATGTATGTCCTTTGCTCAGCAGAACTTAAATTAAAGTTACATTCTGTTATTGGTACAAAGGACAACCCCTTGTGTAAGATTTGGAGTTCAGGAGGGGAAATTGTGGCCAAATTCACCACTTGATGGTGAGGGGTTGCTAAAATCTTCTCCGGCAATTGCATTGGGTTCTTGAACGTCTCCTTGTCCTAGGAAGTGGGGTATCTTCCAGGTTTGGTCTTCCTAAAAAGACACACTCTTTTTCAGGATGCTTTTAGAGTTGAGGTCAGCAAAGGAAGAGGGAATTTCTATGTTAGTCTCAGATTCAGACCCACTCTTATAGTATTCCGAGGTAGACTGTTGGTTCGAGTCAACCCATCAATTTCTCTTAAATCTCCTATAAATATTCCTAGATTTAGAATCCAGGACATCTCTCACAAACTTAGAATGTTTACGTATTTTAATTGTAGTTTGGAATTTGTCCAATTGATTTTTTAACTCAAGCTCAAGTGAGTCCAAATTCGGGTCCCCTTTAAACTTTTGTATTTTACCTACCTCCTCCTTTATTTCTTAAGTTTTTCAGGTCACCTTTTTTCGATTACATAAGATTTTCATAAATCTTTTAGAGCAATTTCCTGCTGCTTCCTCCCATTCTGCAATAAACCTCTGTTCCTCAATGTGAGAAGCAGGTATGTTTTGCACCCTCAGTCCTCTCACAAGTGAAGCTGTCTTCCAGCCTGTTTTTACTTATTTAAATAAATTTGTAAGGCTATTGAAAGAGGATGTAATATCAAGATTTAATGAGGAATATGTTAGATTTTGATCCGAGAAGACTGAGCCTACATCTGAACACCAAGAGTTAATATTGGACTTATTAGATAAAAAAACCTGGCAAAAAAGTAGGCAAAAAAATAAATTTAAAAAAATGAGAAAAAAAGCACAAGTGTGAGGAAGGGCTGCCTGGACATTAATATGACCTCATACAGATATACATTTCCTCATGTAGAAATCGCATGAGTATCTAGTCATTCATAAAACCACCAAGCCCTATCCGGCTGATCCTTATGCTGTGATTCCCACCTCGATAGATAAAAACTATAAGTAGTAATGAAGTGGGAGCACAAGAACAAAACAAATAGGCCATTGCTCCCAATAAAATGACAATAAGTTATTGGTATATTAATATCCAGGGAGCACTTTATCACACGTGTGATTTCAGTGATTTTTTTTCTTATTTTCAAGCAAGATACTAACCTCGTCAACCAAATATCCGATGGTAGATGAAATCTGTTAACAATTAAATTCAATAAAAACATATCCCAAATTCACAAAAATACTAAATATCACCCAAGAGACAACTAAAAAATTATAATCAAAATACAAGAAGGCTAATTGTGTTATTTAAAATATTTTGTCATCACTTCTACTACTAATTGGATTTTTAAAAATGTATATTTATTATATTATATATATTTATTTTTAGGGAACACTCCAAGAACCATAGCAACTTGTGGTTATGGTTCTAGGACGGTCTGGGCGCCATCTTATCTTTTTTTGGTTGAACTGTTTACAAAGTTGTGAAGATCGAGCTTATCTACTCATACCCCTGGTTTCTGGAAATGTCTGCGGCTTCAGTGAAGAAGGCGAGAGAAAATGAATTCAAAGTGAATTGCAAATTTAAGGCCAATGTAGCCAAACAGGGAGCACAAAAGACTTGGAGGATGTTTCCAGTTTGGCTATTTTGACCTTCGATTTGAAATCTACATTGATTACACTTTGAACTCCCCATACTTCTCACTTTACATGTGTATGTGTATATGTCTGTGTTTATATGTTTGTATTTGTGTGTGTCAGTGTGGGTATCTGTGTATAAGTGTGTATCAGTGTCATTGTGTATGGCCATATAAGTGTACGTCATGTATACATCACAGCATTCCACACTACATACAAACACACCATAAAATCAAATGCCAACACTGCATGCAAACACCCCCCCACAAGCAAACGCCAACCCTACATGCAATCAAATGCCAACACTACATACAAACACACCTCTGAATTAAAATGGCATCATTATATACAAACACACCCCTGCATTCAAACACCAGCACTACATTCAAATACAGCCAGTGGCGTACATATAGGGGTCGCAGCTGCGACGGGGCCTGTCATTCCAGGGGGCCCGACCGCCCTGCGGACCCCTGCGACCGGGTACCAGCCACCATGTTTTGCGGCCCCGGCCAGCACTACAAACCGCCGGGGCAGCACGTTCAAGGGGCCCATCGGGTGGTCCATGTTGTTAGGGCTATGGATTTCCAGGGGGCCCCGGTCAGTGCAACCGGGCCTCCTGTGATGAGATTGGGGCAGTCACTTCCTCCCAGTTATCAGAGAGCCGCGCAGGAGGAAGGAGAGGGAGTCAGAGTGTATGTGTGTATGTCTGTCTGTCTGTGTGTATGTGTCTGTGTGTGTATGTATGTATATGTCTTTGTATGTATGTGTGTGTATGTGTGTGTGTATCTGTGTGTGTGTGTCTGTCTGTATGTGTGTCTGTATGTATGTTTCTTTGTATGTATGGGTGTCTTGTGTGTGTGTATGTGTCTGTATCTGTCTGTTTGTATGTGTCTATGCGTGTGTGTCTCTATGTATGTATGTGTGTCTGTATGCGTGTGTGTGTCTGTCGGGGGAAGGAGTGGGAGGGGGGCAGGTGGAGAGTGGGGTTGGGGAGGCCCATTGATCAGCTTGGCACCGGGGCCCCATGGATTGTGTGTACGCCACTGAATACACCCATGCATTGAAGTGCACTACACACAAGTACACCACTTATTTCAAGTGGCAACACTACAAACAACTCTATTCAAATGCTAACACTACACACAAATAGTTCACACACACACACACTTCATACATGAACATGCTTACATTCAAAAACACAAAAAATGCTCATAAATAAAACCCACCTAGGATGGGCAAATGGCAGATCCCAGCTTGTAATGTATCATGAGATGTACAGCAAATTGAAGTTTCTTGCACCAGGACCCTCTCTGCATTACCGAATCAAGCCTATGCTTCAAATCTAATACTGAGTCCTACGACCAGTTGCATTTATAAAACAATTTAACTCTTACATAAAGTGTCCTGATTTTAACATGAGGCTAATTTATTACATGTAAGAACCCACAAGCAGACTGTGTAAAACTACATACATTAAAGTTTCAGGAATGAGCCTGCAGCAAGTATAACCGCCACTAGTCGGCGCAGGGAGCCTTGGTCTGTGGGTGTCAGGCAGCAGGGAGTGTAAAGGTCTGCCCCATGCTGGGTGCGGGTAGTCAGGACAAGGTCTGCCTGGGAGCTGGTTATAGTACAGCAGTGAGCTCTTTGGAAAAAGCTGGGACGGTGTGCTTTCTGCTGAGCAGTTGGAGATCACAGAAAGCTTGCAGAGGACGTAACATGCACTGGGTAACTAGACAATCTGTAACTAATCCCTTATATAGACTTTGATCATTGGTTTACTGCATATCATTTACCATCAGATACAGACAGAACCTTTGACATCTGAAGGTTCTATTTCAATATCACTGCGGTAACAAGCTCACCAGGTTTATTCAACTTTGTGATACTTCTACTGTTTGATTTTTACTCTAGATTTACAAAAAATTTTTTCCTTTTTTGTCAACTAAAATACTTTTCTATTTATTTTTTTACAAAAAGAAAATCTGATATTACTTTTTAATTTATTGATATTTTGCTATATTTGTTGTTACATCCAAAATATGTATATATGACACCAATGCCTGAAGACAGGATTTAGTCAACCTTTTAATACCTACCATCCACTTTTGTAACTTTGTTGATAACATTTCACCAGTGCTGCAGTAACTAATTTTATAGATCAAGTACAATGTTTTTTTTAAATATGTACTGTATTTTATTAATTTTTTTCCCTTTTTTCTATTTTCTATTCTACTTTTTTCTATGTGTGTTTGTGAGGTGCTTTGTGTGTGAAGGGTGTAGTGTGTGAGAGATGCAGTGTGTGTGAGAGATGCAGTGTGTGTGAGAGGTGCAGTATGTGTGAGGGGTGCTGTGTATGTGTGAAGGGTGCAGTATGTGTTTGACGGCTGCTGTGAAGGGTACTGTATGTGTGTGAGAGGTGCTGGGTGTCTGTGAGGGGACAGTGCATGTGTGAGGTGGGCAGTGCGTGTGAGGGGTGTAATGAGTGTGAGGGGCAGTGTGTGTGAGGGGGGCTGTGCGTGAGGGAGTAGTGTGCGTGAGGGAACAGTGTGCATGAGGGAGCAGTGTGCATGAGGGGGCAGTCTGTGTGTGTGTAAGGGGGTAGTCTGTGTGTGTGTGTGTGTAAGAAGTGTAGTGTGTTTGGTGGCAGTGTGTGTCTGTGAGGGGTATAGTGTGAGGTGTGTAGTATGTGTGTTGCTGTGTGCGTGTGTGAAGGGGCAGTACGTGTGTGAGGGGGCAGTGTGTTTGAGGGGTGTAATGTGTGTGAGGGGGCAGTTTGTGTGTGATGGGGGCTGTGCATGAGTGAGTGTGAGGGGGCAGTCTGTGTGTGGGGGGGTGTAGTGTGTGTGAGGGGACAGTATGTGTGTGTGAGAGGGGGGCAGTGTTTGTATGTGAGGGGTGTAGTGTGTGTTAGTGTGTGAAGGGTGCATAGGGTCTATGCTGTGTGTAGGTGGGTGAGATGTAAAAATCTATCTTAATGTCTCCCCCTCCCTTCTTCTTACCTTTTAGCAGGAAGGGGGAGCTAATGCTGCAAGCCCTGGTGGTCCAGTGGTGGCATGTTAACTTTAGGCTGCAGGCTGACTCTACTGTCCTCCTGCTGGCACAGCACTGTATCGGAACGTTGCCATGGTAATGCACGGCAAAGCTCCGACCAGCCTGCTCGCGAGAGAAAGTGCCAACGGGCCAGTGAGGGAGATCTTTGAGCCCTTGAGGGTTTACAGCAAGGCTGGCTATGCATGGGCGTCCTTTCATCTCCCCTGCTGGCCTTGGTCTGTGGCCATCGAGGACCACTGGGCATTTTCTGCATTACCCACCATCTGAAATCCCAAACTGCCCACTAGTGGGGGGTAGGGACCAGATTGACCACACCTGCCTGAAGGTGTATATATTCTGATAATTATAATAAAACATGGTTTAATGTAATGACCAGTAATTTGCAGAACACGCCACTAGCAGTTAGTGGATAATATCTCTACTGTAAATGACTGTGGAGGGACTCTTGTGGTTTAGGAACTGTGGAGAGAATTGATTTAAAAGGACAGATTATTTTATTTATATAATTATATAATTTCATTTACAAAGTAATGGGTACTGGTCTTTTAAATGCTTACCACTAATTAATTCTGAAAACTGTAACTGGTATTCAATGGACTACTTTGTTATGTTTCATAAAAGCATATAGTTTGTTTGATTTTTTTTAAATCTGTGACTAATTCTCTAACATAGCACAACGTCGGTTGTTGTAACTTAATAAATAAAAAAATAGAGAGAGGTAGATGATACGTAACAATAAAATAATTCCAGCATGTGGTTCTACGAACATATTAGGCTATATGACCAAACCCAAGGATGGCATTATTTTATGTATCTGTTATGTTATATGATTTAAAGATAAGGTTCCTTTAATCTTCGGCCAGCTTGCCTGAGATTGTTGGGCGTTATACTGCTGGGCAGCAGCTGTTTTTTGAGGCTGGTGTCTATAATTCAGCACTAATCCTTTTAGTGATAAGTTGGTAGAGAAGCTGGGGAGACAGTAAGATTGTTGCTCCCCAGGCCCTCTATAATCATACCAATTTCAGGGGTGGGTCTGAATTATATCAGGAGCTGCCCATTAGTGTAATTAACACTAATTATAGACAGACCACAACCTGTATTACGGGGAAATGAAAGCCTTGGAAGCGTCCTGTAGCCATAATCTATGAGTAAAAGGTGGAATGTTTATGAATTGTTTCCAATTCCCCAAAAATGTCACATTGTCCCCAACATTGGGAGGTATGGATATGGAATTGAGATGGGATCTTCTTATTCCGGGAGAACTTCCTTGTTTTTTGCAGCTTAACATCAGATATAGGCAGAGCAGGCAACTTAACGTACGAGCCATCTGCTTCTCTCTAATTTTATCTTCTGTTCTCCATTGTTACCTGGATTTTAATGCAGTGTACAGCCCTGCCTTTCAAGAGAGATAAGCTAGTAAAATTAAGTTTCTATCATAGATAATTGTGTAGTTCTCTGTTACTGTCCCATGTTGCTATAAACACATACAGATGTAAAGAAAATCATAATCCACACTGATAACAATATTCTGTGTATTGATATACAATATATTCTGCCATTGACAAAGTTAAAGTTTGGCCATCTAGAAGCCTTGCACGGTTATTCACTGAATGTTAACTTAATTCTGCATGGCACAAATAGCCAAGCTATAATTATAGCATATCTGGAGAAATTTTCCAGATCAGCTATTCTTACCTCAGTTTTGCCATTTGGGGCATTCTGAGTTTTTTGGATAACCCTATCGGTGTGTTCTCTAGGACTTTGTAATGTGAGATAACTGGAGATCTTCACAGTCATGCAAAATCATAACCAGCATTGGACCTACCGCCGGTGCAACTGGCGCGGCTGCACAGGGGCTCACTCGATGAGGGGGCCTTTTGGGTTGCCCATGCACTTAGGGCCACGCATTGGCAATTGTGTTCAGGGTCTGGTTGTGTGCATCGGCCCTTCAACAGCTCAACCAGCCCCTTAATAATGGTTGCCTGGGAGGACACTAAGCTGCATAGGAGGTAGAGAGGAGGGGGGAATGGACTGAAAGAGCCTCTGACTCCCAGCAGCCTCAGCCAACAGATTAGACCCCATGGAAGCCACCCTCCTGCACCCAAAATGTAGGTGGCTAAAAATGTTTAAATTTTTCATGCATGTCTGTGTACTAGTATGTGTGTCTCTGTCTCTGTTTGTATATGATTCTGTGTGTATTCTGTGTATCTATTTCTGTATGTGTATCTGTATGTGGGTATCTGTGTCTGTGTGTGTAATGGTGTGTCTGTGTATCTATCTCTGTGTTTGTATGTGTATCTTTGTATCTGCATGTTTCTTGCAAAATCGGAAGGGATTCAAGCTGTTTTTTTTCCTTCTTTGGATCAACATCAAAAAACAGATGTGAGAAAGGCTGAACTTGATGGACACATGCCTTTTTTCAGCCTAAATGTGTATCTGTATGTCTGTGTATCTATGTGTGTGTCTGTATATGTATTTTTGTATTTGCATGTGTATCAGTGTGTGCCCCTGTGTTTCTGTGAGTGTCTGTGTATCTATACAGTGAGGGGAAAAAGTATTTGATCCCCTGCTGATTTGGAAAGTTTGCCCACTGACAAAGAAATGAGCAGTCTCTAATTTTAATGGTAGGTGTATTTTAACCATGAGAGACAGAATAACAAACAAACAAAAAAAAAAATCCAGAGAAACACATGTCAAAAAAGTTATAAATTGATTTGCATGTCAATGAGTGAAATAAGTGTTTAACCCCTTCAACTTAGTTCTTGGTGGCAAAACCCTTGTTGGCAAGGTCAGACGTTTCTTGTAGTTGGCCACCAGGTTTGTGCACATCTCAGGAGGGATTTTGTCCCACTCCTCCTTGCAGATCCTCTCCAAATCATTAAGGTTTAGAGGCTGTCGTTTGGCAACTCGAACCTTCAGCTCCTTCCACAGATTTTCTATGGGATTAAAGTCTGGAGACTGGCAAGGCCATTCCAGGACTTTAATGTGCTTCTTCTTGAGCCACTCCTTTGTTGCCTTGACCGTGTGTTTTGGATCATTGTCATGCTGGAATACCCATCCACAACCCATTTTCAATGCCCTGGCTGAGGGAAAGATGTTCTCACCCAAGATTTGACGGTACATGGCCCCATCTATCGTCCCTTTGATGCGGTGCAGTTGTCCTATCCGCTTAGCAGAAACCCCCCCACAAAGCAAAATGTATCCACCTCCATGTTTGACGGTGGGGATGGTGTTCTTGGGGTCATAGGCAGCATTTCTCCTCCTCCAAACACAGCGAGTTGAGTTGATGCCAAAGAGCTTGATTTTGTTCTCATCTGACCACAACACTTTCACCCAGTTTTCCACTGAATCATTCAGATGTTCATTGGCAAACTTCAGACGGGCCTGTACATGTGCTTTCATAAGCAGGGGGACCTTGCGGGCGCTGCACGATTTCAATCCTTTACGGCGTAGTGTGTTACCAATTGTTTTCTTGGTGTTATGCTTCAAGAATGCTTAGACAAGATGGAGGAACACAACTGCAGAATTAATAGGTAGTACTATACCTTTAAGAAAAACAAAAAGAAAATGCTTTGAATCCCCTGCGAGATTTTATTTAGCTTCAACGAAGTTGTAGACAATTATAACTTACTTAATTGCAGATTGGTATGCATTAAGAAAAAGACTTTGCCTTGGTTATGGTTGCAACAATTTTGAAGAGAAAGTAACAAGTCCTTATTTATACGAAATAGTAAATAGTTGCATAGGAAAGTGATTGGATTTGATTGTAGAAATGTGACAATTATTAAGTAGTAACAAAGTTCTTAATTTCTTCATTAGTAGTTAATAAATGGCCCATAGGAATTGATAAGATGTATTTGTAGAATTACAACAAGAATTATGCGCATAATCATTTGAGTATTAAGTAAATTGATTAGGAAATAATTGGTGATACTTATGTTTTTCCGTGAGAATCCTAAGGATGAAGTTCTTGTAGAATTTGAAGATATTAATATGTATCCAAGTATTTTAGTTGTAACAGTCCAACTTGTGTGAGAGTGAATGAACTCTGGAGTTTGTTCTGATCTGGAAGTAGTTGAAGACAGCGAGGTTTATGTTATAAAAAGTAAGCAAGCGGGGAAAGCTGCGTGGAGTCTGAGATTGCAGTATTCTAACCTGTAAGAGGTAATTCAGCGTGGAGTCCAAGATTGCAGTATTCTAACGTTGAAAACGGAAGCTCAGCGTGGAGTCCGAGATAAGGACAGAATCACTCAGCAATTTTGAGTTTGACGCGGCTTCCCTATAAGGCAGGTGAGTGGAGCATTATATAAATGGGAGGAGCTTACTTCCGAATGCGGAAGTAACCTCGGGGGAACAGAGTCTCGGTGAGTTATGACACTTGGTGACTATGGTCCCAGCAGCCTTTAGATCATTAACAAGATCATCCCATGTAGTTCTGGGCTGATGCCTTACCGTTCTCATGATTATTGAAACTCCATAAGGTGAGATCTTGCATGGAGCACCAGACCGAGGGAGACTGTCAGTTATTTTGTGTTTCTTCCATTTGCGAATAACCGCACCAACTGTTGTCACCTTCTCACCAAGCTGCTTGGCGATGGTCTTGTAGCCCATTTCAGCCTTGTGTAGGTCTACAATCTTGTCCCTGACATCCTTGGACAGCTCTTTGGTCTTGGCCATGGTGGAGAGTTTGGAATCTGATTGATTGCTTCTGTGGACAGGTGTCTTTTATACAGGTAAAGAGCTGAGATTAGGAGCACTCCCTTTAAGAGTGTGCTCCTAATCTCAACTCGTTACCTATATAAAAGACACCTGGGAGCCAGAAATCTTGCTGATTTTTAGGGGGTCAAATACTTATTTCACTCATCGACATGCAAAGCAATTTATAACTTTTTTGACATGCCTTTTTTGGATTATTTTTTTTGTTTGTTTTTCTGTCTCTCACTGTTAAAATACACATACCATTAAAATGATAGACTCATCATTTCTTTGTCAGTGGGCAAACGTTCAAAAGCAGCAGGGGATTAAATACTTTTTTCCCTCACTGTATGTGTGTCAGTGTTTGTATCTGTATGAGTGTAATTGTGTGTGTGTGTGTGTGTCTGTGTAACTGTATGTGTGTCATTATGTGTGTATCCGTGTGCTTGTATATGTGTGTGTGCATATCTATATGTGTATTAGTGTGTGTGTCTGTGTATGTGCCTTTGTGTCAGTGCGTTTGTCTGTGTGTATCTGTATTTGTGTTAATGTGAAACTGCATGTGTGTCAGTGTTTTCTCCTGTGTGTCTGTGTATCTATGTGTATCTGTGTTTCTGCATGTGGGTACCTGAGTTTGTATCTGTATGTGTGTCAGTGTGTGTCTGTGTATTTGGATATTTGAATGGGATACCTGCTGACATTCCACAGCTGTTAGTGAATCAGGAGGCTAGACCACCGTATGGATCAGTTTGCCCAGGCTTTACAAACCATACTGGCTCGTACTGCCCACTTGCAACCTGCCGTCCAAGAAGCTGTTGCTGCTGTGCCAGAACCCATTCCTGATCCAGTACCCGCTCCTGCTCACGTGGTTCACATGACGCCACCTCAGCGCTATAGCGGTGATCCAGCATTGTGCCGTGGTTTCCTCAACCAAATTGATATTCTTTTGGTGATGAATCCTCGTTCCTACCCCACTGACAGAACCAAAATAGCTTTTTTGATTAACCATTTGTCCGGGAAAGCTCTAGCATGGGCTAATCCCATGTGGGAGAATACGTCCCCAATGTCCTTTTCAGACTTCTTAACAGCTTTTAAACGTACGTTTGACCAACCCGGCCGGGTTGCTTCTGCTGGCAAAGCTCTGCTTAGGGTTCGACAGGGTAATAGATCTGTAGCGGATTATACCATTGAATTCCGCACTCTGGCAGCTGAAGTGGTCTGGAATAACGACGCTCTCGTAACAGCTTTTCAGGAGGGTTTGGCCGCTTACATATTAGATGAAATAGCATCCAGGGAAATGCCTGTTCTTCTGGATGATCTAATAGATTATGTCATTCTAATTGACAACCGTATTAGAGAGAGGCGTAGTCAAAGAAGGATGAACACACAGGGGTTACCTGCTTTACCCAGTACTGCATTACTAGCATTACCTCCCCCTACTCAACCACCTCCCGAACCCATGCAATTAGGTGCTGTAGGCTTATCTGAAGCTGAAAGAACGTACCGCAGAAGGGAGGGTTTGTGCCTTTATTGTGGTAAGAGGGGGCATCTCCGAAGAAACTGTCCTAGTTTGCAGGGAAACTCCAGCACCTAAGGCCTAGAGAGGGGTCGGCCTCGGGTGTTATGGTTTTTTCCCCTCATATGTCCATCTCCAGACCATTTATTACGGTTACTCTTTTGGTCAATAAAACCACGATAACAACTAAAGCCTTGATCGATTCAGGTGCTGCAGACAGCTTTATGGATGAGAACTTTGCTAAAACCGCAGCCTTGAATCTGATCCAAAAGGCCACACACTTGGCCATTGAGGCCATATATCGTAGACCACTTGATAAACCTCTGGTGACCCATGAAACCCAAGAAATGGTTATGGTCGTGGGTGCCTTACACAAAGAAAGGATAACCTTCCAAATAATTGACTCCCCTACAGCTTCCATCATTCTGGGCTTTCCCTGGTTAGTTAAGCATAACCCGGTACTCGATTGGGGTTCTCTAGATATACTCTCCTGGGGGGTATCTTGTCAACAAGACTGTATGGCCCGTTTACATCCCGTTTGTTTACTTAATGTGCCTACAGCTAAACCACTTTCTGTTTCTGTCCCTCCTGTGTATGCAGACCTCGCATTGGTCTTTGAAAAGAGGGAAGCTGATAAACTACCTCCACACCGGGATTATGATTGTGCCATAAATTTGTTACCTGGAACGGTGACTCCTAGGGGTAAGGTCTACCAGCTTTCTGTGAAAGAAAACCAGGTCATGGAGGATTACATACAGGAATCCTTACGTAAAGGTTTTATCAGAAGGTCCTCCTCTCCGGCTGGTGCTGGTTTCTTTTTTGTTGCTAAGAAAGAGGGCGATTTGAGACCATGTATAGACTACAGGGGTCTGAATAATATAACAATTAAAAATGCTTATCCTATCCCTCTCATTACTGAGTTGTTTGACCGTGTTAAAGGTTCTAGATATTTTACTAAACTAGACCTCAGGGGGGCTTACAACTTGGTTCGGATAAAAGAAAATGATGAATGGAAGACAGCGTTCAATACACGCAGTGGGCATTACGAGTATCTAGTCATGCCTTTTGGACTGTGTAATGCTCCTGCTGTCTTTCAGGACCTCATAAATGATGTCCTTAGAGATCTACTGCATGTCTGTGCTGTGGTTTATCTCGATGATATACTCATATTTTCTCCTGATTTGGAGTCACATCATGCCCATGTGAGGAAGGTACTTAAGAGATTGCTACAGAACGGTCTTTATTGTAAATTGGAGAAATGTTTATTTGACCAGAAATCAGTACAATTCCTAGGGTACATCATTTCTGAACAGGGGTTCAGCATGGATCCTTCTAAATTAGAAGCCATATTGTCTTGGCCTCTCCCTCAAGGCCTTAAGGCAATACAGCGATTTATAGGCTTTGCCAATTACTATCGCAGGTTTATTAAAAACTTTTCATCGGTCATTTCTCCTATCACGAAACTAACTAAAAAGGGTTTGCACCCAAGGGTTTGGACTCCTGAAGCCATCAAAGCCTTCGAAACTCTCAAAAAGGCATTTGCTACTGCCCCTGTGCTACACCATCCTGATCCTTCCCTTCCCTTTATAATGGAAGTAGACGCTTCAGAATCAGGTATAGGAGCTGTATTATCACAAAGATTATCCTATAACGAGCCCCTCCATCCCTGTTGTTACTTTTCTAAAAAACTGTCTGATTCGGAAAAGAATTACGACGTCGGGAATAGGGAACTATTAGCTATTGTGATGGCATTTAAAGAGTGGAGGTACTTATTAGAAGGAGCTAGACACAAAATCCTGGTTATAACTGATCATAAGAATCTCTCCTATATAGCTGATGCTAAAAGGTTGTCCTCTCGTCAAGCCAGATTGTCCTTATTTCTTTCACGCTTTCAGTTCGTTATCACATATAGGCCTGGGTACCGTAATGTCAAGGCTGATGCTATCTCCCGACAATACGAACCTTTGGAGTCTATCGCCCCCACTCCTGAACCCATTGTACCCACGTCTAAGATAATATCTGCTACCCGTTTAGTTATTTCGTCTCTTTTCCTTGATGGTATCAAGGCATACCAAACCCAAGCACCCTCTGAGACACCTGTTGGTAGATTATACGTGAAAGAAAAAGATAGAAAGAAATTGTTAGCTTTATTTCACACCGCCAAAACGGCTGGCCACCCAGGGGTTACCAAAACATACAAGGGTCTCCTTCAACAGTTTTGGTGGCCTTCACTTAAGCAAGACGTGGTGGATTATGTGCAGGCTTGTCGTGTTTGTGCACAGTGTAAGTCCCCTAATGTCAAACCCCCGGGACTCCTAATGCCTTTATCCGTACCCAAGAAACCATGGACCCACTTATCCATGGACTTTATTGTGGATCTTCCTTCATCCGATGGAATGACAGTAATTTTGACTGTGACTGATAGATTCTCTAAAATGGCACACTTTATTCCACTTAAGAAACTACCTTCTGCGGTTCAGTTGGCTCAGGTATTTGCCAAAGAGGTTTTCCGCTTGCATGGTATACCACAGGATATCGTATCTGACAGGGGTCCTCAATTTGTCTCTCGGTTTTGGAGGGGCTTTTGTGCTGAGATGGGGTTTTCCTTGTCGTTTACTTCCTCCTATCATCCACAATCTAATGGAGCGGCCGAACGGGCGAATCAATCTGTGGAGTTATATTTACGTTGCTTCACGAATGCACACCAGGACAACTGGTCTCACCTCCTTCCTTGGGAGGTGAGACCAGTTGGCCGCCTGCGGTCTCCCCTCTGCTTACCTGTCAGCGAGCGGCGTCTCCTCTCTGCCACTCGCCGCCCGCGTCCTCCACGCGAATTATCACTGAATTATGTAAACGCCGGGGTCACGTGAGTGACCCGGCGTTAAAGGAACAGTACCACAATCACAGTGGGAGGTATAAATATTTCCCACACGTGTGATTGTTAATTCTGATTGGAAGTTATCCAATCAGTATTAAACCAAGGGTATTTATACTTACCTTTCCTGTCCCTCAGTGCCCTGTTGTGGTCTTGTGATACCTGTAGCATAGTGTTCTCGTCTTGCTCTCTGGTTACTGATTATTTGGCTCGTTATTCCGATTATCCTGTCTTCTCCACTCCTTTGACCTCGGCTTGTTTCTCGTTCTCCCGTTTTCTGGCTCCCTTTACTTGGCTTGTCTCCTGACTATTCTTAGCGTGCTTAGCCCGGCCACTCTAAGGACCAGTATAGCATCCTTCCTCTCTGTGACCTGTTAGCGTGTTAGGTTCCGGAATCGTGACATATACACACCTACATTCACACACACATATTCCATACAAACACATGCTTACATTCAAACACCCAAACACTGCTGAGTGCTAAATACAACCCTGCAAGGATGGGCAAATGGTAGATCCCCAGCTGGCAAAGCATTGTGGGACTTGTACCTTTGGTCATTCTGGTGATAGGCTGGCCCAAAAGAATTCTTGCATCAGGGCCTCTCTAGTTTCGTCACTGACCATAATGGATATAATGACAGTCTTAAACAACCCATGCCGAGAGCACGTTCTCCTCCTGCAAAAGTAAAAGAATAAAGTGTCAACTCATTCAGCTCATTGCATTTGTCAAACATTTTATTATTTCATTTAAAATACCAAGCACAGTGCTAGTGAGGGGGCACTGGATAGAGGACGCTCTGTCATGTGATCGCCAGGATATCTAACGCAAAATTGGAAATTCTTCCAATCACCTGTGGACAACCACAGTGCCGTACTGCAGGTTGATAATGGGGCAGGCCACCAACATTAACAACTGTGATATGTTTGTTTTTTTCTCATAGATTTATCTAAAAAAAAAAGAAGATTCTATTTTTAGAGAATTTTCTTAATTCTTACTGGTTGTGTAGATACTATTCTAAACTAAGATCTAATAGTTTAGAACATTAAATTTTAGGCCCTGATATAATGTATCAGAAGAAAGTCCTTTCTGTCCTTAAAAATAGGTGTTCACTATAACGAAGAGTGACATAACGGTAGAACACACACATTGGAAAGGTTCCAAAACAGCCTCCTCAGGCACTATTTATGGCTGTGCAGAACTGTAATGGCTTCGATGCACTACACTCTGTTAAGACGGTCTGGAATCCGTATTCTGTGAGTAACGTGACTATTATTACATGAAACAGATTGCCAGAAGCTTTGCGAGTTTAAGGCATAACTAAAAATGATGTATTTATTATCATTGTTTTCATTACCTGATTTCTATCCTGCAGAAATTAAGGGGATAATTTGGAGATCCTATTCTGGATCACACTTGCCTGGCAGTCGCATGTCAGAGTGATGAACTGATCATTTCTTTTTATTATAGATCATTTTTCATGTTTTTTTTTTTTTCATCAGGTGGTGGCATGCTGTTTGTGCTTGGGAGTGCTGCCCATCTTTGTCACATCAAGCCTGGATTTTGGCTACCATAATACTCAGCTTTTGGAAGCATACTTGAAAAACATTAATGCGGCATACCCTGATATAACGTATCTCCACAGCATCGGGAAGTCGGTGGAAGGTAAGTGCAATGACACTTTAGACATATATACCCTTATTGGCCCAATTAAAAACAACACTTTTTTCTTAGTCAGAATGTAAACTCTTTACATTATGGAAGTGGCACCATGACACGTGTAGTCAAATAAGAGCCTCACAACCAACAGAGTGGACTTGGCAACATTGCAAATATTATAGATCAGTGTTGCAGATTCTCTATGATTCTTTACATTTGAAAGCTTTAAGGGCAGAGGTTGCAACCTGAGCACATGCACAAGAAGTGAACATCACACTCTTCATTTTGGTTTGAAAGTGAGTGTTGCTATTCCTTCTCACATTACCTCCTGTTCAGGTAAGTATTTCAGTCAGTGCGACCAGTACTTAAAGGGACACTATAGTCACCAGAACAACTACAACTAATTGTATTTGTTCTGGTGAATAGAATCATTCTTTTTAGAGAAAACGCAGTGTTTACATTACAGCCTAGGGATACCTACACTGACCACTCCTCAGATGGCTACTAGAGGTGCTTCCTGGGGCATTGCTGCACAGTATGCAGCACTGACATTCAGTGTCTCCACGCTCTGCATGGAGACACTGAACTTTCCTAATATAGATGCATTTTTCAATGCATCTCTATGAGGAGATGCTGATTGGCCAGGGCTGTGTGTGGCTTGTGCTGGCTCTGCCCCTGATCTGCCTCCTTGACGGTCTCAGCCAATCCAATGCTTTCCTACCACTTCTGGTGATGTCAGCCAATCAGGCAGATCACGGGCAGATCTGCCAGCAGCAGACTGGAATAAAGATATTACTATATTCAAGAGGTTCTGGTGGTGCCAGGCAGCTAGATGGTGTTTTTAACACTATAGGGTCAGGTATACATGTTTGTGTTCCTGACTCTATAGTGTTCCTTTAATGCAGGGCAGTCTGTTACAGTGCGCACAAAATATTTTAGTTTCTGGATGTGATGGATGTCGGACAGAATATATTCCAACACTGTTTTCAACCACATCAAATTAATTATCTTCCTTTTTAAAATTCTTTATTTTTGACTCAATCCACAAATGAGAAAGAGGTATGTGATGACAAAGACAAATGTGCCAGCATCACAGTGTGTATAATATAAGATTTGACCAATTTGTTGTGTACAAGTGTGATGAAAGCAAATTAAGAAAAATATATTAAAGGGAATATGCTGGTATGAACCTACAATTAACTCAATTATGCATAGAAAACAAAAGCAAAGAAAAATATAAAAACAAAAGTAGACATCAACAGACATATGGAGAAGGAGTGCAGGGTGAAGACCTGCTATAAAAGTTTGGAGCAGCACTGGGTTAGTAACTCCTTAACAGATGCTGAGTCAGAAGGACTAGGCTTGAGGCACATCTTCGAGGAGGAATATATTCCAATGTTGAGGGAAACATGGAAGGCCACCACCCAGCCCCCAGGTATAAAAACAGACAGGTAGATGATGCCGGCCAGTACAGACAGAGATATTATCTTCTTAACATGTCTTGGTTGTAATGATAAGAGGTTATCACTTATCGATACAAGGGCAGAAGAGATTGTCCAAGTAGCACACTATATAGACAGAATGAGTGGATAGGAACCTCTCCTCTGCCCTCTACATGTGTAGGAAAGTGTTTGGATTGTTGAATGTTAAATCAAAGTACAGGTGTTGCTAATATACTTGTACGCAAATCCTTTTCCCTTGCGACGCACAAATCAAATTCTTGTTAATCTACGCCAGAACAAATCGATCCACGATGTAAATCCCAAATGTCGTTATTAATGGAGACTATTAGGGAGCTTTTAAAGACATGAATATGATGAGCGTTGCCTGTAAAGTAATAGAAAGGGGGAACACCATTAATCTCCATCTAAAGGGATGACTTATAATGTTTTATGCTGCTGAAACTCTGTAAACAAAACATGAATCTTGAGGCTTGTCATTGAAAGTCGTGGGATTCTGTGGTTAGCACAGATTGCTGGCAGTTATGGATTGAAGTAAGCCTTTTAGATGAGAGACATGCATTCAGTAATATAGTTTTATGACTTATTGTCTTTATCTTGATATAGGGGTAAACGCTATCAGGGTTGTTGTCTAAACTGTGAATTGTTGGGAGTTTAACCCATTAAGGACCAAACTTGTGGAATCATGTCACACATGTCATGTTTCCTTAAGGGGTTAAAGTGACTTTTAAATGTGTGCCAAAAGTAACCAAATTCTCTTTGGTCTGCTATGTTTTCATTTCAGCTATTTTGCTTAAAATGGGGAATTCAAGTTCAATTCCTGACAATTCATTCTTTATTGAATAACTTTGAATAAGGCTCAGCAATGAGAACCATGCACCTCTGTCACATTAAATGTAGACCCTTATCAGAGCCAATTGTTGTTCATGAAACAAAGTTTGGGCTTATGCTAAACAATGCCATAAGGTAATTTGCATGATTAGCCAAGCATGGAGTAAAAATAAAAATAATAAAAATAGTGCAGAATATATATATATTTTTTTTTTAAATAACAACCTACAGGTTGCTAGTTCTTGTGTCCCCCTTTCAGCCGCGTGGCTCTGTGTGCTGGGAGAAAGTGAAGTATAATCAGTTCCTCTTGCAGGGAGCAGCCAGGGCCAAGTTATTCTGATCTGGCATGGACCATGGTGCTCTGTTAAATGTTCTTTAGTTTAGCAAGATGTTTCTCTTTCCGCATCTGGACCACATAACTTGAAAGGGCCCAAACACTTGACGGCACCTGCACATGTCTCTGCTCTTTTGGACCCCCCAAGAGGGAGAAGTCCAGGGCCCAGTTACAATTCTGACCTTTGAGATCGTGGGAGGTCCTTCACTGTTTGGTACCTGCTGTGACATTTCTGAAAGCTAACGCACCCAAACAATATTGCACAGCCAGACTTGACTGAAGAATGGAATGTTGTACTTGACAAGGTGGTGCGTGGTGGAATGCAAACCCAAAAGCAGGGCTATGGGTCTACTCTTAATAGTTCTAGAGTGGCAGTTCACAAAAATGGAACTTGACTCAAATACTTCTAACCATTCTAGTAATTGAATTATCAGGTTGTACCTTGGCTTGATCTGTTTGGCTTGACAAACCTGGGTGTATTAACCATCGTCATAGTAAATACGTGGAGATCATTTTTGGGTACATTGTGGGGTTATATAAAACAAGGCATTCAAGCAGACTAGACTTGACATAGCAGACTGGCAGTGCAGGAGCCTGTGCATCGTCACTGACCATGGTGGATCTAAAAGCACGTTACCCAAACTTCAGAGCTCAAGAAATTACATATATTTATATGAGTAGCTTGTAACATCATGTCCATACTATTAGTGTCAATATACTTTTAAATTCACTGATATCACCACAAGTGAGACAGGATGAGAGCAAACTATGGAGCAGGAGAGTGTGACGAGGTAGGGTGTCTCTGGCATTGGCAAGGTGGGATATTTGGCCACCAATTAGATTAACTGGAAATAATTGATTTGACTAAACACTATGGGCTTGCCTGATACAATATGGGCGAGGTAGCTCTGCCATACCGTGTTCATAGTGTTAGGTCATTGCTATATAGTTGTTTTGTTAACCAAATAAGCAGTTTCTTCCGATAAATGTATTTTGCACAGTGCTGTATATATGTTTGTATCCACAGTAATACACCCCAGCTGTCATGAAATAGGAAGTCATGATTTATTTTGTGCCCCTGTACCAATATCCTAGATTTGTTCTTTAAAGTCAGCAAGGGTGTGGGTCAGTCTTAGGGTCCATATATGCCAGCTGCTGCACTCCCCTTCTGAGCATGACCCGACCACAATGTCACCATCAACATTCTCAGTTGCCTCCTCCAGTTCAACCTCCTCCCTGTCCTATATCCATAGAGTCGAGTCTTTAGGGTAATCCATAGATCTTTGTCCCAGGTGTTGTTTTTGTGTGTGTGTTTTTTTTGTGATCTATAATGCCCATGTGTTCCTTCATTTCTTTTTCCTAAATTGGAGGAAGCACTGATCAAGGGTCCTGGCCATAGGACTAACACTGGACTAACGGGACTGTGTAAATCCAAGGATTCTCTGGGCTTCACGTATCACCCAACCAGTTGATAAGAATAGCTCAGTGCACTCCTGTGATTATCTCCAGGTTAGTGCTTCGTATTGATCCATAGTATCAATCCTCTAATATGAGGACAGAGTACGTCAGGAATATTGATAAACATGAATAAAAAGTAAAATAGATTAGATAAACCTAGTTCTGTCCCACTATAGAAATCTATGTTGGTCTTTAAAGAACAGTGAGCACTGGAAGGATCAAAGACTAGAAATATACAATGCAGGATAACAAGCTCATATTAAAACAAGTGCATCAAAGCAAGAAATACAAAGGAGCTCTATGTGCCGTAGAAAACAAACAATGGATAAAATAATAAATGACAAAGAGAACAAAAGGTTTCTGGTGGGCATGGCTTGTGCTTCATGGCGGCAGGATGCATCTTGTTGGAGCTTCTACTCTTAAATTAATAATCTACAAGTTTTCCAGCTCCTATCAATCTCAAATCGGCACTAAGGCATCCCTGCCCAGTGTCTGTACCGGACGGGGTGCCTTGGATCGGTACCTAACAGTGCCTGCTGCCGGATCTCTCAGGGATACCTGAAAGACCTGGTGAATCGCCGGATGGGAGAGGCGGCCGCTCTCCTTAGTCCATGCAGCATCAACCCCTAAGGAATTCCTCTGCTGTCCTGTTCCCCCCCTCTGGGCCGGCGGGGGTTATCCCGGCCCCCTCTGGATTGTTCTATCTACAGTCCCCCCCCCCCGTTAAGTGTACCTCCCACCAATTTCAGCAGATCACTGCATGCACAAGATGGCGGTCACTCACACTTCCTGTGGGGAAGGCCCAACTCTGACACAGGCGACTCTCCCGGGCCCCATAGAGCAATCCCTCATTAAGTTGCAAGCTATTTTCAAGTGGTTCTGGGCAGCCTTGAAGGAGCGCTCAGCAGCATCAACCGCATCACCAACAGGTGATCGGAGGAGTGATCGACGTGGAGCAGGGGGACCCCGTTCGTGTGCAGCATCTGACCACATGCTTGGCAGGCCCAACGTTCGCCCAGCCAGGTTAAAGGCCTCCAGGGGCTCAGCCCCAAAGCATTGCCCACACCAGCTGAGGTACGCCTGCACAAGGGGGTGAGTGAAGACCAGGACCTTGAGCTCTCCCTTGTGTGAGAGGGACTTGGACTATGCAAGAATCTGAGTCCGTGGCACTGAGATGCCGGCTTACACTCCAGCCTGGGGCAGAATGGAAGCCCTACTTTGCTCTAGTTCAGCAGCTGCCTTCCGTTATCCTCCTGCTTATTCCACTGGCCTGCCAACTACTGGAATCAGGTGATTGGGGACTCTGACTGCATATAGGCCTTTCTCTGCAGACTCACTAGCTGCATAATCGTAGTGACCGTCACCATGTTCTATAGTTTTGTTTAATTTTGACCAGTTTTCTTTTATCTTTATTTTTACATACAGGAGGCTTATAATGCTTTATTATTAATATGTATTTTCTGCAGTATGTGCTTTCCAATCATATAGCTATCTCAGAGAGGTCATAATTCTACGATAATATCTGGTAACCTGCTATTTCTGCTCTCTGTCACACACTCTGTATCATCCTTGTCTCACTTAGATCATTTTATTTCCATAAAAATATGCTCTTGTTATACATGCCATGCTAGTGTTTTACTATGTTTGAGTTTATGTGCTTGACAATGCTGCCATGGCACTGTCAGCATGCCTGTTATCTTGTGCACAACAAAATAAAGAATATAAACATAAAAAAAAAAAAGGTTCTGATCCTTACCTATTGAAACAAGCACCTACGGCTGAAGTCATGGTGGCCAAAGGCCTGTGTGAAGAAAATGGTAACCCCGTGTCAGTGTTGGGAAAGTGTGACAAAAAACCCCATAAAGATGAGTTATCCACAACAACTAGGAAAGTACATTTACATGAAAAAAAACAACAAACCTGTACCCACCCAAACATATAATACAAAATATAATACAATGGCTCACATGATACAAAAGTGGAATAAGAACAAGGCATGCATATTTAAGAAAGAAATCAACTGACTGAATACAACTTGAGTTACAGGAACAGGGGACACACCTAAAAGGATCGCGTAACAGAGATGGGTAACAGCAAATACAAGACGTAATGGCAGAACAAAAAGAGTTGATGAGACAGTGGAAGCGCAGAACCTGACATACTTTCTACAATTCTAGTTCAGATTCCCAATAGACCCAGCGTGTTCAAATATGATCAGAATGGATAAGATGCACAATGACCTTTAAAAGTCAGATTGCTCTAAAGGAGGTCACAGGAACACAATACTTCAAACTTGTTACTGCACAGAAAAGTAGCAAATATTAAAAAGCAACAGGATTCTATCTGAACAGGCTAACATAAATTGTATCGGGAGTTATCGGAAAAGTCATACAAGTTAATCCAGAATCACTTGCTGAACAAACAATGTTTTTTGACTGTAGCATATACCACACCTTGAGAGGCCGGGATGAAATTCTGAAAATGTTTCTCCTAGACAAAATTTTAAAAAAATTAAAAAAGATCTCCTCACACTTAGTCATAAAACATAGGCACATACACAATATAGGTAACAAAATGTAATTTTTTTTAAATTTAAAAACAAAATAAAAAAAGGAATGATGCATAATCCTACCCTACACGACACAGCAAACTGCAAAAAGAAAAAGAAAAAAAAAAGGCTTAGTGTACTTCAAGTAAAATATAAAACCACATAATAAGTTCAAACAGCTCTCCTAAGCCATAGAGAATATAGAAATACAATTATCACTTGAACCAATAGTAAAGCCTATAATTTAGAGTACGGGCTTTCTAACAGCATAAAAGATATGGCTACTAAGAGAATACATGTGAATTAATAAATAAATACACGTCGATGAAGCAGTACGCTTTCCATTACTCCATTAGTACCGCGGGTAGTTTTAAGGCCCAATGTAATAGTGTCCAAAAGGTGCAGTGCAGCTTTTCAAATAGTAGTTCCTAAATGAGCTAATCCTAGTTCATCTGTTTTACAAGAAGAGTTGAAAGTACCACAATTAAGAAAAAAAAAAACTAAAGAAAAATGACAAAGTGCAAAAAAATGACAATTGCTGATTGAAAAGCAAAAATTTTAAAATGACATCACTCCTATGATGAGCAGTTAGATCTCTGTTAGGAAGCTACACAGGTCCTGGTAGCTTTGGTCAGCAGTGGAGAGTGAATTGAGGGCTGAACGTCTGAATAGATCTTTCTTTCGCTGACCCTGTTATTTTGTGGTTTTCAATAAAACTGTGGCTACGTGTCCGACTTGACCTCTGGTTTTCCTCTCTTAACTCACGTTACTAAAGAAGGAAAAGTGACTGCAAAAAATCTCAGCACATTCTAGGTCATAACACGCTTATAAGAACATCTCTCCAAGATGAGAAATTACCAACAGAGCTGAAATGTTCAGCCCCGTTCTATAACATAAGATGTAAACTGCTGGAAAAGAAGAAATAAACAGATCTAGCTAGGACAGGGAGAGAAGAGGAGAGCGGACATTAACTCAAGTGTGAAAGAAGAAAAAAAAAAATCCCAGAACCTACAAATCTGCCATGACAGAACAGAATGAACATGTAAGAGACACAATATTTATATTAGCCCTGGAAAAATTATGTAAAAAAAAGAGTAGAGAAAAAAAAGTAACTGTAAAAATTTACGTCTTACAGGCACACTTGGTAAAATTTCTCTTGAATTATTTATTTTTACCAAGCTTCAAATCTTTATTAAAAGCTACCTACATGTGGTGTGGGAATTGGTTTGTAGTTTTGATACATAGAGCAAGGAACTCTGCCATACCCCCAGGGTGAAGTTCAGGATCCAGCGGAACCCTGGGCCCACGATCCTGCTGATGGGATCAATGGCGAACGGGCACGAGCACCTACTAAGGCCTCTGGCCGAAGACAGGCAGTCCCAGGACCCAGTGCCTCCATGACCCCAGGAAGAAACAGCACCTCGGTGAACTGGAGCAGATCTCCAATCCGGCAGTGACACAAGCGGCATCCATCCTGAGGCACAACAGCATACCCTGCGGAGTGGGCTGCGTACTTTTATGGACATTGATGGACATACAGGCTATTGCATATCGAACATTACGACACATACTCAGGACTTGGGCCAAAAATCTTAAAAGACGCCAGTTGTACAATGGTGGAGAGGCAGGGGGGCTAACTAAACTTACCTAACTAATCCGTATGCACTAGACCGTTCACCCTAGGGGGCTAATTGCTTCACAACACTATCGACCCCCTGCCCCCCCTGCAGTCTACTCTTATGTTGCTTTGCTTAGAGCATCTCACAGGCTAGCCATGAAAACTCCCTAGTTCGGCGGGCATGACCAGCACTCGCTTGGGCACGGCGTGCCTCCCCACATTAGCTGCACCAATCCAGCTAGCAGCATATGGTGAACAGCACACTTATATATACCTGGTGGGACTCGCAGATACACAATTGAGTTATATCTATATTTAACATGTGATACGCAGGGCACCGCGCTTAGCAACCTAACATAATATACAAGCGACTTATAATCATCTAACTTGCTACTACAAACCACGTCTGGTATTTCTGCTTTTCTTTAACTCCTGTGCACAAGCATTAGACGTGCAAGCTTTGCTTGTTCCCCACTTGTGTGGCCAAATAACTCGACTTGTATTTAACCATTACCTCAATACCAGTTTAAAGTCCTGAAACCACAGCATAGCATGTAACCTCACTATGTAATATGACTTGTGTACCATGCGTTGATATGCTCTAACCCCCTGCTTTGCATTCTGTAGTGAAACCTGCATTCTGTGGGTGTTAGGGCACTGAATGTGACCTGTATACCATGCATTGATGCGCTCTAACCTCCTGTTTTGCATTCTGTATTGTCTTAATCTACTCCTCAATAAAAACAAAGATTGACAATAAAAAAAAAAAAAAAAATAGGAACTAATTACTATTTATTGATAAGTAATGTAAGGCCATATCTTTTTGTCTATCTGATAATAAGTAATATAATGCTTGTTCTGTCTGTCTATCTGTATAATTGTCGTAATGGAAAAAGACTTAATTTTAAGTATTAAAGTAATCTCTCAAAATCTCATCATAATTAGTAGCATAGCTGGTTTAAAACAATGTTTTCATTTAATCTGTGTGGTCCTCAAATTTTAAAGGGACACTGTTGGCACCATAACCACTTCATCTCAACTTCCATTCGGCATTAAACCTTTTTTAATGTTCTAATTCTAAACAAGAATCCCCGGCAGCCGATCTCCACTGTGTGCACCAGGGAGCAGCAGTGATTGGGCGAGAGTGTCAGCTGACCACATTCAGCCTATCACAGTGCTATTGCATTTATGAATTGGTATGGCTAGAAGGAAGAGTGCAATATTTGCCTTAGACAATCCTCCACTGGGGGGTCAGGGCTATGTGAAGCCATTCATTCAGTGTTAAATTCCTCTAAAATGGTTTAACACTGAACGGAGGGACAGTGCCAGGGGGCTTCGCGAACTATGGCTTATTCAGTTAGATGAAATGGTTATATTGCTATAGTGTCCATTTAAATTCACTTTGAATTCTCTCATAAATGAATAACCCTGAGAATTAACAGACTGAAACTTACAACATAGCTTGTTCTTCAGTGGATCCCCACTCTGTTCTCACGCTGGTTATAGCTCATCTTGTGCCATTACAGAGAGTACCTAAACCAGTGTTTCCCAACCCAGTCCTCATTGACCACCAACAGTCCAGGTTTTGTCAGTATCTCCATTGGAATAAAACAGAGAAATACATAAATCCTGGACTATTGGTGGTCTGGGTTGGGGAATGCTGATCCATCTGCATATCAGACTGATCCCACCCAAAAAAGGGGGTCCAGATCCAAAATGCAGGCTGACTCCCCAGTTTGAGAACTGAGCATGGACCCACTAAAGGGTAAGCTGTCTGAGATGTTGTCCATTTTAGTATGTTCTTGCGCCCTTTATTTATTTATTTATTCTTTATTTAGACTTAGTGATCATACAGCTATCACATAACAATCACACACACAACATGACATATGGTAAACAAAACAAAAGCACCACAATGCTTGACCAAAATAACATCTGTCTAAGCAATAAGTCATAGTCAGTTGATAAGAGAGGAGACAAAACAGTTCTGTTCATTGCAACGGTATTCTAATATTCTATTCCGGTCCGGTAACCTATGGGTTGTTTAAATATACTATGTATAGATAATCGGTGTGCACCTTTAGAATGTCAGGGCACATTTGTTGTTGAAACCATTGTCATGTATGTGTGACAAACAACTGTGAATCGACCCACTCATCAAGGGTTTTTTAACAAGTTAACGAAGTCTCCATCTAAACAACAAAGCGGGGAGAGGTTAAGGAAGAGGGAATGCTAAAGACAGGATAGTAGGAAAAGAAGAGTAAAGAAAAGAGTAGGGTGGGGATAGGGGGAAGTATACTCCGGTCGGTTTCTGGGGAGGACACTGGTAGTGGGGCCCATTATTTGTTCATCTCAGGCCTTTGCCCTATTAGTTCTCGATAAAGGCCTACGTGCTCCCAACTTGCGCCGTTACAGTCCATAATAAATGCGGTGGCGAGGCTCATCTTCCTGTCCGCCCGCACCTCCCATGCCACACCCTTCTGTCAGTCCCTACATTGGCTTCCTATAAAATATAGAGCTCAATTTAAAATTCTGGTTCTTGCCTTCAAATCTCCACATAATGCTGCTCCCACCTATCTATCCTCCCTTATACTTAAGTATGTCCCGTCTAGGCCCTTACGATTTGCTGAAGACTTACGTCTATCTTCTGTCCGTACTCCCACCTCTGATGCTTACCTTCAAGATTTCTCGAGGGCTGCACCGTTCCTGTGGAACTCGCTTCCCTCCTCCGTTAGATGCTCACCCAGTCTCCACTCCTTCAAAAAATCGTTAAAAACCCACTTCTTCATAAAAGCGTATCAATTAAACTGTTAATAGCTCTCAACTGATTCCTCATGAATGAGCCAAGGAATTCCCAGAGACATTAAAAATATATTTTCTAGAAGGCAGAAGGAATGTGTAGAACTAACAAATGAACACATGACAGGATCATAATAGCACTTATAATCCATCAGCGGTGGAGGCATGAAACTCCTACTGGTAAAAATAAAAACGTGGTTAGATTGCATGTCAAAATAAAGAAAAAGAAATCTCATTCTCAAATATTAGTCCATTATAGCTAACTTAAAAGAATTCAGCAAGTGAACTTGGCTAAAAAATTTGAAACTTAGTGAATGTGATGTCTCTCCAGCGCCCTCTGTTGGTGAAACTGAAAAAAATGCATTGATTTGTATAATTGCAATATGCAAATTAGGAAATTGCACAAAACTAACCATGTGTATATATATTGTATATCCCTTTTTTTTCTATAGGTTAGAAAGTTGTGATGGTATTATGTATTTGATGCATTATTATGTTTGTTCTTTAAGCTATGTGTGTTTGTTTATATTTATATTAATTTCACCATATGGTTCATGGCTAGTCATTGTCCAAAATAATGCAGTAGTGTTAGTTCCATTGGGAACTGTGTGCCCAGTCTGGTTTGATTGGGATTCCATTAACAGAGTTTTTGGACCTGTTGGTTGGCTGCACTGGTTGCTGATCCTGGGGATGTGTTAAGAAAGAGCTAGACCTGAGAGTCACAAGTCACTTAGCAAAGGAAGTAGTTGGAGGCAGTGTAGGCAGATGTGTCCTGGTTGCAGCAAGGAAGGTACTCAGTTGGAGTACAGGAGCTCAGCTATATATGTTTGCAGCAGTGGTTCTGCTTCCTCTTCACAGGGCATTTCCAAACCACCACCGAGATATCTCCCCTTACTGTGCACCGGCTGTCTGACCTGGCAGAGGCTCCACCAGCGCGAAAGCGAAAGGATCAGATTACTACCAAGGCCGGAGCCGTCGGAAAAGAATTACAGCACAGGGTGAGAGACAGGACGGCGATGGGTAGTCTGAACCCATCATCCAAAAATATCTGGGTGATCACAAGGAGTGAAATCCATATGAGTTGCATAGAACGTGGGGGTGGTAGCTGCTGTGAACCCCAAAAGGGCAACATTGGCTTATAAAAACTTCCCTATGCAGCCTTAAATGAAACAGAGGACAATATTGTTGGGTTTCTACAGGACTTTGAACACCAGTGCACCCACCAGTGAATCAGCCTGCAGTACTGAGTCACCATACTGGCCATTAAGCTATCAGGAAGCTATCAAGTCGCAGAATCATAAAAAATTGTACCAGATGATGACAGCCTGGACTACGGATCAAGGAGAAAATATTGGTCTGGTTTACCATCACCCCAGAAGTGCATTGGCTTAAGATTCCTGGGCTGAAAAAGGTGACAGGACTAACATATACGGATGAGCCCATCAGCTAAAGTGGGCCGTGGAAAGGTGGATGCAGGGGTGCCAGGCCACCACCCTAGCCGACACTATCCAGCTTATCCTGCTCAAATATTTCTGACCATTCTTCACTTGCTGTGTGGGACGTTGACCAGCTACTGCTCACATCTATAAGACTGCAACCTTGGCAGATGCGTTCCAGGACACCCAAAGAGGTGATACTGTTATAGTCTGTCCAGTTACCCAGGCACTCGCCCCCTATTAAATTATTGGGATTTTTTTTTTCTGTATCTTTGCTTTCCTTCCTTGATACCTACATACCTCTGTATCTCATATGTATACCATGGGTAATATACTTATCTCTTGTTTTATTTTTGCACCATACATCTATGGAATGTTTTTACATCTCAGGGCTTAAGTTTGGTGAATGATGTATTTCAAATTGAGAGACGTCATCCTTGACATCACTAGTCTCGTTCTCATTATTTCACCCTCCAATGATAGTCAATCAGTGTCTCATTTAACGGTTTTAGTTCACTTTGTGTATTGTCTTGATAAAAGGCCAACTGGACTTACACATCGACATGTATTTGTGTAATATTTACTATATAAAGCATCACTTTGCTATTTACTTTACAACACCTGTGAGTCAGTGTGTGGACATTATTTTTTGTCTGGACGCCGCACTGAGGCCAATATAAGGCCAGGGAGCTTTTTGTTTTAACTTCCTTTGACATTCCAATAGAAGATACATTTACTGAAACCTAGAATCTCTTGCTATCACTATCCTGCTCTGATTATAGTTCAGTGCCTATAGTTATTCTATTAATGTTTTCTATTGAATTGCATAAAATCAGTGGGAGAAAAAAATCAAAAAAATTCAATAGCATAATGTTTTATGAAAATGAGCTATAAACCTGAATGCTGTTTCAGGAAACTCAATCTGGCCATAGAATGAATTATACAGGTGTTAGAATAATAGAGTTATGTGATGTGCCTTAAGTCATCGGACTCAACCTTTTCACTCTGACGCATTTGATCTCTTGTAAAATGCGTTACCTTTGTTACATTACTGTAAACCAGGAGAGGGCTGGTAACGTTTGGCCTGGGGATGGGACGGAGGGCAAGTCCAAACAAATGCCTCTTTTTATGAATAAACCATCCTTTTATAATCTCCTTTTTATAATCTTTACAATTGCGGCCATCAGCCCAATAACAAACACATTAACTCGTACAATAATGTGATGGAAAGGGCCGTGCACATTCTTATCTGCTTCTTTTTTGCTGTAGTTCTATGACAATACGCAGTTTATTGCAAGTCTTAATCAAAATAAGCAAAATATGTTCAATATACCTGTACATTATCCAATTGTCCTTCCTTGCACCACTTGTAATAGATTATATCACGCATTGCACAGCAGAACTACACCTCAAGACTTGTCATTTAGAAGATGCTCTGACCCGTCGTCTAGCCATCACTATTTGGCCCCTGTCAAAGTTACTTAGATCTTTTTGCTTGCCTATTTTTCCTGCTTCCAACACATGACATTCAAAAACTGCCTGTTCACTTACTGCTTAATATATCCCACCCAGGTGCCATTGTAACAATATAATCAGTGCTATTGACTTAACCTGTCAGTGCTTTAAATGTTATGGCTGCTCACTGTATGTATACACAATACATCCAAAGGATTACATTATATATATATATATATATAATGTAAAAACATTTCATTAAAAATGGTCTCTACAGGGGGCGGGGCCTGACAGCCAAGATGGCCGGACGTGGTCTCTAAGAGCTCCTGCACCAGCAGGCAAATAAACGTGAATCCTGAATAAACTACTCATGCTAGCAGCACACGGAGCTCCTACAAAAGTGCAGGACCGCACGGGGAACAGAACGATGCTCGCCATGCACCACCGCACACTATGAGCACACGACCCGGCCATGCAGCCTACACTAAAACGGGGCCCGAGGCCCGGGGGGGGGAGCGACCGACCTCCCGGCATGAGACCTGCTCACAAGCAAGCGTGGAACACTGCCCTGCTACCCCCCCCCCCCAACCCGGACTGGCGGGGGATATCCCGGTCCTCGCTGGGGACGATTACCCCCGCAACGCGGCCTACAGAAGCAACCAAACGGGACAGAAGAGACCCAACTAAGAGGGCAGCACAGACGCATCTGGCACCAAAAAGCAACCTCACCATGCCACCTGGGCACACCCTGGAGTTTTTTGCCCGACTATGCAACAGCCTGTGGACAAAGCTCTGTATCAAAGGCCGGTACTTCCACCTCACTATGAGAGCAATGGCGGCATGGATCCAACCAGCTGTCCGGCGCCACCTGGGCAGATACCTACCACAGGCCCCTGGGACGACCTCCAGCCAGAGACGGAGACAGGGAGCAAGGTGGCGGGAAGGGGCAACAAATCCCTCAGACGCCGGTAATGGGCATCACACGCACCAAAGCGAGGCCACTAAACCCACCCAACTCACTCACCACTCAACGGCACCGGAAACCTCCAACCACCGTAAATCAAGCCCAGAATTCAAGATCCACGCAGACATCTGCGAGGCCACCCGGACAGAGATCCAGCTTCTTCCCAGCGACAAACACAGGCGTAGGGGGGAGGGAACTCTACCGCAGCACCAATTCTGTCACAACTCTGAGCCCACCAATCGAGCCTCCAGAGCCGGCATCGGCTGAACGAGAAGGACTGCACCAGAGAAGGGCCGTGCTCCTATAGAACTAAATGTGGAGACGCAAAAGGAGCTTACTGGACAAACAACAATGTAAAGTACTGCAAACAACGGATCAGATTGTAGTGACTATAGGTTTTGGCACAACGGCCTCACCCAGCAGTACCTTGTTAGCCCTCACCCAGTTTAACTTAAGACCCAATGGGGTCCTCCTGGGGACTTTTACCCAACCCTTGCCCAGCATGGCCTCAGGGATTCGGCCCGTCCTACAATGCTCAAACCTTAAACAACAACCATATAGTCAGCCGGTTAGCAAAGTTTATTCTCAGACGTGCCTGTTAATAGATTTACTCAGCATGTTTAGTCAATGACTAGCCATTTACTTTAGTGTACACCCTGAAACACGAAAGCATGTTATAACATCTTACTGACACTAGCGTAGTTAATCTAAAACTGTTAAGCATTAATTATCTGCACTTGTTTTAATTATCTCTATTTGAAAACATGTTGGCCGCAACATAGAAAAGCTTGATTAATGATTGCATGTTTAATTCTCTTATGTTGATCTACAATTGTCATCTCCTTAACTAACAAAAATGTGCAAGTACCTTCGTAACCCCACTGTTATAAATGCTGAAAATCGGCGTGAGGAATGCCGTTGGGGTTCCTCACACATGTTGTAATATTTCTTTGCACTACAAAAAAAAAAAAAAAATGGTCTCTACAAATCAGATCCAAATTGCTTCTTGATAAAGTATATTTTATAACATTTATTTATTTATTTAGTTTTTTTTTCATTCCAAATTTTATAACATTTTTAATTTGTGTAAATATTATGGCATTACGTACCAGATGTAAGATTACATTTTAAACTTGATAGACTTAAGGAAATAACAAGTTTTCACTTACCTTAAAATAACATTTAATAACAAGTTTTCATTTTGATATTGAAGTCATTTTTATAAAGAATTGAAGTCAATTCATGGTTCATTTGTTTATTTTCTGCGAGAACCGTCACTGAAGTTAGAAAATTAAGTGAAGACACAGTAACAAATATAGGCATGGGATGATCGAACATCATGTACTTAGAGCTAAAGATGTGGTAATTAGCTTCCTAGGGTCGAAGCTGGGTATGTTCTAACATAGAGGACTTGGGTGTTTGAAGACTAAGGACAGTGGATATTAGGGTAATGCATTCTAGTGATATGGGAGTTATATAATAGTGTGATTGTTAGGGGAAAATGTGTTGCTGTAATTTCAAGAACTGAAGCCATGCATAATCAAGCTTTGAGATTCTACTTGCCTGTTTGATTTCGGCAAGTGTGAATTGAAGCTTTATAAACTCATGTTGGCTTCTTGCGAAATGGAAATGGTTTTTCAGAGTTGAACAGATTTTGAACCCAAGGGAAATGACTAACACGTCTTCTAAATGGAATTATAACAATTCACTTTCTAGAACTAAGAATATGCTAATCCATTTCCAACACTGGTCTCAAGAGGATTAGAGAGCAAAGGCTACCAAATTCATTTCAAAACAGCAATTTCATTATAAATACTTTTTCATTTAAATTTGTTTTATACAGGGGGCGGGGCATGGCTGCTGAACTGAGCAGACGTGCTTGAGTTGTGCTCCTCACCAAATCCTGCAAAAAAGTGCTCAAATTGCGGTTATCAGCCCCAATCTGACTCTATAGGGACTACTTACCTAACCTGGCAAGGAGAGAGGACCTCTCGCAATTACCCTGAGTCTTACTTCAGTCTATCTAGGCTGTCTGAAACCTGGCGGACCCTGGAGGCGGGAGATGCAGCCGATCTCCCGACCGGGAGCTGCTGATACTGCTGATGCTTCAAGTTGGCGCCCCGTTTCCCCCCCAACACTGGGAGAAAGCTTTCACAGTCATATGTGATCAGTTCCGGCACAGCCTGGAGGAGAAAGCACATTGTACATACTTGCCTGAGATACAAATAGACCAGAGACTCGGGGCAATCGGCGGGTACATCAATCCAAGGAACCTGTTGCTAGCTCACCTTCGCTGAGAGCCAGACGAGGCTTACCTGTCTCACATCGCCCACGCAGGCGTAAGACTACCCTGGAGAAGCGGAGACTACCATCTGGACTTCAGTTCCCTGGTCTGCGGTCCAAAGATGTTGGCCCTCGCGCAGGCTCAGGGCCGGAGGGGCACCCTGTACAACCTTCCCTGACTGGGAAGCTGCGTTGCCACTAATGGGAGTCGGCTGACCTACAACAGGGAACTGCCGCTCCAGCTATCTCTCTGTTTGACAGTGGTAGGCAATAACCATCTCACTCACTTACCATGCCTTGAACCTTGTTACATGTTCTTGTTTTATTTTTTATTGAATTTCCTTATAACACTTTGTTGATCATTATCACAGTGGTGTGGTACTATTAAGCTGGATCCTATCCCGGAGGCTATACTCCTATGACCTCTTAAGTAGGTTCTATGACTCACCCTCCGATGCACTGTACTATTAACCTGCATTTAACTAGCCTGTGCAAAAATACTATTGCCTGTCTAAACATCCACTGCACACGTCCTGATCTAATTCTTATCTCTTCGCCACTCTCTATGCATTGAATTACTCTTGTCATTACTTTAATTTAAAAAAAAAAGTTGTGCAGTTTCCTTGCACTATTTGCTGCATAACTATCTCCGTGACTTCTTTGATTGTGTATAATATCCGTGTTATCATGCTGCACATCAAAAATAAAGAATAAAAAAATAAATAAATTGTTTTATACATACTACATAATCAAATACATACAAAAGAAAAACAAAATGATCCATTACAGCAATAGTGTTATTTGATGATAATCTTTATAGTGTATTGGCGTTATGTTTTTGTTTTTAGATAAAAAAAAGAAAGTTACATTTCAAAACAAATGGTAAAATACAACATAATTGAATGGGACTTATTTTAGGCATCCTTCTGAATGAATGAGGAGAAGGGGGGTAGAGGAATCGACCTCAAATCTAAAGCATGAATATCTATCAGATCATTTAAAAACAAAATATATCAAACTCAAGGATACATATAATTTTGGATTTGGCCTTTAAAAGTATTATGTAAGAGCCATGCTAACCTTATACGAAAAAACAGTTCTACAAAAAGAAAAAATTTAAAGCCCAACTCTGTCTCTGTCTGATACAAGCTGCCAGTACAAAAAGTGTGGATCTCAAAGTTGGAATTAAAACATTTTGCATATATAATGTACCACGTATATATATATATATATATATAAATACATATATATGATACATTATTAAACACAGATACCCACACCAAACAGGCTGTAAGACTTGCTTTTCACACAGAAACTTCACATTTACTGTGCTGCTACTACTGCAGTGGATTCTGGGTGGGCACTGCGTGAACTACCACAGTCGCAGGGGGCCTGGTCGACCAGAGTGCCCGCCAGCATTTTGGTGCGTCCCCGGCCACACAGAAAAACTGCCGGGGCCGCATTGAAGGAGCCCTGTGGGTGGGCATATGCAAATGAACTCAACAAAGGACCATATATATATGTATGTATATTATATTATTTATAGTTCTATTTATTTGCAACTTTTTTATGAGAGGACAAGCACCAGTAACATAAATATTATTTACATTTAGCATGCTCGTGATACTGTATCGAATGGCTTTTAGAGAGCTCTCTTCTTGATGGATTGGCTTTGATCATCATCAGAGTACTGATAATGTACGAAGATTTTACAGTAAACCTTTGTACTGTTATTGTCACTATTTTTGCTGTCCAACGAACATAACATACTGTACGGTGAGCTGGCTACACGATCCCTCTTCTGTCTACTTTACTTGAAACATATTCCTGGTTGCAAAGGTAACTACATAGCGATACCTTGTAGAGCGCTTGAATTCTCCACTCTGCATTCACACTGCCGTATAAGTTACCCTTTAATCACAGAGAGAGGTAAATCCTAGGTCTTTGTTCACATTCACGATGGCTGATATTAATCTGACCTGCGCCGCTACCAAGATCGATGCATCAAAGTAAGCTTTGTGCTGTAACCCACTTCTGAACGGCCTCACCTGGAAAAAAAGAAAAAAAACAAGCTTTGTAACTTTATTGAAATCCTAGGAAGTTTTCGAGTTGTTCTTTGTTTGGTGATAATTCTTGGAGGCATTGTTTCAACGTGATAATCTGATGTAAATTTTAGTTGGCAGAACTTTCTTGCTAATAACAGACGATCGAAATCAGTTATGAAACAAGATCTGATTTGGTATATTTATTATGGGTTGTTAAATTTCAACAGATGTGTCTTTAGAGAATACTCCAGTTTTATTTTAGTGTTATGCTACTTATCCATGTGTGATTCTATGTGTAGTTCTAGGATAATGATGAATTAGGTCGTTTGTAACGCCAATGTAGCCATCATTCAATATGATCAAACCAGTCCCAGAACACAGCCTGGGGTTCTCAAAGTCTTGTGATTCAGAAGAAGCTTAAAGAAATAGCAGGATTAAGGCACAATTACACATTTTGACAGTTTTAGCCTTTAACCACAATGTAATTTAAAAGGTCTGCATCAAAGGCAATCATAGCTAAGGTGTTAAGTAGATCTCACTTAAAGCAGCTCTGTGCTTATTGGGTCCCTCAGCCTCCAGCCTTGGGAAACCCTCAGCTCACACTCCCAAAAAATTAATAGAGCCCAGTACTGATACAATGTACCCTTTTTATTTATATGCAGTCTGGCTGTGCCTTCTTTTACGGCAACGCAATCTTAATGTGTCAAAGATGGCAGCTCCCAGTAATTCAGTCCTCTGCCCTTCTCTGGGCATGTTCGTCAATTGTCTTGCATGCCAAGTGCTTACACAGACCTCAGTTAACTCTTGTGATGCTGCGAGAGTCAACACTCAGGATCTGTTGGAAGTGATGTGACACTGTAGGGAGACAGGCGTTCATATGACGTCCAGTGACAAAGTTGACAAAGTACATGGAACTTGACTAAAGCCAAGTTATGTTTACCTGCAGGTTATGCAAAAGTATAAGTAGTCCCTACATTACCTTATGTATAACTTAAAAAAAATATGTCATTTTAAAACAAACTGGACAGGTGGTGGGAGGCATTTGGACATAAAAAAAATGGAGAGATCGAGCCAAGTTAAACCCATCTCAAGTCAAATTCACATATGAGCACTTTGCTATAACCCATTGCTAAGCAGCATAGCATAGATTTTTGACAATGGTGTGCATGGTTAAAGGTATCAACCAGACAGCCACTTGAGGCGCTTCCTGGAGTTTCAATGAGTAGTACTCCATGAGACAACACTGGACGTTTATTGTATTTTCATGTTAAAAGGGTTACTCCAAGCACCATGACCACTTCAGTGATTTGAAGTTGTTATAGTGTCTGGAGTCTGCATGTGCAGTGTTTCCCTTTAAAACGCTGCAGGTACAGAGATTGATCCCTCTTCTGCCAGAGGTGTACCTCCACCTCTGGCAGCATATTGGGGATATCATCAGCCATCATTGCTAAACATTATCAGGAAAACAGGCCAGGGTACTCTCATCATCGTGACCACTGCTATTGGCTGTAGAGGATATGATGATTGGAGTAACCCTTTAATGTATTATGACATGTTTTAATATATATATGAAATGAAAAAAACATAGTTAAGTTAAAGGAACAATGCAAGAACCATAACCACTATCGCATCCCAGCACTGTAAGTAGTCAAACTAATTTTAGAATGGTTTGGCTAATCACCTGGGGTCCACTGGAAGCTGTTCCAGTCCTTCTCTACAGTCGTCAGAGATCTGGAATCTCTCTGAGCTAAGGCTGGTAGAGCAGGACTTATTAGCTGAAAGTGATCAGCTAATGCTCAGTGGGATCTTCCGGCGGAGGATCCCAGGTAAAAAGTCAAGCTGTTCTAAAATGGTTTAATTACTTACAATGGGGAGTTGGAGTCTTTGAATTGAGTTGGGGTATATTTATAAAATACTGGTGTACCAGTGAAATTGAGAGATTTGTCTGCAGAGAATAACAAGTGTACTGCAATGATGAATGATGAAATGATGAACTGAATTGGGTAATTTGCAACTACAATGTAGCCATCATTGCTCATTCGACTTGGCATACAGTTCCTACGATCCTTATGATCCGTTATTTCCCTCTAGTGACCTTGCAAGTTCTTTTTATATCTGTGCTATGTAGACTATTTTATGTATGTCCTTGCTCTGAAGACCTTATAATACATTAGCACGGCTGAAAACCCTTAAATGAACACACAATTTTTATTTTATAAAAATTTTATATATATTTCTGTTCTGTTTTATTTTAGATACAGTGAGGGGAAAAAAGCATTTGATCCCCTTATGATTTTTAACGTTTGTCCACTGACAAAAAAATGATCAGGCTATAATTTTAATGGTAGGTGTATTTTAACAGTGAGAGACAGAATAACAAACAAAAAATCCAGAAAAACGTGTTTGTCAAAAAAGTTATAAATTGATTTGCATGTCAATGAGTGAAATAAGTATTTGATCCCCTATCAATCCGCAAGATTTCTGGCTCCCAGGTGCCTTTTATACAGGTAACGAGCTAAGATTAGCAGCACATTCTTAAAGGTAGTAGCTTGTTAGGTAGGTAGCTTGTTACCTGTATAAAAGACACCTGTCCACAGAAGCAATCAATCAATTAGATTCCAAACTCTCCACCATGGCCAAGACAAAAGAGCTGTCCAAGGATGTCAGGGACAAGATTGTAGACCTACACAAGGCTGGAATGGGCTACAAGACCATCGCCGAGTAGCTTGGTGAGAAGGTGACAACAGTTGGTGCGATTATTCGCAAATAAAAAGAAACACAAAATAACTGTCAGTCTCTCTCGGTCTGGTGCGCCATGCAAGATCTCACCTGGTGGAGTATCAATGATCATGAACTGCACAGGAGGATCTTGTTAATTATCTCAAGGCAGCTGGGACCATAGTTACCAAGAAAACAATTGGTAACACACTACGCCGTGAAGGACTGAAATCCTGCATCTTTATTAATAAATATCAAATTACACTAAAATATACACATCAACAGGTAGGTACTAAAGAGATAGCTGCAATGATTTTCATTCTATAGAATCCCAAAAAACTATATACACAGATGTATAAAGGTCGCAAATTTATATATAGAAAACGCACTAATTGCTGTGGAAACAATGCCAGATCAGAAATGCGCCGATCATGCATGCGCGATACCCTAAACCTGCTCCCAGCTGTTTTTTTTTTTCCTGGTACAAACTAAGACTGAATTGATAGAGGGGGACAGAAAAAACTGCCTTCACTATACTGCAGGCATACTAGGCTCCCCCTAGCGTTCTAAATCATTCAGGAACTATTCCCTTTCCCGGAATGGCAGGCACATAACTGATTTACCCTTCTTCCTCTATGGTTTCCAGGCTGCTTCCCTTGGGTCACTGCAGCATACACCCCCGGTCACTATTGAGGTCCTGAATGGGGCCGCACTATGGACTGAAGCTTATGAAGGAAGAGAGGCTGAACTCCCCTCAGGCACAGGAGCCTAACAGCCACAGTTAGAATAAAAATTAAAAATTAAAAACATGCTTTAACACAACGAGTCCATGGGGAGTGGGAAATACAGATGAAGAGGCGTCTTATAGGATTGGTAAAATTGTTCCTGTCCAATGGAAGTGAGGGGAGGAGCTAGACCTTAGAGTTGTGCTGCCATGGCTCTGGTACTGAAATTAGGAGATAATTAAAGACTCCCAACGTTTTGCCTGAAAAGCCTTTGTCAAGTGGAATTACCTTGGAAGATACATTGGATCACATAGTATCAATTACTGAAACGTTAGCCCAAAATGTGTGGGATTTTTTTCTTTCCCTTTTTTGTTCACAGGTTAGAAAATTACGTTTTTATGTAAAATGTGCAGAAAAAAAAATATATATACATGATGTTCTTTTTAAATATTTTTTATTGAACTTATTTTTTATTTATAGATTTTACAACATGTATTTAGTATTATAAAATGAAATCAAACATTTAAAAAAAAGTGAAATACATATCTGCTTACATAAACAAACATTTGAATTATACACCAGTAGTAACAATATTTCAATTACATCATTATCTTATTTGTATCAGCAATATATATTGTATGCTGCAACTGTTTGGTAGACAGATATATATTTAACTGTTTTTTTAATTCATTATATACTGCTAAATATACACGATGTTCTGCCATTTGTGTGAACCTATTGTTTCTTTTCGTATGTTTTCGAATGCATGAAAGGTATTTCTCAACATTACAATTCTTCGTTCCGACAGCCGATACCAAATGGTTCCAGCCTTTTCTGGTCTAGTGTTAGTGTTGATTCACGGAGTGACATTTTATGAACATTCCGCTTGTTGAAGTACGACTTGTGCTTTCTGTAGTAGCTGCAAAAAAGCAGTTTCCAAATGTTTTTCAACAATAACCGTCTCTTAGAATATGTATACATTACTGTCATGTCATGTGAATACATCAATGAGTGACACTTTCACATGACAATGATTGCAGCTAAGACCGGTCTAACTGGTGGATTCAATGACGTTTCTAATGTGCAGGTTTTTTATCCTTTAATCCTATTATTTCATCAGTTGTCATTGCTAACATGGAACTATTTAATTCTAATTTTCTACTATATCATTGATGGATAACACTTCTTCTAGGCTGTCAGAGCATCATGGGACCACCATGTTGGCCACAAATACTTGGTGTAGAATAGCCGTAGATGGACAAAGCCAACTTTACTTCTCTAATTTTCATTCACAACAGGTGTGGGAATGGAGGCTGTAAGAGGAAAATGCCGCAGGGAGATTTCTTATTAAATATTTACTTTTTCTGTTCCTTGGCTCCTCTACAGCAGAGGTAGGCAAACCCATGTTGGAGCTTTAACAAAGGAAAAATTTAAGTACCATAGGGTGTCTGTTACTTTCAAAGTAACATTAAAACGCTTTCATTTAATTGTAATTTGGCTCTGCATACGCTACTGTTCTTTTTAATGCACACTATGTGCGTTCAATGGGATCTAAAGGATTTCAGCAACCCTTTCCTCCACCTCACCCCAGCTTTAACTCTGCAGCGCCTCCTGCAGGCTGATCCTCCTTTGCTGACATCATTCCCTTTTACAGCACGGGCAGGAATACAGGTGAAGGTTGGGCTGATGGGCAGACATGGGCGGCAAAGCGGGGGCATTCAGCAATAAGACATTTGTCACCAGAATGCAGTGCGTGGTGATGACAGATATTTAATATGCCAAGAACTGGCATTAGTAACTACACAAAACTCATATTCTGTGTTGGCTATTGACTCCCTAATGATGCTGATGGAGGGGACTGCTTTGTGGCGACTGGGCAGCAAATGCTGTCCAGCTACTAGTTTTTACTGTTTGTGGATATGCTTTAAACCTCCTTTTTGATATTGTTTATTTTTGTTTTGCTATAAACCAACACACATAGTTTGCATCGTCATGACTGCAACAATATTGAATAGCAGCAGTGAGATATACGTATGTCATGGCAAAAGGTACAGCACGATATATGTTTTGTAGGATGTGTAGGTAAAGTCAGCTTAGATTAAGTTGACCTAGGCGTCAATTGGACCCATGTATGTAAACACCTAAGACAGTATGGGGTAGGGTTACAGGTGACCCTTGAGTAAGCGTGTCTTAATACTGTCAGTCAGCTGTGCAACAATCAGCTGCAATGTGAGGTTAGTATTACGTGTCTGTATAAGCTGTGTACTGTTTAAATACCTCTTGGGGGCCATGCGAGTCCTGGTTCCGCTGCTGGCGAAATATGGCTCCCTGTCAGGATATAAGGTCAACATGAGCAAATCTAGTGCCCTCCCGGTGGGCCTGCCGGTGGCAGACACGACCAGCATTAGAGACACATACCACATTCATATCGCAAACAAATCAAATACTTGGGGATTAACCTCCCCTCGGACCCAGCACACCTGTACCAAACTAACTATGCAGTGGTGATGAAAGAACTGATGGCAGATTTGGAAAAGTGGATAGACAAACCAATTTTGTGGATTGGGCAAATCCACACGATCAAAAGAACATTCTACCCTGCATTTTATTGCCGCTCCAAGCAGTGCCTATTCACGTAGCGAAAAAAGACCTAGCCCCATAACAGACAGACAAATTCATCTGGCAAAATACGAGTCACAGAGTAGCTCACAACATGTTGTACAAACCCTAGACAGCAGGAGGCCTAGGGCTGCCTCACGTGTACTTTTATTACTTAGCAACACAACTGATACTTTATGGCACCCTCCCTCCCCTGAGGAAATGAGATGGGTGAACCTAGAGTCCCTCATGATGGGCATAGATCTACCCCAGTTTTACATCTGGACCTCAAGGGAACAAAGGGCGTTAATACACACTAACTGTCCAACCATAATAACCACCATCTGGGTCTGGGATACCGCGGCTCGGAAATATGGGCTCATGTCCACTCCGTCACCTATAAAGCCCTACTTCGAAATCGGGCCTTTCTACCTGGCATGCAGGCCAGAGAGTTTAAAGGACTTGAATATGCAGGGCTCAAACAGGTCCACCAATTATACACCGGGGATTCGGTCATTCCCTTCAATGTCCTTTAATCTAGAACCACTCTAACACCGGCAGACTTCTTAGATACAGGGACTTTGCCACCCAACCACACATCAACCAGGCTGCTCCCACTCCACTGACTTTCTATGAGCACCTATGTAACGCAGAAACATACCAGAAAGGGCTTATCACCACTTTATATGCAGAATTAGGCGAAGACCTAGAAGGAATAGACTGGCAGGATATATGGGAGGCCAACAGAAAAACATCTATCTGCGTGACCCTCCAGGAACAGTCTTACAAGATCATGTTCCGCTGGTATACCACTCCTGTCAAACTATACCGTATGAACAAGACCCCAACGGATCTCTGTTGGAGACTCTGTGGAACCAGAGGCACATACCACCACATGTGGTACAACTGCCCACAAAGAGATTTGGAAGAATGTGAGTACTCTGGTTTCCCAGGTCCTCCACAAACGACTACATCCGGATCCCTGGGTGTTCTTACTCTCTAGACCAATAGAGGGCTGGGCTAAGCACTACTCCACAAAATCACACTAGCAGGCAGACGAGCTTTAGCCCAGACCTGGCTAAAACCCATGTTACCCCCCATAGACACGGTAATCCTCCAACTGAAGGACAATTATCTCATGGATAGGTTGATAGCACAAGTAAGGGGTACCACTAAGGCCTTCACAAAGACATGGGAACCATGAGAGGAATACATCACACAAAGTTAACAAACTGAGCACACATGAGAGGCCCCCGGGAATCTGGGGCAGCCTGGGAAGCACCCTTCTGTCGTCGGCACGCCACCGGCCTGCCCTGTCCTGTCCCTCCACCTCATCGTTCAATCGTTCACTCACGCCACTCTCCTGCCAGGAACCAAATTCTCAAACTACTCCTCTTTCTCTTCTTTTTTGTTTGTCTACCACAAACTAGGGGACATCTTGTAGCAGAGATGCAATATTCCCCAGGGTATCTCGGCTTATAATCCAAGTGAGGCTCAGGAACAAGTAAATAATAAATCCACAGGCAAGGTTTCCAGCAGGTAAAATAACAGCAATATTCCCACAGCAATCCCAATAACTGGACGACACACAGTTTCAGGAGCAGAACTGAAAGCTTTAATCCACAGTCTCCTTTTAAAGCATGCTCCCATGCAAGGGAGGGATTTACAGTCATTAGTACAGTAGCCAATCCCGTCCCGGTAACCTCCCACACATCTCCTCCCCTCAGCCAGCATCATAATCCCATTATCCAGTACAGTAATTCCCCCTGTTTCTGGATGTACCCCTAAACGTAGGGGTACCTCTTTAAATCCTACATCCCCGGATAGCCCTGATCTGGGTGAACAACATATCCAAAAATCACCCAGATCAGACCAGGGGTTCGGGAAATGTATGGAGGGAATAAAATGACCGACCGCACTAACTTAGTCAGCCGAATGAGGTTCCATGCGAATGGGCCCTGCGGTCGATCCTGGCATAAGGGAATAAAATACACGAAAGCCTCTAGCTATAGAAGCTGGGGAGGGTTCGCCTGAATCCCCTCGTTTGGTTCTTTCTATCTACCGAACAAGGGGCCGTTCGGTGGTTAGGAACCGAACGGACCGGGTTTGTGGAGGTCTCAGTGGTGTTCGCCTACTCGAGTGTCCGATTTTAGTTCCAGACACTCGACGGCAAAACACCGCTGTTCGGGAGTTTTAAAATGGCCGCCGCCACGTGTTCGTTTGTCGAATGGCGGCCACCCCCGAGAACAAAGGACGGCTACTTACTAGGCAATTACCCGTTCGCAACAATGTTGCAACGGGTAATTGAGGACACACTTCACACAGGGGAGGTCTGGTTGTTCGGTAGTTTCATTCGAATGAATTAAGGGAATGAAACTACCGAACAATCAGAGGAATACAGTTCTTTTAAAAGACATATAACACAGCAGATCACACGAATGCAGTTATGTACAATATATTTGCAGGACAGCCCGGTGCCATCCGCTACACATCTTCTCTACAAGACACACCCTATGGAACTGGACACACACACATCCAAGCAATAATCGCTACACTGATGGTCCCCTAGATCCAAAACCTATTAATAACTAGGGCAATGCATTCTCTTATACTCAGTAATAGGAGTTGCACTCTTGTTTAAGCGACCAAAATATGGCATACTAAGGTTTCTTAACCTTTCTCTTATACTAATGGCAGCCATAACTTGAGATGCCGAGATAGACACAACGCCCGATGGGAATGTGGCAACTCAGTGCACCGTCATATGAAGAGATGTCGAAACCACACTAAGACTCACGATAGACCGCCCACTTCCTGAGCCCTACATAGGAAATAAGAATGGTTATTAAAAATTAAAATACATGAAATGTGAACTGGGGATAAGGGGGGCAGGGACGATAGCACAATAAGGGGATACCAAATATGTTGCCTGCATGCAACACATATCTACATTGTCCACCTAAAATTGTAACATTGTGCTACATACCATATGGGCCTACATTCTATTTTGTTAATGCTTGATGTTTGTCTCTCCACCCGAATGCTTATTCACAAATAAAGAATAAAAAAAAAAAAAAAACCTCTTGGGGGGTGTGGTAAAACTTATAGAGTGTCTGCTCATGGAGCCAGAATAAAGAAACAACTAACATAACAGAAAACAAATCAATATGGTTGTACTAGATAAGCATAAAGAATAGGAAGCAAGCATGCAGTGGAGATAAGGCTGAGTGATAACACTCTTCATGTTGGAGTATCTCTCGGTGCTGCTGCTCGCGGAACAAATGGGATTATAGTAGCATAGCTTTTAGCCTTCGAATATAGTGTGGTAACTCATCTGCCGTGACTGCCTCAGGTACTCGTCTTAGTCTTATAATCCTAGCCTTGGTCCTGTCTTCCAGGGCTGCCATGCGGCAATGCAGACCGACATTGTCCTTTTGCAGTGAGCCAAGGGCCGTGTCTCTGGCTGTTTGTGCAAAATCTTCCTCTGCAGTGGCAATTTTGGGAAGGTAGAGAGCCTTTCAGGCAAGCTTTTCTCATCCGAAGAGACTTTTGTTGAGGCCTCCGCTGCCGCCATTTTGGCTGGTTCGGGCATAGCAGGCTTAAACCTCTTTTCTAGTGATATGGTCATATTGACTCCCTTAGGCTTATTTTTGTAATTTATTTTTTTAAATCTCATTTTAAGGTGACAGCTAGCTAGCAAACACTGACCACGCGCCACAATGTTATTCTGACATCGCCAAGGGGTATTTACCTATTCATTGCCATTTTTTTTTCTTTTGTGCTTGCTAAATATTTCGAATCCTTTCAGATGCGAAAAGAACTGATTTTGATTAAGTCAGGCAACCGAAATCCAACCATTTTCACCAGATTTAGTCCACTCAGACAAAAGCCAGTGTTAATGAATTACCCTATAAATTGTTTTCAGTTTGTCTATTTGTCCAAACCAGCTATAGTCACAGGCTTGGCTATTTGTGCATCAGTTTTGCCATTCAGAATTCGTTTGAGAACATGGAATTTTGTGAATATATATTAGAACTCTTCAGTAGAGGCCCTGTAAATTTAAATGACAATGCAGCCATTTTTGCAGCCGGGGAGAGAAGGTGGCACAAAATACTCCGTATTCATAGCCTGTAATGCCTTTTGTAATTATTATGTACAACATAATTTCTTAATTTTGCTGACATTGTGGAATTTGCATTCCAAAAAATAACAGCATTGCTTAATTATGCCAAAGATAGCCTAGATTTAATATTTTTGGATAAACTTTTCAAACGATTTTACATTTTTTAAAAAGATTTTTTTAACATTTTTTGATTGATATATTTTTATATATGATATATTTTTTTGATATTTTGAAAAACGTATTTAAAATTGTTATCCAAAAATATAAAATTGACACTGATGTTTGTTATTTTTTCTATATTATCTGCTTTTCTACCATATTTTTGCTGAATCACTTGGAATACTCATTTGAAATTTATCCGTTTAGTTCTTTAAAGGTAATCCTTCCTTAACAACAGTGTAAATACAAAACAGTCATATCCTGTGACATTACTTTAATGCTTCTTAGTTTAGTAAATGTGTTTTGTATGCTATAAACTGTTTTCATAAAAGTTGTGTGCCTGGTGCATTTCGCTGTAAAATATTCATATAGCTTGTTAGAATATAAAATGCTTTACACATGATACTGAAAATGCAATTTAAAAATATATAAATAACTAAAATGCAGTGGTTTTTATGCAGATTGTGTTATGCTTTTGTTGTCTTCTAAATCTCGACTATATCTTAGTTTGGTTTTAAATCTGTTATTATGCTGTTGTGAACCTTGTACGGTCTTGCTATAAATAGAAGCATCACACTGTCAGTGACATCACTGGCCTGTTCCACCTCAATTTTCTGGAATGTATTTAGACACAATCATGTATTTTACTGTAACAGGCATAATAGACATTCTAGTGTTTTGTAGGTTTCTGCCTTTGAATTGATTTTGAGTAGAGGAAAGGGTAGGTTTTTATAGTCACACGTTTTTCACATAGCTTAGAAAGTCAAAGAAATGTCCTTCCTTTGTGCAGAAAGAAAATCATGCTATTCTCATGATCGCTATAAAAGAGATTTGACTAGGTTGTTGCGCATTAACGTATCGTTCAGCTTAATAAAATCAATATAAAACATTTTATGTGTGTGTAGATAGAAATACTTTCTACAAAAGTAGAAAACACCTAGGACAAGTTTACGCTAACATTGCTTAATTGACATTATTTTTTGTCAATATGACACCATTTAAATGGGAAATGTTTTGGGGACTCAGGCACTTGATGGTCAGGGAAGTTGTGTGTTGTCACTTTTCAATGACAGACTTGAGGCTGGGCACTTGAGCAACTTCCATTAAAGGGACACAGTAGGCAACATAACCACTAAAGATTGTGCCACTAGAACACAGGCACTATCTGCTGGTAATCTGTCAAAACGTTTACAAATGGTTTGGCAGTTACCTCGCCATGTTGGATACCAGCGGTCAATCTGGTCTGAGCTCAACTGAAATTCATTCTCCTGTATTATAAAAACAACTCATACAAAACTTAGATAGAAATTGTTGGCTGAGAGCCATCAGTCGACATTCACAGTCAATGAATACTGTTTAAACCTTATATGTGTTGCATTGGTGTGATTATGGAGAAGTATCACACTTTGTTAGATCGCCTCGAACTGGAAGAACTTTGAGAACCGATACAGCAAGGTAAGTGTTCTTAAATGGTTTGACAGATTGCTGTAGTGTTTATGGTGTTTAAAGTGTCCCTTTTATTATCAGCTAGATATTTCTGCTGTATTATGGGTAGAAGACGTATTTCTAAAAGTTTGTAATCTCTCGGAGCAAAAAAAATAAAAATAATATTTGAACTACGAAAATGCTGACAATTTCTCAGGAATACACGTCTCCTGAACCTGGCCATTCATAGTAAAAATAAATAAATAATTAAAATAAAATGAAATGGCCTTGTTGTGAGTATGGGCCTGCACTTTATACTTTCCCTCTTTTCCATAAGTATAGGCTTGCATGTTGGGGCAAGCAGTGACCATAAGAGACCATAAAGCCATGGCTTACTCGAAGTGGCCCTTTAAGGCAAAGCATCTAGTAACTGTGCGCCAAACTTAAGCTTACCTCACTCCTCAGGATATTGCAGGTCAAGCATTATTAAATAAATAAATACATTTAAGGGATGGGCAGCCACCTCCACTTGTCCTGTGTTTCAAATGTCCGTGAATATGTGCTATGCATTGCTCTTGGAAAATTATATATTTATGGTGAAGAAAACGACATACTTTGGTTCTCAGTCATTATTTTTATCTTGGCGCACGAAAAGAGGCAGCGGGACTTAGTAGTCGTCGAGTGTCTGGAACTCCAAATCGGACACTCGACTTATCGAACGTTGGTCAACTTTGTGAACGCCTGCTTCTTTTCCCTGACCAACCAGGAGAGAGCACTGTTCGGTAGGTTTGTTCTCACGAACCCAGGGAACAAATGCTACCTATGAGCCAGGGGCACCGTTTGTGGATTTGTTCGGTTAAGCATTCCCGAAATTGACCGACTGCTACCCATGAAACTCTGGAACTATTTTGGGCAAGCTCCTCGTGAGCGGTCGGTCAAATCTTTACCCCGGTGGCGATTTGGCTATGTTCAAAGGATTTGAGCACTATTTGGACAACTTGGGTGCTCTGATCCAAGCTATCCAGGGATATGACATTTATGGGGGGTTCCTATAATATTTATGTGTTTTATTATGTACTTTTGATGTACTTTTGATATTAAATATTTTATGTTGGGTCATTGTGACTCAGGAATGTAAGGGGCGTGTTGTGTGTGTACTGTATCCCTGTCTTGCATAAAAGCCGGCTGTTTGGCCTGAATAAAGACATTCCTGTTGTACCCTTCATCTAGTTCAGGCTGATGATAAATAAGATAATTATAGGGCAACAGATTTTTTTAGCACCAAAAGAAATCGGCTCAGCATTCAAATCATACTATCAAGAACTGTATAATTTGCCAGATCATACCTCTCATACTGAATTGGAAGCTTATTTTCAAAATAAATCATTTCCCTCTTTAAATCTACAACAATTGACACAACTTAATGAACCTATAACATCAGAATAAGTAAGTGCCATTATTATTAATCTTAAAGGAAATAAAGCCCCCTCACCCAATAAATATATTGATCTGTTTTTAGATAATGTTGAAGGCAAATTTGTTTCCGATCCTCAAACAAGATAAAAACCCAACGCAATTAGTAAATTATCACCCAATAGCATTACTCAATATTGACTACAAAATATATGCACTATATTAGCTAATAGAATTGAAAAAGTAATTACAACACTTATGGCTCCTGACCAAGTAGGATTCATCCCTGGCAGATCTTCTATCAACCCATTGTACAGCGCTACGGAATCTGATAGCGCTATATAAAAAATAATAATAATAATTACATTACAAAAATTATAAATTTATATCAAAGAATTCATGCGTCTAAAATTCCTTTTCTAAGTCTAAAATTAAAATTCTTTCAGCTATTTCAGCGATGTATTCTTCTCCCTCTGGCAGAGTAGTGGGTCAGGGAATTGAATCAGACTGGTTTGAAATAACCTATGGAACCTGTCAGGGATGCCCTCTTTCCCCGTTGCTTTATGTAATTGCCTCAGAAACTTTGGCCATGGATATAAGGACAAATTCAAATATATAGGGCTTTAAGTTAAAAGAAAGAGAAATTAAAATATGCCAATATACAGATGACACTTTCACTCTTTTCAGTCAATAATGTAATGGCAGTAATACAGAACGATAGTCTCTTGTCAAACTGTAAACTAAATGTGGAGAAAACAACAGCTATGCCATTTTATATGGACAAACAAGAAATAAAATATCTTGATAGGAAGTTTAGCTTTAAATGGGTAAAGAAAAAAATATAGATATTTAGGAATCAAAATAACAGCTAACCCTAATGAATTAATGCAAGTAAATTGTCTATCTCTGCTAAGAGAGACTAATCATCTTTTAAAAACATGGACGAATATGAAAATCTCCTGGTGGGGAAGAGTTAGCACCTTAAAATCCTATGTTGTACCTACATTTATATATCTTTTTAGAATGGTTCCCCTAAAAGTGCCCACACCTTGGCTAAAGATGGTACACACGGCTTTCTCAAAATATATTTGGCTAAACAAAAAACTAGTATAGGTGTTAATCTATTACTCCTTAATAAGAAACAGGGAGGTATTGGTTTCCCAAGCATCGATCTATACTACAGAGCCTCCCCCTTAATGCACGTAGCACTTATGCACCTTGACAACTAAAAATCCTAAGGATGGTATGAGATAGAGGCAGATAGTATTAAATCCCCTTTGGCCTGTTAAATTTGATAAACTACCTTTGGCCTGTTAAATGTTTGAAGAAAAATTGTCCCAGTGAGGTAGAAAATACAATACTGCAAAACCTCTTTAACTTCTAGAATCGTTTCAAAAGAGATGTAAGTCTAGATAATAAAATCTTGCCGTCTCTCCCACTTACACACCTGATGAATATGTTAGAAAATTTGGATTTGTCATTATGGGTCCAGCAGGATATCACCGAAATCACCATGCTCTGGAATCCAAAAAGCCTTAACCCCTTACGGACACAACATCTGGAATAAAAGGGAATCATGACGGAATATTTCCGTCATGTGTCCTTAAGGGGTTAAAACCTTTCTAAATTTACAGCAATCTTATAGTATTCCACAGCAGGAGATATTTAATAATATTAGAATTAGTATTTTTTTTTAAACTTATATATAGAAAAAATTCAAATGAAATAGTGAACAAATTAAACAATATTATTGAACTTGGAAGTTACATAATTACTTTTGAAATGTATTGTTATAGTACAAGTTATTAAAGGAAATACTATCCCCAAGGCAAAAGACAGGTGGACTAGAGATCTTAAAAAAGAAATTTAAATCTCAGAGTGGTATGCTGCCCTACAAACAGTATACTCATCAATTCATTGCCTTACTATAATGGTAACACATTACAAGAATCTAAATAGGTGGCATTTAACGCCTCAAAAACTATAGAAGATGTATCCTCAGGATAGATGTTTCTGCTGGAGAGGCAACGCTGACATAGCCGATGAAATACAAATATGGTGGGAATGTCCTCTAGTTAAATCCAGTTGGGAAACACTTTTTGAATATATTACTTAATTCTTAGGATTAAAACGGGTGTGGACAGAAGAGATGGCAATATTAAATCTGATATTACCATCTCTACCGAAAAGCCAAAGACCGTTTTTGATCCATATTTTAGTGGTCTTTAAAAGCTCTGTTGCCACAAAGTGGAAAAATGGTTGAACCGTGGCCACAAATTAAAGAGCGTGTCAAATTCCACTGTAAGATGGAACAAGAAATTGCCTCTAATTTTTGTGTCAATTGAGAAAAATACTGTATTTGGGACAACTGGTTAAAGATTTCAGGATCGACGCTATAAAGGGCAGTTGAGACCCAGAGATAACTTGAGTTGAGTATATAATAGTTTCCTCTGTTTCCATCATATGGCCTTGCCCTCCCATACTGCCCTTAGGTAATTTAGCTAATGTAGTTTTCTTCACACTATATGTCCATATATGTAAGTTTGCATTTTATATGTAATTTTCATATAACAAATGATAATGAATAATGTATGTATTTATATTTTGAAAACCAATAAAAAAGTACTGTATATACTCGTGTATAAGTCGATCTCATGTATAAGTCGAGTGCAGTTTTGTGACCAACAATTGTGAAATATGCTATGCCTCATGGATAAGTCGAGGGTAAGACTTGGGGCTATGAAATTCTGTGATTTTTATAATTACATACACACACACTCATACAAACACACACTCTGCATTATATATACACACACTCATACAAACACACACTCTGCATTATATATACACACACACTCATACAAACACACATTCTGCATTATACACACACACACACTCATACAAACACACACTGCATTATATACACACACTCTGTGTATATAATGTAGAGTGTGTATATAATGAAGAGTGTGTGTTTGTGTAGTGTGTGTGAACTGGGTGGGGGGAGGGCATTTTTATTATTTTAATTTTAATATAATTTTTTTTTATTATTTGAATTTTTTTTTGTCCCCCCTCCCTGCTTGTTAACCGGTCAGGGAGGGGGGCTATCTTAATCCCTGGTGGTCCAGTGGCATGGGCTGTGAAGTGGGGGGCCAGCAGGAAGCATTTACTTACCTTTCCTGCAGCTCCTGTCAGCTCCCTTCTCCTCCGTTCCGGTCAGCTCCACTGTAAGTCTCGCGGTCTGGTTGCCGCGCGGATTGTTGCCACGGCTCTGACGGCCGCAGCTCTCTAAGTTGCCATAATACAGACAGTGACTCGAGTATAAGTCGAGTGGGGGTTTTTAAGCACAAAAAATGTGCTGAAAAACTAGACTTATACTCGAGTATATACTGTATTTATTAAAAAAAAACAAAAAGAGAACCTACTGCTATATCAGGGAAACGGCAGTGTTTGCATTTATCCCATACCGCACCTTTAGGGGCTGCCAGGAAAATTGTGTGGTTTCGCGCCAACAAGTCCATTACTATGACATTGCACTGAGAATAAGCCAAATCCTCCTCGTCTCTAAAGTTTCGCTATGAGAAGCATTGGATTGGACCAAAGTTAGCAATACTGTCAACTTTTCTCAAAAGCGTTGTGGCAGCTTCATAGTGACTAACCCAGCCCAGGAATAAAATTTAGCTTTAAGGAGATTTTTACATAAAAATAAAATAAAAAAATAGGTGCCAGGAATCCATTCAGTAGCATTCATGTTAAAAAATAAATATATTATATTTATTTTTAACAGTGTGTTCCTTTAATAAACATGCACACACAGTGATAATACCAAAATTATCCAGGAACCATGATCATCATGAATGATGGATTACAACACTTGAGTGCATCTAAGACAATAGGACGTATTGAGCAGCTTTCTAGCATGTTACAACAGAATATGGATTGCTACAAAGAACAAGTGAAGTAATACGGGGCTTTGGATGCCCCGAGGACAGGAATATATGATGATGTATTATTTCAACAGATTATGGTTGTATGAGATGAACACCAATGCGGCTCTGTATTAATATATAATATGCTTCTAAAACATGTTACTGCCAAAAGAGGAGTCAAGGCATCCACTAAGTAAAGTATGAACTAATTATGCCAAACAGAAACTCATAAAATGCTACTGAAATTACCTCAATTTATACATAGTACACAAACAGGCAACAGTGCGCACAAACAAACATTCTTTTAAAAATTGAAAAGCTATTTGCATGATTTGCACTCATGTTAAAATGAAGTTGTAACCCAGCACCGTTGAATAACTGTCATATTGCTCGGCGAAACCATATGGTGTGAACAAATCCCCATATTTATAATTTAGGTAGGGGAATTTAAAGAAACACTATAGGCTCAGAACACAAACATGTATTCCTAACCCTATAGTGTTAAAATTACTATCTAGCCCCCCCGACCTCTCCCCTGCCTCCCTAAATTTAGTAAAATCGTACCTTTATTCCAGTCTGCTGGTGCTAGCTGTGCCCCCTGATCTGCCTCCTTGGCTGACATCATCAGGAGTAATGATCTCAGCCAATCCAATGCTTTCCCATAGAAAAGTATTGGATTGGCTGAGATAGTCAATTCTGATGATCTCAGCCAAGGGGGCAGGGCAGGGTGGAGTCACTGGAGGAAGCACCTCTAGCAGCCATCTGAGGAGTGGCCACTGGAGGTGTTCCTAGGCTTTAATATAAACACTGCCATTTTTCTCTGAAAACAGTGTTTACTGCAAGAAGCCTAGCAGGGACTGACTATATTCACAAGAACAAATACATTAAGCTGTAGTTGTTCTGGAGACTATAGTGTCCCCTTAAAACTTAAGTGACAGAATAGTCTGAAAGCTTATACCAATCTTTACCTATCCTGTGGTAATGCCACTGTGTGACCGCTACATTGACTCGGTGAATTATTCACCGAACTGTGAAATGAGGGGAATTTAACATAAAATCCGAGTAAATTTACAATTTTAACAGACTTCAACAATTTTTTTTGCAGCTTGGCAAATAGTTGAGTCTCATAGATTACTGTACACATAGTATCTACAATCAGGAACTTTAGAATCCTCGCCATTTATATTACCTTATAATTGTTTCCCCTGTGGAATGATATTCTTACCAGTGAGCAAAATCGCACCTCTCTAACAATAACCTCAATGCTTGGCTTGTGCAGGTAAGCAGCACATATTTGATTAGCCCATAACATTTCTTTCGCTTAAGTGTTCTCTTTCGTAGACATTCACAACTTGGAGTGTAGAGATACTTATAGAACGTTTATCTTTTCTGAACCGCATTTGTTTTCGACTTCTTTTTTTGTGACGCCCCAGTTCACTAATTTTCCCTTAAGTTTTGGTTTGTTTGTTTTTTCTCTACAAAAAAAAAAAATGTAAGTGGAAATTGTGAAATTATGTGCGTTGTTGAACAGACCTCCAGATGTTATTATTCCAAAATTTTCACTATATGTCACAACGATGTTAACGTACCTCTTCTGAAACAAGAGTGGATTATTCCACATCTGAATCCACATCAAAAAGACAGACATTTTCATGCTCCAACTATTTACTATTAATATACCCATCCCTTTAACTATTCACCAAACAATTGTTTCTTAACAAAGTCACTGAAGGCATCCCGGGTGCAACGCTACAAAGCTACAGTACATTTACTATCTTCAGAATTACTCATATGTGCATTATGAGGAGCTGAACATTGATCAGTGGGTGTTTTATATGATATGTGCACCTGTGCAATCCTGGTTTCGAAGGTTCCCAACAACTGTCTTGTTTAAAGGGGAAGTAAAGTATTTTTTTGAAATGGCCCTGTTTTATTGTGCTACATGATTTACAGTAATATGTTTTACTTGTGGGGCGGTTACAACAGAAGGGACACATTCACACTACATGAATACGCAACGCACATTCATCGGGAGGCAAGTTGTTAAACAGAACTGTCCATCCAGTTGAGTTAATGAGGCCTAAAATTTGCAATTATCGTGTCACTTTTTCACATTTTCCATCTTAGTGGAAAATCATAAGAGATTGTATTGCATGGTTTTTGCTATTTTATTCTTAATAATTTTTTTAATTAACTAACTGCCTTCCCTGTAGACGGCTTGGGTGAACTTTTTATGAATTGAAGGGATTGAACTTCTGTCATGAAGGAGGTAAACAACATGAAAGCATTTAACAAAAATGACCTAATCTTTTTCACAGTTATCTCTGGGTTGGTAGAGGTAGGGTAGCCTCCTTTTATATAATACAATACGAAAGGTACATTCTTGATTAAACGTTAACAGCAAGATAGACAGATAAGGTTTGAGTGATTTTTCTTAACAGAATGAAAGAGAAAGACTAGTAAACACAGACAGTAAAGATAGTAAATTAAAGTTTGCCAGTGACTTCAACCTAGTACTGCCTTGATGCGTGTTTGCAGTGCCCCCTGCTGGTAAATTAACTTTGAGACAATTACGGCTGCTATAGGCTTCCAGCATGCAGTTGCTCGTGGCAACCTTAAATACAGTCTATACTGCCATGCCAACAAAGAATGCTATATACATTCATATAGTTCCTAGTAACAGCATAATATATAGACAAACTTTTATTAAAATTACATTGTTATGTGCAGTTTATAGAGCAGTTATGTTCTAAATAAGTATTTCTGGATAATAAATTCTCTAGCAGAATCAGTAACCCTCCACGTACTAGTAACCAACCATTGAAATGTATAAACTGCTCAATAGAGCCAAAGCAATGTATATACTGTGCCTTCAATACAGGCATGTATATGCATGCCACAACAGCTGATTTATGGAAATAGCTGAAGTACTGATCATTTTTTTTTCCAGGTCCCTAAAATTTTGCTATTTTGACATATATATTTTTTTTATTTTCGGTAATTAAGGTTAAATCAAATATGAAATTACTACATACAATAATCATTTAAAATATTCAGTGTTTTACGTAAAATAACATAAATTGCTATGGTAATTCATTAACGGCCTACCAAGAGCCACCACCACTACCACCAATACAACCATATTAATTAAACGTCTGAATATATACATTTGTCAAATGGCAGTTTAACCCCTTAAGGACACATGACATGTGTGACATGTCATGATTCCCTTTTATTCCAGAAGTTTGGTCCTTAACCCCGGTAAACGCTATTGCAGCATTTACTGGCGTGAATAGAACTGCTGAGGTAAGTATAAAACCTACCTTTGCTACACATCTGTATTGTGGTGGTTCTGCCATTCTCTATGGTATAAAACCTATCTCCACCACACACCCGTGTTGCTGTGGCCCTTAAAGAGAAATGCTGGAGATGGGTGTTAAACAAAGGGGGAAGGGGAGCAGAATAGCTACAATATTCTATTTCCTCACCCTATCCACAGGTCTAGAACATCTCTTTGCAGTCCTATAAGAACAATCCAAGCGCGAAAACAACTTAATCGAGAACGGTTTAACCCCTTGAGGTAAGCATGCCTCCGGGGGCCTCCTGGCACTATAACAACTTCATTTAGATAAAGTAGTTTTGGTGCCTGGAATGTCCCTTTACTACAGGTGTTACAGTTAATGTAATTACACACTGGGTCTCGGAATTCAAATGAACCAGTATTTTAACATATGTAGAATGTTGCTTCTTGGAATCGTCCTCAGTCTGTAGAACCAGTCCGTGTAGATCACTCTATGTACCATGTGCTTTTACCCCTGTGCATAAATACACCCCCGTTTGCAATAAAAAAAAAAAAGTAAAAAAACGATCACTAATTTATAATTTTTTCACAGCGCTCCCTGGGAGTTACTTATCTCTAATCCTCCCGTGACATCATGGAGGAGGCGAGGAGCATTAGGGAACCGACGCCACATGCGCATCAAGTATCCCATAAGAAAACATTAAATAAGTGCTTTCCTATGGGGGCTGCAGTCACATTTCCTTATGACAGCCACAGGAGGTGGTTCAACCTACATGGACCACCGCACTCAGACCACTTCATTGAGATAACGTAGCCTGGGTGACTTTAGTGATCCTTTAACATTTTTTCTTGAGATGATGTGTTTTTAGTCAGACAAGGTAAAGCAACTGCACAAACTGCAAACGAAGAGGAAAAATAGAAACATTGTTTCCTTTCTTCACTTCTCTGTAAATTGTGTCTATATTGATGGCAGGTGCCAATAGCAGTGATTGTCAGGGAGCTAAGATGGAGGCGCCCAGTTGCAGTATAAAGACGTGACAAATATAAGGGATAAGTAACGTATTATTAAAAAGCCAGAGAAGCTGTAGCTCTATTTAAGTATTTTTTAAAAATGTGCATAATTTGTTTTAATGTTTCTGCAATTTCTTCATTTTCTACAAGGTAGAGACCTGTGGGTGATTATTGTGGGGAGAAACCCAAAGACGCACATCGTTGGCATTCCAGAATTTAAGTATGTCGCAAACATGCACGGTAATGAGGTATGTTCCATTTAAAGACCCAGCTCTACATTTGGAGAATTTACAACCTTTTAGAATCCTGTGTTATATCCATCTGTGCTCAGATCTGACATGACTCCCAGAGCCTGTATACTTGTCATGGCCTTGGATTGATTTAGAACACTAATTGCTTTCCATAATTCTATTTTGTAGTTGCTATGCATCTGTAATTTCTGTGTGCTTGCTAATGTGCTTTTAGCCTAGAGCAAATGCTGATATCTTTGTTTCGTCCATGTTTTTAATCATCTCAAAACATATGACAATGCAGTTCTGATATCCTCCATAGGAGCCTGGCTGCAAGATGGTGTTCATGTTACATTCGGACGTTTTTGAAATTCTAATTAGAACTCAAATGGATTCTATGTTATACATGGACCAAACTCCCCCTTCTCTTTTTCTCTCCTATTTCGCATACATCCAACATTATATGTAAATATTTTAGTTTGGGGCGGGGCGGGGCGGGGCTGGATTAATGAAAGCACCATGACCTCTTCAGTAATTTTAAGTGGTCATGATGCCCAGAGTCTTTATGTGCAGCATTTCACTATAAAACGTTGCACTTACGGAGATTAAACCCTCTGCCGCTGGAGGTAACTCCAATACAGGCAACGTCATTGTGGTTCATTAGCCAGCCCGGAAGCTAATGTGAATGCTGAGCAAATTGTATGTCTGGCGCCAGACAGCCAATGGAGGCACGACCTCCCTCCATGCCACCCATGTAATTCCTTCAGCCTGCCATCCCTTGCATCCATCTACCTCCAGCAAAGTGGATTGATGACAGTGGAGGAAGATTGGACTGCAGGGAGAACGTGGCCTTGGCACTGGAAAGGAGGTATATTTTAGATGTTCTCTCTTTTTTGGGGGGGGGGTGATAGTGGGGGACGGCCAGTATAGGAAGGATTATTGTGACCAAATACAATGTTTTCTCAAAATGCAGTTTTTTGTTGGGAGTAACCCTTTTAACATCTTTCACTATCCGCAGCAGGTTGTGATTTTATAGTGTTCTGTTTCGTATGACAGGTGTTTTACGTGCCATTTACCTCTCATTGATAATCTTTGACGGTAACCATTACTATATGTAATCACAATTTATTACTTTTGCTACTTCCCTCTAACACAGATTATTTTCCTATTCTTTTTCAATAAACAATGATTTACGAACATATTACAACTCTGGAGAAAACTAGTTTTCTAAAATTCAAAGATGATAATGTTTTGAATGTATTTTAATATGTGTTAGACAATATTAGCATACAGATATTACATCCAGCATTCTACAGGCAGAACATTTACCCGATTCCAGAGCAGTTTGTGTGCTATTTATGATGCATAGTATAATGTAATACAATAATTTTCATTGAATATTACTAATGCTACAGTAGGGGTCCTGCCTGCGTCACAGTCAAACAATAACTAGTTTTATTACAAATTTGAGGTATTTCTAAAACAAAACAAAACATAAAAAACACAATATTTAATATCCCAATAGCACCATCTGCTGGTTATACACACATATTACAAGCACTATACTGAACACACATTTTAAATATAAAATACTTGTATACCGCATACATACCCCTTGGAATGCATTTTTAATTTATCAAAGTATTACGATGGATATCATTGATATATTCCATATGTTCAAAATTTAATATACACACTAGACTTTTCAGTTTAGTGAATAACTCTCTGTGTGTTCAAGAGACAGGTTCTAAACATTTTATAAGCCTTTGTTACTGCAGTATCTGGACCTAGTTAAAGTGATTAAAACCAAACACTGTTAGACACAATGATTACCAATCTATTATTGATTTGGCAAATTAATCTGGATTCAAAAATCTGTTTATCTTATTGTTATTTATTTATTTATTTTTTCATATTTCATTTTTGGTAGGAAATCCAATGGATTTCTACGTGTAGCGTTGCATACATGTTTTTACGTTGTTATTTCACCTTTGTTCTGTATTGGTCCTTCTGACTTGTTTTGTTTTTGCTAATGATACTTGAAATAATTGGAAATAAAACCAAACACTGCTAATTATTTTTTTCACATTCAAATAGCATAAAAAAATGTATGTTGTTTTTCTTTCATTAAAAGGCTGTGGGTCGGGAATTAATGCTTCATCTGGTAGACTATCTGGTAACAAATTATAAATCTGATCCAGTGATTTCAGATTTGATCAACAAGACCCGGATACATATAATGCCTTCTATGAACCCTGATGGCTTTGAATCAAGTGCTTCAACATGTGAATCGTTAACTGGCAGGTGAGGAACCTTTGAGTAATGTCCAAAGACAGTGCAGAGAAACTTTGTGTTTGTTAAATTCAAATTGGTGTGTATGACCTGATCTCAGGTTATAAATACCAAAAAAGTAATTCTTTGAGACTTGAAGAAAGGAAATTTTGCCTAAAGCACACTAAAGGGTTCTTCGCAGTAACAAGATCCAGATTATGTTTTTGAAAAACAGAATATTAAAGGGTACAATTTTTAACGTAGGTTGTGTGTTGATCCAAGGAGATATCTGAGATTCCATTTTGGAATTAAGAAGGACATTTTCCTGTTTGTGGCCCAATTGAAAAAAGCTTCACACTCTTTTTTTATTTTATTTTTTTCCTTCATTTGGCTGAGTTGTAGAAGCAAATGTGTGGGCAGTTGAACTTGATGGACGTTGGTCTTTTTTCTACCTATTACTAAGATTACTAAGTATGCAAATATAATGTAAATCCTTATAAATATATCTCTGTTTGTACATTTTTTTAAAATAAAATACATTTTAAGAATTCATCCATTGATATTCCTTGCCATCATTTTTTTCTTTTCATTTCAAGGTACAATAAAAATAATTACGACCTGAACAGAAATTTTCCTGATGCGTTTCAAAGAAATTTAGCTCCTATTCAGCCGGAGACCAAGGCAGTGATGGACTGGTTACAGACTGAGACTTTTGTCCTGTCTGCTAATTTCCACGGTGGTGCTATGGTTGCCAGCTATCCATACGATAATGCTAATTCATGTAAGAACTTTGAATTCCTTGTTATTGATTCCAAAGTGAGTGTTTTAAAGGTTCCCAATATTACAAGTCAAAAATCTTGCCTTTATCACCAAATTATGAAACGTTATATATCTTAGAGATGATGTAGTGCTAAATAAAACCAACACTCCAGCGTTACAAATAAATACATTTATTTCTAGAGCTCCAGTGTTGAAAAGTTGATTTAAATTCAGCCTACAACGTTTGCCTCGTGTACCCCACTGCGCATTGAAAGCAAATGTCTCGCTGTGCCTACAGAGTGCTTTACATAGAGAAACATTGATTCCATTTATTATTTAGGAGAAATCCTCACATCGGCTTTGAGCAAAATCAAAACGAATTAGTAATAACTCCCTCCCAGCTGTCCATCTGAGCTTCATAAAAGTGACGATTTCTTTTGACTTCAGCACTTTTATAAACTAACAGAGAGGTGGCGTTCACTTAATCCCTAAAACACTTCAGCAAAATGGAGTGTTTTAGGGGTGTAGATTGTCCCTTTAGATGAAGTGCTTGCTAAAGGAATGAAAACCAAACTGGTTGGCTCCAAAACACTTAGATGCATGTCTACGCCCTGGTAAAGGATGTGAATTGTGACAAACTCTCATTGTCTCCTGTTAGCTAAACTAAAAAATTTTCTTTCTAATGCAGCTACAAATAGAATTTCTCCAGACAATGATGTGTTCATCTACCTTGCGAAACTATATGCTAACACACACGCCACCATGTACAAGGGTACGGTCTGCTCTACTGATTCATTTCCAAATGGCATCACTAATGGGTTTCAATGGTATCCAGTACAAGGTGAGCATTTTTCAGTAGTAACTCATTGTTTTTTTCTCATTGTTTTCAAGATAAAAAAAAGGACAATCCTTCTGTTACGTTGCACAGTGGGTGTCATACCTTGTGTCCCGCACCGTCCCGGTCCCGCCGTCCGTCCTCTCCTGTCAGGCGGTGCAGATTGCTGGCTGGTGTCGCACGCGCACGCCTCCAGGGGCGTGCGTGCATCTGGGAGGGCGTCCGAGGACGTGCGCGCGCGCGCACACGGTAGCTGGCAGGGGTGACGTGACATTAACTTTTAAAGTGATAGTAGCCTATTGCTACTATGTATTTATATCTTCCCTTATTTCTGTCCCTGCCTATCAGAATACACCTTACCCTATATTAACCTCCTTCTGACATCACTTCCTTGCCCTGTCGTGGTTTATTATAGCCCAAGAGTGCATTCTGAGTAGTTGTCTTTCTTTGGTTTCTGACTTTGTTTGTTATTCGGTTATTTTCGTTTCTGGCTCCCTGAACTTGGCCCTGTCTATTCGCTTTCCCGTATCTCTATATCCCTGACCTTGGTGTGTTTGACTTTTCTTATCTCTAATTCCTACGTTAAGTCCGGCCACTTTAAGGTCCGGTAATACTGCCTGTGCTTGCCTTTATTGTTCTCTGGTTTGCGTGTTGGGGAGTATTAACCTTGACACTGGGAAGCCGAACAACACAGTAAAATACTACAGAAATGTAATGATTGGGAAGTTTGTGATTGGGCAACCACAGAAGGTCTGTGCTGGGTTAGGAAAAGAGGCCTTGCAAAGTCTTCAGGCAAGAGATATTTTTTTTATGGTAGTGGAGTGTCCCTTTCCAGAACTTACACTCCTCCTTGTTTTTCTTTCCGGGTATCTGTGCGGACAATAAACTAATAAACTGTTATAAAAATAGAAAACAATCGTGCCTTGCAGAACAGGCCAGGTGTACGCCGAGAAATAGCTTGTCGTAAACTCAAGAAACAGGAAGTGAATATGTCTTACTAAAATAACTGGGCAAGTATGTACACAACCCAGATCCTAGAGCTTTAGAAATGTCAAAGGCCTGGAGCCTACAGGCAAACAAAAATCATACCTGCTGCTTCACTCCTATATATTACTCCGATATCAGACATCCAGGTACAGGATTATTCAGAAAAGTGATAATTCAAAGTGAGTTTCAAGTTTAAGTTAAATTTAGCCAGACTGGAAAAATTCTCTAAGTCATCTATGCTTTTACTTCGGCTACTCTGGCCTTGAAATTCACTTTTAATTGTCACCTTAGTAAATAATCCTGATAGATTTTTTTTCTAAATCAGAAGTAAACTAGTGTTTTAAAGGTTGCAGCCCTGGTACCCTGTGATCTAGTGGTCGGGAGGAAGTTCAAACCCTGACTCACTTGGCCGGCCAATGGTGATGGAGTTGTCCTATCAAACAAGGACAATAAGTAAATCTATCTCTGTCAATGATGATTTCTTTTTTTGTCAATATTTGTTAATAAGTTCCTGGTAGGAAGATGCAATGAGCCATTTTTTTTATAATGATAAGACCTCTGCATATTCATATTATTGGATTGTCTATCTCAGTATATCTAGCAAACGTGATAAAAACACCAATTCTGCAATATATATGGCATTTCCTACAAACGTACACTGATTTGGGTGAATTCCTACTTCCATACCTGATACAATAGCCCCATCTAGTGGTAGTGATATACTGTGCATGTGCAGTCTAAAATTAGTCTTGTAAGATGAAATGGCAAACTTACATTTACCATGATTTATATAGCACCGACATATTCAGCAGCGCAGTACAATAGAAAACATTTAATTTTAACAAAACATCTGTGACATTTGGGAACAGTAGGTAAATAGGACCCAAATAAGCTCACAATTTAAAGGCTTGATAGACTGTCTTGACCTACTATTACAAATGAGTTATAAATAAATATTGATGTTTTATCCTTATTGGAACCATTCCGTTGTACCTTGTGCAGCAGATTAGATAGATACCTACCTGATTTTTGCTGTAAAATTATCTAACCCATTTTTATCTGTTGTGTTTTAAGGTGGTATGCAAGATTACAACTACATATATTCCCAGTGTATGGAAATTACGCTGGAGGTGTCCTGCTGTAAATATCCTGACGCATCAACCATACAGGGTCACTGGAACGATAATAAAGCAGCCATGATTGAATATATGAAGCAAGTGCACATAGGTATGTACTGGGAGACAGTGGATCAGTCCGATCTAAAGGGCTTTAACGCAGCCAGGTCTGGGAGTAAATGTGTGTATGTATGTATGCAAAGCGAAGTCTGGGAGTGTTTGTGTGTATGTATGTATGCAAAGCGAAGTCTGGGAGTGTTTGTGTGTATGTATGTATGCAAAGCGAAGTCTGGGAGTGTTTGTGTGTATGTATGTATGCAAAGCGAAGTCTGGGAGTGTTTGTGTGTATGTATGTATGCAAAGCGAAGTCTGGGAGTGTTTGTGTGTATGTATGTATGCAAAGCGAAGTCTGGGAGTGTTTGTGTGTATGTATGTATGCAAAGCGAAGTCTGGGAGTGTTTGTGTGTATGTATGTATGCAAAGCGAAGTCTGGGAGTGTTTGTGTGTATGTATGTATGCAAAGCGAAGTCTGGGAGTGTTTGTGTGTATGTATGTATGCAAAGCGAAGTCTGGGAGTGTTTGTGTGTATGTATGTATGCAAAGCGAAGTCTGGGAGTGTTTGTGTGTATGTATGTATGCAAAGCGAAGTCTGGGAGTGTTTGTGTGTATGTAAGCAAAAGGGAAGTCTGGGAGTGAATGTGTGTATGTAAGCAAAAGCGAAATCTGTCAGTGAATGTGTATATGTTTGCAAAAGCAAAGTCTGGGACTGAATGTGTATATGTATGTTAAAGCGAAGTCTGGGACTGAATGTGTATATGTATGTTAAAGCGAAGTCTGGAGCTGAATGTGTGTATGTATGTTAAAGCGAAGACTGGGGCTGAATGTGTATATGTGTGTTAAAGCGAAGTCTGGGAGTGAATGTGTATATGTATGTTAAAGCGAAGTCTGGGGCTGAATGTGTGTATGTCTGTAAAAGCAAAGTCTGGGGGTGAATGTGTATATGTATGTATGCAAAGCAAAGTCTGGGGCTGAATGTGTATATGTATGGTAAAGCGAAGTCTCCCATACAAATTCACCTGAACTTATTTAAACTAAAAGCTATTTATGTTAATAGGGTGTAAATCATATATTATAATCCTATTCTAAAGCTTCAGGGAATGCTTGTAATACATTGTTTTACACACTGTAGCTGATTAGTGTTAATTTGAATAATGCCATGTTTCGCAAGTGGTCCAGCCGTTTATTCTGAATTTGTGCGCAGGGATAAAGGGCCAGGTGTTTGACATCACAGGAAAACCTGTACAAAATGCAATAGTGGAGATTGTAAACAGACAACATATCTGTCCATACCTAACCAACCAGCATGGGGAGTATTATCTTCTACTTTTACCTGGGAACTACAGCTTGAATGTAAGTATGTGTACATCTGAAAGGCATGTGTTACCTATTATTATCTTTAATATAGAGACCACATTTAAAGACCCTCTCTGCGTGCAAAATGTGAATGGGACAGTTCATTAAAGAAAAATTATAAGAATTCACAGTGAATTTTAAATTTCAGGTCAAATTAACCAACTGGAAAATGTATCTAAGTCATCTATACTAGTTTTGATACACTGGCCTTAAATGTGAAATTCACTTTGAATTTACTTAGAATTTATTCGATAACATACCATTAAAATTATAGACTGATCATTTCTTTGTCAGTGGGCAAATCAACAGGGGATCAAATACTCTCGGTTCATTTTCTTCTCCTTTCCGTTTTCTAGGTCACAGTGCCTGGTACATCTATATTAAAGAATATTTATATCCCACAAAGTCAAAAATTTTCTGCTATGCAATATAACTTTACTGTGAGTGTTCCGGTCAACAGTACAGCATCATCAGTGAATACAATGTGTCCACGTGCTTCTACGCAATCGCCTTTCGCGCCTGATCCAGAAGACGGCGGCATTGCACTGAATGCAGGCTTATTGCCATTCCTTCTGAGTACTGTTATAATGCTATTACTGACAAACCAATAACAGCACATACTTGTAAAACAGTAAAGGTCTACTGAGACTTGAAGAATTGTACAGAAAGCAATATATATATATTTAAAATATCTCTTTAATGAAATTTGCCTTTATATAAAATGTATTATTGTATTGCTTTTTATATAGGATTTATCTATGATGTCTTCTACATCACTGGTGCACTTATGCCAACCCGTTAGCTTCTCATTTTGCACAGCTTGCTGGGTATGTTAAAATATATATGCCGTATTTTTTATAAAGAATTCACAAAGTGCCAAACGTCTACAACAATCAGGGAAGAGATTTTTTTTTTTCTTTGTCATGTGACTATGTAGCCACAACGCACATTGTGTAACAGACACAACGACTTAAAATGTAACATAAGTAGCCAAACATTAGGCGCCAGATATTGTAGAACTTTAGTTCCCATGTTTATAGTGTGCCGGATATGGCACACACAATGTTGTTAAAAATTTGAGAAAATGTTATGTATACATTGTGCAGGCAGTATTGCTAGCACATGTATTGATTTTTCAGATGATCTAAAAAAACAAAACTATTGCCTCCCCTCACCTGTTACAAGGAAACCTATGTCGAAAGCATTTAATGTGAAGACTGAATGAGAGGTGATAGGAAGATAAATCTACCTCCTCACTTTTAGACCATCTTGTCTCTTGCCTTTCTTAAAGGGAATCTATAGTGCCGGAAAACAAAGTTGCTTTCCTGGCACGATAATGCCCCCTTCCCCCTTGGTGCAGAAGGGGTAAAAAAAAAAACCCCCAAAAAAACCTCCTTTCACTTACCTGGCTCGGCTCCACCTCCGCACCTACACAACCACCAGGTGGCGGGGGAAACCTAATTCACATGCACGGCAATGGCCGTCTTCTCATTAGGAATTCCCCTATAGGTACGCATTATACAATGCTTTCCTATGAGGTTTTGGGGGACGCTGGATATCCTCATGCATAGTTGAGGACGTCCAGCATCAGTTAGGTGATCAAAAGTCGCCTAACAACCTGAAAGTTCCTCTTGTGGCTGTCTGGTAGACAGCTACTAGAGCTGACGTTAATCCTAATTAGTAATTATTGCAGTTTCTCAGTAACTGCAATAATTACAATTGCAGGGTTAAGGGACCTGGGGATATGCACCCTGACCACTTCAATGAGCTGAAGTTGTCTGGGTGCCTATAATGTCTCTTTAGAGAAGATTATCATCTATTGGTCACTGATGATTCATGCAAAAATAAATGTGTCAGTCTGTCAGCAAGTGGTGTACAACTTCCATTATCCCTATTACAGAATATTTCTATCCGAGGAAGATGTGAACTATAATGTTAAAATGGCTCGTGGGGTCATATTTTACCAGTTGTGTATAATGATATTTTCTCTAAATCTTTTGGCTCTTCCTATTTCTACGTTCCTATATTTATGGTTTTGTTAATTATTGTAACTCAGGGACTTGAGGTAACTTTACTGCTTTTAAGTAAACTTTTTGCATTTCCATTGCCAATCCTTCCTCTGTTAACGCAGTGTTCAGAACATACAGAGCTAATCCCTTCCCAGCAGTCAGTTACTGGGACACCGCCATTAATCTTTTCATGGCTTAGTTTGGAGATTAATAATTGATAGTTTCCATGACTGTGATCTGTTTAAAAGTAAACCTACAATAAAGTTTTTTTGTATGTCTCAGTGGTGGCATGGGTGGGTATTTTTGTACAGTAAATGTGCCAAGATAACCCAGCCCCACAACAAACAAGTGAAATTAGTTGGTGATACCTTGTGGTCAACCTCAATACTCATCTGAAGCCAAATCTTGAAAGGGTTGTGAGTCTCCAATTCTGCTGGTAAATAATACTCCCTCCCATAAAGCACTACATTACAACTAAATATATGGGATGTACTCCACTTATTTTGCTCTGTAGAAAAATGAAATACCTGTAAATTAAACATATTAATGCTTCGATATTCTGTTTGCTACAAGATGAGGTCCAAGAATCTTCAGAGAAGAATTAGCTTGTTGATATAGTGCTACATATGATTCTTGCTCATTGCATACATTGTGATGGAATGAGCTTCCCTGTCCAACTAACTACTAAGCCCACCCTGCTCAGCACGAATACATCATAAGCAGAAGGATATTCTTCTCTCCGTACAAATCTGCTACAACACAGGCTAGCTTGTAGAGATCTATGAGAGAACCTGTGCGGTTGCTGAAAACTTGCAAAGCGTGTCTTGCTCTTTTTAGAACAAAACAAAAAAGAAAAACACGGATGGAGCTGTCCTGTTTGAAAAGCAAATAGAAACTGTGCCTTAGCAAAATATGCATAAATATATTTTTTAAAAACTATGCAAAAAGAAAGTGTATAAGATGTTTGCGTACAATACATACGGCTACACGGGAATACAACTAATTAACTTCTCATTTAAAACTATTATCGCGTTACCATGACTCTTTGTCAATTGTAGTTGGCGTTGTTGTGTGAGCGTCTACATGACCCATCAAACATTATAAAATACATTTTAAAAAAGGCTAAATGGAGAGAGGGGTGTATGTGGACAGTAATTTTAGAAAAGCGAGTTAACAAGTCTCAATATCTAGGAGAGATTCTAAGACTATTCTCAACTGCAGTTTTTAAAATCATTTGATTATCCTTTTGACTTATTACCACTAGCATTATTTTGTTGCACAAACTCCTCGGTTTCAGTGGTGATACGTCATGTGTGGCATTATTGCCTTCTCCAATATAATGTATACACTAGAATGTTATTGTACCGATTAGTACAATGCAAGAGGCATCATTTCATAAATTATTTGAACAATTCAGAGCCACTAGATTATTTTCTAGAACATTGTAAAGGTGGTGAAATGTTTTGTTTAAGTGACTATATGATAATTTATTGGATGGACACTTGCATTTAAATGAAAGGATTTATATTTATTAGATTTGATATTTGAAGTTGTTGATGTAGGATACTGCTAAATACTATGCGGGTAAAATAAATAAATAAATAAATTTGTGCTGAAAAACTACCATTGTCTTAAATGTGCAATGTAAAAAAATAAAATTAAATACTAATGGTTAAGATTTTCTTTTTCCCCTTCGTAAATACAATAAGCATTCAGAATATATTTATACTGCTCTGTAAGTTTGTGTTAAAAATATAAAAATATATATATTATTTGTTTTAATGTCTGACATTTTCTGAAAATAAGGAAAATACTATGTGTATCTTTCAGTAACATTTGAATTATTCATCACACATACCATATACTTTGATGTTTTGCCATTCCAGAATATTGAATCAAATGGCAGCAGGATGTTAAGATCCATTAGATTTTTTTTTTTATTTTTTTTTAAAGATAACATTTCACAATTTTAAGTAATACATGGCTTTGGACTGCACCCTGAGATGTATACTCACAAAACTTGCCCGATAGCAGTTAAAGCAGTTTTAACACCATGGTGCAAGGACAGACTTTCAGGGTTATCCACTAAAATGTGTGAATTGTGGGTAATTCAAAGTGAATTTCAAGTAGAAAGCCAAAATGGCTGAATTGGAAAAAGTTCTCCAAGTCAACACTGCTTTCAGAGAAAAAAAAATCTAACTTGTGAATAACCCGGTTTAGAGAGCTGTATAACTTTTACACATTAGGGGAAAAAAGAAGACCCATTAAAAAAAAAACATGCTGCTAACTTTATTCAAAAATCTATCTATACACTCAAATACAAATGAAAAAAAAAAAAAAAAAAAAAATGAACAGTTCACCTCTTGCAAATGTTTTTGTTAATATGTAACAATGGATGTAATGAGATGAACATGCCAAATTACATGAAAAGTTATTAAGCAATAAGCCAACACTGCACCCAATACACTCACTGGATACAAAGCCTCACAGACAGGCTCTGGGATATGTAGGTGATTTCAACCACTTTATACTCTATGAACTGCCAATACTACCAATGTAAAGAATAATTTTTTTTTTTTTAAAAAAGCCAAATTTTACAGAAACCAATAATATAGTTTGTAAAACAAATGTAGCATCTAACATGAGGCTAATTCCTCAAAACACAGACGGAGTAGGGGCAACAACCTGCCTTGCAAAGACTTCTCACTGAGCTGCATTGGGAAGTCTGATTGGACAGCCACAGAAAGTCTGGGCCAGGGAACTGGTTCAGGGGCTTGCAAGGCTGCAGAGAAGAGAGCGGATACTTTTGTAAGTAATTTTTTAGATATGAATAAAAATTTGCATAATTAAATGCATGCATGTTTTCATTAGGGCATATGTATTAAATAGTGGTCGTTTACCCCTTTTGTATTTGGGCAGTGTAGTGTCAATTTGTTTTGATATTTCATCAAACACAGAACAAAACTGCAGAGGATGGCAATGTGAAATATCAGGCAAAATGCAATCTCTACGTATTGGATCTGCCATGTGTTGACTAGTCCTATGTGTACAGATTGAGGGAAGAGGTGCAGGGCTGATTTAAAATAAAAAGTTTGTTGTGAGCTATCGGCACTCGTATGTCTATTAAGAGCTGATCTTAGTCCCCTAGACCAGGGGTAGGCAACCTTTAGCACGCCAAATGTTATGGAATACATTTTCAAAAATGTTCTTACAGCTATAATATTGGCAAAGCATCAGGGGAGATGTAGTCCACAAAATCTGGAGTTGCCTACCTCTGTCCTAGACTCTCCTGCGATTTCTTTTTAAGAAGCACTTCACCATAACATTTAAAAAAAAAAGCAGACAAGTTTTTTTTTTTTTTTACTTTTTTTATTGGAATTAAATAATTCACAAAATGTTACAATATTTGATAATTATATACAGTGCATTTTACTTAATTGTTTTGAGTAATTGTCGTCTTTGAGTCTTTTTTTATTACCCTTCAAATAGTAATCCATGAATATTTTTTTCACATTTCAAACCTCAACAATCAAGATAAAGTGCCATGGTCTAAGGAATTGTACACTTTTCTTTTAAATCCTGTTTGAAGTGGCCCTCAAGCAGGTGATGTATCACTGTGAAAAAAAATAGATATCCGTACATACACATTTACAAAAAAACAAAAGTCAAATAAAATAAAAATAGTTATTTATGTAAAACTATAAATAGTTGGCAGCAAATTGGGCTAAAACGATTATATGGTAATTATTAACTTTTATAATTAATAAGAAGCACTTCAAATGGACAACTCACTTCTGTTAACCAAAATAAAAAATATAAATTTACAAAATCAACAAAATGTCTACAATCCAAATTATCTATGGAAATTGCCATTTTGGATTTTCACTTATGGAAAAGAAGATTTATATTAGATGTATTACTTAAAAGTCTTTAGTGAATTGTTAATTAACACAAAAAAACAAAAACACAAAATCAAGAAGTGGGAAGGGGTCAGGACCATAACCATTTGGGTGAGAAAAAGTAATCATGGTGCCTGGTGTTCATTTAATTAATGATTAAGTAGTTATAGTCCAAGAAATGGTGTAAACATGTGGATTATAAAGGAAAACAAAAATAACAAAAAAATGAAAATGGTAACTAATGGTGGCCTTTAGGTGTTCTGCTTTCATGAAGCTTGAGTTCGAGAACAGATTAGATGAAAAACAAAACAAAAACCTTAAACAAGCCTTTTTCAACAGTTCGTAAATAAGGCATAACAGCAGAAATTCTTTCAGTACCTCATAGGTACTAAAAGTCACAATTTAAAGGCACCTCATTTGACAAAGTGATTATATTTTTCTACAAGGAAAAATGGATAAGAAGAGGTCTATTCACTAAACAATGGACTGTGGTGAGGAGGCCGCTAGAATTGAAAGTTTTAGAATTGTATCATGTTTGGATAACTTTGCGTTTAACGCCTAAACTGGACATTAACTCATTGTATATTTTCAATATATGTTATAGCCATAAGATTTTACAACAAAACTTCAAAGTTAAACCACCTCTGGAAACTGCAGTAATATCTATACTGAACTACATGTAGCTTTAATAATCTGAATTTTAACAGCCGACAAGTGATTAGCTATATGTTCAAGGAACAGGGAATCATCTATAAATAGGGAGCTAACAATATCCAGTAGCTTTGGGGCTTTTATACGTGCAAGAAAGTTTGATTTGGATTTTGTTTTTAAATTAAGAGAATAGAAGCTGGATGTAATTCTAGTTTCCTTTCTCGCTAAGAAGGAATGTTTGCCTACGTGAGAAAGGCAGGGATCAAATGAAGTTGCCAGTGAGCTCTAGAAGACCATCAGCACTGCAAGCCCTTCTAACCCTTGGGACCCTGTGTGTGCAAGATATCTGTGCACAAGGCAACACAAACTGTTTCCTGTCCAATGTAGGCACATGCTGTTATGTACAGTGTGTGGGAGAGATAAAATGTCATATTCGCTGCAATCCTTGCCTGTAAAGTGAAGCTGACACAGAAGGAGAGGAACCAATGTCTGTGCATGTGTGTGAATACAGGTGGTCCTCATTTAACAACCTGTTTTACGACAGCTTACACTAATGACCAGGCATAAGTGCGAGCTGTCGTGGGGATTCCCTGTTCTGGTGCACATGTCTATGTTCAGTGAAACTTCCTTAACATAGATGAACGCACAAGAGCAGGGAATCCGTCTAATCTACGTTCAAGGAAATTATAGGGGTTCCCTGGTCTGGTGCATTCGTCTATGTTCGGGGAAGTTTCCCCAAATATAGGCAAACGCACCAGAGCAGGGAATCCCTTAACTCCTCACTTACAGACCAATTTGTTCTACGAGTCGTAGGAACAGAACCTGGTCGGTAAATGAGGAGTGTCTGTATAGAATATATATTATATATAACGAAAACATCAATGGTACTCCTGTATGTTTCCATACATGCCTCTACTTCTGCTACACACAGCCACGGAAAATGAGTAAGAAGAAGGAAAACTGTAGCACGAAACTTTGATAAGAATAAACCTTAAAATATTAGGTGGCATTTTCCAATAAATATATAGAATATTTGTTACACATATGCAAAAAAAACAAACAAAAAAAAAAAACAGAAAAAAAAAAGAGCACAATACAATGAGAATGATAAGCAGTTTACATAAATTTTGTAAATATATTGAAATTTGTAAAATAGGTTGCATTGTTACCAGACAGGACACACTTCATATTACAAGGATGCAAACTGGAACAGAGGTAGCTACAGCACATATTTTAGTATCAGAGAAATGTCTTTTAAGGAGTGTAATTGGCACATGGAGCTGTAATTCGTTCTGCAAAGTGTTAAGAGGACATTTCCGTATCCAGACTGAGTCCATCAACAGGTGCAACCAATGGGTCTTCAGGAATGGTTACGATAAGGCACTGAAAGATTATATTCTGCATAGGACACACACTACCCATCAAGGAAAACCGACATGTAGAGAACAAGCAAGGTAACGTTAATGACTATCAACACATACAAGTAAAACAAACATACATACATTATGAAGTGCACACGACAAATACTTTCACTCCAGTTATATAGTATAACTCCTCCAAACTTTGGAGCAACACATTACATAGTAAGCGTAGCAAATAAATATTGCAGAACTTCAACTAAAGATTGATAAAAATGTGAATCTGAAGCAAATACCAGGTTAATGGGCAATACAATATATTTATAAGGACATCATTTCACTTTATTCAAGCTTTTAAATGACATATATAGAAGACTAAAATGACAGATTAATGTTGATAAACTTATGTTCTGAAATTGTTATATTGTCAGTGACATGTCTGTTCGTATGTGATGAACAGATATGCACTCTAGAAAATCAAAGAAGAATATGAATATATAGAGATTGTTCACTAAAAGGGAATGACAAAGTCATTGCAAACTTTGGCCCAAATAGACAGGCCTGAAAAACTCCCCAACTATTCAATTTTTCCAATTTCACGCTTTAATCCTGAAATTTACTTTCCTTTTACCAGTTCTTCACATATAATAGATTTGTGAATACGCTCAATATGACCACCAACAAGAATTCGGTGATAAAGCAAATAAATGTTTCTTTTTCAAAAGGTGGAATTTAAGATGCCTGGAAAAAAATAAATCTTAAAATCATAATATTCTGTCAGGATTTAGAAACTAGTAAACATTTACTCCCCAAGAATGATACACATATTTGACCGGTACAACCCTTTATATGAGTGACCTGAAGATTTTAATGAATATGGTGGGTGGAATATCCATCTATCTAGCGGTGGAAAGAAACAATGTAGTAATCAGAGCTTCAGATTACCTTCTGTCACTACGCTCATGTTCGTCTGCAGTAGCAATAATATTCATGGAGCTCGGTGAAAATGGATCTGTGCCAAAAGGGAGGTGCAAATAAAATTAAACCTTCCTAAAATACAAGGGGTGGACAGTATGTAGTTGTAGTTCGGGAAAAGCTTAGCACCGAGTCTGTGAATAAGAACTTCCTCCAATATTATTTTTATTGGATGTTCTTTAAAGATGTACAGTTAACTGGATAAATTAAGCATAGTTCCTACATTTTCTCTAATCTTCAATTCATTTCATTAAATTTTTACTGCAAATTAGGAAAATAAATAAAAAAAAAAAAATAAAAAAAAAAAAAAGAAGAAACATGTTTTTCTGATACAATGTACAACAACTGGGGCTATAGCTCGCTCAGTTGGGCCTGTGTGTGATTCCACCACATGTGAAAAAAGTATGTACCTTAAGGTTCCAAACAAACATCATACGGTCTCCAAATTTTTGAAAAGCCATTTAAAGTGCCACACACAGCATAGGTCCAAACATTGAATTTGCCAAATATAACTTTTGTAATCTACCATAAGTTAAAAATATATTAACATATACATACGCGCAAAAATACAAACAATAAAAAGGGAAATACATGTGCTAAAATCCAAAAATATAAACCAATGCAGCTTAAAAATCACCTCAGTGTATTGTCACTTCATACACTGTGCATATTGACAGAATGAAAAAGGTGATAGCACAAAACTCAGATTATATTTTACCTTTTTGCTAAATATTCACAAATGGGTCCTATTTTCAGTAATGGCGTTTTAACTGTGTGCCCTGTATACAGTGAATATAAAACAAAAAAGCGTATATGGTTGTAGCAAAATAGACAGACATACACACGCACACACCCACCCACACACACTTTGTATATGCAGATTTGTCCTTAATTCCTGTATAAAGTGTCCTGTCGGCAAATGTTTTCTAGCTGAAGTAGGTTAACACAATCATCTGAATTGGTTGCCTGCACACTGGACACGGTTTGTTTCTCCTTTTGAGCTTTCTTGCACAAGAAAAGCATGCCATTAGATGGCCTGTTCTTCCGTGAATAATGCAGCCATTTTTGGGTCTCGTCTGACAAATAACGCATGGCTCAGCACTTGATAAAGGAAGTGTTGACTCCGCACTTTCATCGCGTTCACTATCTTTGGATTCCTCTTGACTGCAAGACGCTATGCTGCCAGACGTGGATGGCTGAGAAAAGTCCTCCGCTTCCTGCGATTCTGAACTTTGTATGCCTTCGTCCTCCAGTTTCCCAACACCTGATTCCAGAGAGCCTGAAAGTTTTGCCTTTTTACCGTCAGGAACATCAAAGCCTTCATTTTCTTCAGTTCCTGCCATAGTTTTCCTCTTCAAGATTTGATCTTTGTTTTTATTTTGATCAGGAAGCCAATCCTTACGGAGAGACCAGCATCTAGGGCAATGACTGGGAAGAGGAGGATTAACCTCGTTGCATTTTATGCACTTCCAGTAATCCTAAAATAAATAAATATAATTAATTTATATCCCTGTTCACCTTGCTTTTTGCATTAGTTTTTACACACAATGGAGAGATATGCGGAACTGTATGAATAGGCACACACAGCACAGATAATAATTACCACAAAGGCACTATTAGAGATATTAGAAGAATAGTTTGGACGTTAAACAAAAATCTTTTACTTACAGCTTCTGAAATTTCAGTATCTTCATCGAAAGAGTCAGTGTTGCTATCTTCAGCCTGATATATTGTCACTTGGTAAACCTAAGTTAAAGAAAACAAAATGATTAAGCTGTCTAAAGCAATAAACAATACAATAAAGGGTGTCATTTAGTTTACAATATTGGTGCAAAGTGATCAGATTCCTTACTGGACACCATTCAATTTAAAGACAAAAGAACACACAAGAAATTACTTAAGATACACTGAGCTTTGGCTTCTCTACAGGAATCAATAGGGATCAGCTCCCAGGTGATCAAACAAGCCTCAAGTGCTTCCACTGACATGACATGAACAGAACCAATGGATATACTGCTAGTGAAGGAATGAGGACACTGAATCATGTGACAAACACCGAACATATACATGCTTTTGCAAACTTTCAGATCATCACAGTCCATATCTTGATGGTGCTGAAGATTTCTTCCGCCTTGTCCATCTTTTAGTCACTGCTTCGGGATGAAGGAGGAACATGGTTTGGCTTCTCCTGGTATAATAACCTATCAGCTACCTCAGTACAACGGTTTAAGGAACACTATAGCATTAGGAACACCAATATCAGAGACCATCTGATAGAAATAGAGTTTTACTTGGCCATTTCTGCTGAAGCACCTGTATTGGCTGTCAGTGTGACACTAAATATTGTTTACACTGTAGGGAATAAATGAGGGAGGCATAGCAAACAGACCATTTTATTGAAATTAAGTGGTTTGGGTGCCTTTAAAGTCACTGTACAGAATGAGTGAAGGCCACGCCTCAGCCTTCCTTGATTACTTGGTGTTCTGGAATCCACACAGTCCATTTCTTTCAGGTGATATTTGAGCTAGTGAGATCCTAACTAACTAAAGGAACTGATAATCATATCCCATCAGCGGTGCCCAAGAAAATAATTTCCTAAGAGTACAACAGGCAAGCCCAGGAGGCAGTGCAAACAGGTACCCAGAGAACTAACTGGTATTAAAGAGAGTCGGAAAACAGTTCAATAGCTTAAGGTAAGAAGATGCCAAGTGACTGCTGCCCCCCAAAACAGCTCCATTGAGAGTGAAGATTCTCCAAGTATTTTTATAGGTTTTGTGGAGGGTTTTTTGGCTGCTGATAACTCAGGCTCTTGGCTGGCTTTTTATTTATACTGGATCTATAATTACCATGCCATCACATGACAACTGTGACATGAAGGACTAGTAGAATAAATTATTTAGGTAAAACATACTGCAATCACTTCATACAGAACATGAAATTATCCAGAACCTGCTGTATCATACCTCATCATTCATGTCATCATCACCTTCATCTGTAAGTCCATTTTCATCTCCACTAGGACTGTAATCATCCGAGTATATAGACTCAACCTCAAACTCAACACTGAATTGGTCAGAATCAGAGTCCAAATATTCAGAGTTTTCACTTGCAGGTGGTATATCAATTGCCTAATTGAAGAAAAACAAACAAACCATTATTGAACACACATATATTTACATTACCTCCCAAGCACAACATCAATAAATGTCCTGCAGTAAGGCATGCAAGATCTACATTACCTGAAGGAAATTTCACAACTGGTAACAATGATGTAGAGCAGGGGAGGCCAAAGTTAGATATTCTTAAGACTGGCAAAGCATCAAGGGAGGTGTAGTTCTACAACATCTGTGGATCTACCTTTGGCCACCCCTGATGTAGAACATTGAATGAAACACTTGCCCTGCAAACTGCACAAAAGAGTAGCATTTGAAATCAACTACAGAATACATATATTATATAAATATAATATGCAATAACTGCAAATCCTTGTTGAAACAGAAAGAAAAAGCAACAAGTCAAGATTATGTATGTTTTAAAAACACAAAAAACATTATTAATAGCATAGGGAACGTAACAAGAGGAAAAGCACGCCATTTTACATAACTCATTTCACATTTCGTAACTGAACAGAATCTGCATCCATATCACAGTAAACCCTCAGACTCCAATCCCAAACCTGTAAAAAGTCCTACTGTCATCAAATGCAGTTATCTGAAAATACTTCATTCCATCCCATACGTATTTTTGCAGACTGGTTGGCCCTGCAAATCAGCCAAATCTGCAAAACTTGCTAAAAAGCAATGTAAACCTGACAGTCTAGAAATGGCCACTGATGTGGATTCTTAATTAAGAATTGAATTAGAATTTGAGCAAATTACATAGAAACATAGAATGTGATGGCAGATAACCATTCAGCCCATCTAGTCTGCCCAATGTTCAAAAATACTTTCATTAGTCCCTGGCCTTATCTTATAGCTAGGATAGCCTTATGCCTATCACATAAATTAATAACATTTGTTATTAAACTCAAATTTTACAGGGATCTACAAAAGAAGGCTCACATCACGCAACAGACACCTGCTATAGAATAATTTGAGGGGTTATTTCTTCAGTGAGAAAAACGCACTACATTTTTAATTACTTGGTTTGCATTTCTTCATATTGTTTGGCAGACAAACACATGGTTCTTGCATGTCACGTAAAACCCACAAGAAGAGCTCTCATATTTCGTATTCAAAAATAATTTTTTTTCCATAATTACACAATTAGTGCATTAAACATGTACTCTTCCACTTTTTACTTACAGGAGTAGAGGGAGTATCTGTGGATTCACTGTTATTTCTATCGCAGCGTAAACCGCTTATCACCCACCACGAAAGACTTTCATCAAATGTTAGTGAAATACTATCGGATTTATGTCGCCTTCTTTGTTGATCAGTAGGTGAATCGTTTCCAAAATTCTCTTCTATACAAATACAAAATATTGTGTTGACATTACTTATTGAAAGTCTCATACAGGCAATTAAAATACCATATTGCAGTTAACGCACCTAAAGAAAAATAAAAAACCTGACTCAAAGTCATATTAACAAGTACAATAAATACTATTGGAACACAAACTAGTGTAAACAAGATGCTTCTGCAAAACTAATATTTCAGGTAGAGCAGAACCTTACGAAGCATATTTAATCAATGGAAAAAACAAATACCATTCTAGGGCAAAATGCTAAATTAGAAGCAATCACCATGGATAAAGAATGTCTCTTTGCACCAAAAAAAAGCGCACCCATTTTTGTCTTAATAAATTTCCCCAATATGTGAAGTTTATTTGGCAAGTTTACTAGCCAAGCATAAAGGTTACTTTCTACCACAAACGCCATTTTGTTTGATGCAGGGATGTGTGCCTGTATGCAGTGTCACAAATTAGTTGTAGAGGTCTGTGTGTATGAACAAAGAGGTTGTTTTTATTGGTATTTCGCTATAGCAAATTGTCACACAGGTGCTCAAATATTAATCTTTATTACTACCTGGAGAGTCCCTCATCACTGATATATTGTGAGAGTGCAGAGGCACCACACTATACTTGAGTTAGTATATAGAAGAACAGCTACTTAGCATTTTACATTGTCTTGACATAGGAAATCATCATGAGATCTCAACCATCACTACTGTGCAAGTCAATGGTTAGCATTGCCTTGGTGTACCAGAATAAGCCCAGTTGACCTGGGTTAGCATCTACCTGGAACTCTGATGCTAAAGTCTGGTAACCAGAGGCTGCAGCAGAGATTATATTTCCTCACCAGTGGCGAGTAAACATTTTGAGCCCTTGCACTTTAAACTCTTGCCACCGTTAGGAACGGTCATTATGTCTTGAACGGCATGGACTTAAAGATGTCTACACTGTAGACTCATTATCACATTAACTTCCCATTCACAAACATAACATGAAATTGAATAACTACCTGTTTCACTGTTGATTTTTCGCTGAGATGAGCTACTCGATCTTGTAGTAGATGCAGGAGATGTTAGCTTTTCTTGTATACCTTGTGTAAATTCCTGTGTATCAAAAATAAATATTTCAATAACAGCGTATCGGTTTTAATTTTCAAATCGTGTAAGTAAGAAAATATATTTTGAACTTGGCTTCAACACTAAAAATAATGGTGCCAAAACTGAAGTGAAATTTCTTAACATGAAATAAAAAGCAGCAAAACAGAATATGTTCATATTTTGATTTCTAAAAAGGACACTATACCCTTTCATCTAATTGAACTGGCTATAGTACATGCAGTCCCTTGGTACTGTCCCTCTATTCCAGTTTTCCAGCAGTCCAACAATGAATAAATGTTCCTGGTAAACCACAGCATGGTCCCATTGGAGATATGTCAAAGGCAGAGATTGCACACTTCTTTTGCCATACCAATTCATACCGGCAATGCGCAGCTGTGATAGAAAATCATTGCTGCTTAGTCTACTGCTTCCTCGTTAGCTCTAGCAATACAGAATGGATGGACTGCCAAGGACTCTCGTTTAGCATTAAACCATCAAAAACGGTTTAACGCGAAATGAAAAAAAATGGTGCCAGGGGCCACCAGATACTATACCTACTTAAATAAAATGAAGCACATATAGTGCCTATAGTGTCCCTTAATTTTTAAACGGTTTCTTCATATTGGTTACATTTGATGACTAGAGAAAGTTGCTTAAATAGCCCATTCCCAAAAAAAATACTCATACCTTTTGTGTATTAAGCTTGTGTGAGACACTGCATGCTTCCTTTTCACGTGATATAGATTCAGAAAAGTCTGGAAAAAAAGAACGCGAGTTAATTCATAATGCCATAAACAGCTGCATCAATAAATCCTCTGATAAAACTGAAAACATCTGACAATTTGTAGCTGTAATTAACGGATTACACTTTGAGAGACAGGAAATATACAGAGGTGGCAGGAATTAAAGCAGCACAGTCACACAGAACTTCCTTTTCTCCTATTTATCTTCCTCTCTCAGAATCTGTTCTAGCTTTCTTTAAAACATAAGACAAAGTAGGGACTAATTTATCGTATGTATTTTTCAATCTGACTCCACAATTTAATCCAGGTCGGAAAGCTAGTTTGGGCATAAGAATAAATAAATAATTATATAAAAATTATATACATACACATACTCTTTTCTACCACAAGAAAAGATTTTGGGTACAAGTGTAAAGCTTTGGCATGTCTAGGTCTCCTGGTCCAACCTCCATTTCCCAATATAGGTATATTAAATTTCATGCACTCAATGAATTCCATCTAAACATGGGTGGACTCCATATCACTAATTTGGAAGTAGGAACTTTGTCACTAATGCTATGACAGTATTCGCATGCATCGCAGTCCCCACTGATGGCATGCCTGGCTTTGAAATAAAAAAAAAAAAAAAAAAAACACTTTGTTTTGATCAAATATGTACAGTTAATCAATAAGATGGGGAGTTGTGAATTGGAATTTAGGATAAAACATGCAGTCCTACACAATTATTTGTTTAGTGGATTAACTCCACTAGTTTATGTGAGGACACCAAGACAGACTGTTACTGAAGAAAGGGTGGTGTGTGCATTTAAAGGTAGAAATGATTGATTAAATACACATTTTTGCATTTTCATCTGGTCCTAGTTACTTCCTCCATTTCTCTCTTTTTCTCTTATGAGTGCATTTACAGTTTGACTGCTTGCACTTTATACATTTCTCAAGTTAATCTCAAAAGGCTTACATAATGTACAATTACATGACAGCTTGCTTGCTCTTGGCAACAAACATTGATTGCCAGGACTGATCACTTGAAAACCTCTTATTACACAAGGGCTTCTAATGGGCTGGTTCTACACAAATAATTTACTGCAAAAATACCGTTAATATTAATATTCAAACAGCCATCACTTAAAGGGACAAATTTGCTGCAAACATTAACACAAATAGAACAAATCAGTATAGTAAAAAAAAAATAAAAAATAAAAAAATACATGTATAATAACCATTAAATGTGAAATGAAACATACTCAAAACAGAGCCAGCAAACTGGCTACCCCTCTGCCAGTATGACTTTTTCCGTCAGATTTAACCCCTTAAGGACACATGACATGTGTGACAGGTCATGATTCTCTTTTAATCCAGAAGTTTGGTCCTTAAGGGGTTAATCATGAAATAGAAAGCGCAAAACAGCATATATTAGTGCAGACCGTTTGTGAGAAGCTCTTACACAGGGGAAATGGTAATCCACTCACATGAGTGAGGGCCAGACAAGGGGCTTGCCCAAAAACCACTTGAAGGTTGTGTGTCAAGGCACAACCTAAAATATCTTAGAATCAAACTACGTTTCGCCTATACATAAGGCTTCCTCAGTTGGTAATGATAGACAACTTACAAACTGAGGAAGCCTTCTAGTGTATACGCTTTATTTGTATTTTATGCTTCTATTTTTTTTTTTTTATTCTTTATTTTGTTGTGCTGAGGATAACAAACAGGTTCACTTCGCCACAACAGCTGAAGCAAGCAATATAATCATTTTCATGGCATTTCAGGCAGCACATTTGTATGTAATGGAGGAAACATGTTCAGAACAGTAGTTTATATCACAAGACTTGCTTTTAACAATTAGTTAAGGCATACAGAGCTATGGCTAAGAAGGTCGTAGACTAATTAGTAGGAATGGTACATAACGATGGGAGACAGTAGTAGGCCCCGGGCCGGTGACAACCATAGCGTGGTCCTGTAATATGCAATCCAGTGTTTGGTAGTGGCAGCAAAGGGGGTTACCTTAGCAGCTGAGTAAGTTACACGTTTTTATGAAAACCTTTAAGAGACAGTCAAGCTAATCACACTCGCCTCTGCTTAATACTACTTGTGTCTAGTATATGAGCTGGGGAGCAGCTAGGTCTACTTAATGACGGTTACTGCCAGAGCCAGAAGTTCACCCCTCTACGGCTCCCTGCACAATGAGAGCTAATAAAGGGAAAGCAAAGAATAAAAAAGAAAAACAAAAACAGAACAAACCCAACATTATAACAATAGAGCATGGCATGCAGAAGAAAATTGGTGTGAGACAGATCTAATGGTGGCTATCTAATACTTTTGGAGCTTAAATACTAGACATCAGGCCCATGTCTGTCAGAGAGTCACCATTCAGCAGATTCCCATTTCCAGGAATCGCCAGGAGTGTGTTGATGGGCAGTAAAACGTCTGACAGATTTGGTTGCCCAGGCTGGTTTTGCATGCAGCTGATGCCCATCGTGGAAATTCTGTATTTCTGTATTACAGCACAGCAGTGCGGGTCTATGTGCCCAATCGTCGGTAGAAGGGGCTGGTCTGTCTGTCGTGTCTGGAGCTGTTGCGGAGCAGTATTTTGCAGCTTTGTGGTCCCAGGCACCTTTAGGTGGGGTGAATGAGCCAGTCGAGTTATGCTGCTCTGTTGCGCCATGTGTCTTCGTCTCTCCTGCGCTGGGGTCGAGTGCACTGCCTGGTCCGCCGCCATGATGGGGCCCGTCCAGGATCTGTGGAGCATTCAGCCGGGTTGAAGGCCGCTGCTTGGGTAGGTGGCTGCTTGGCCACCGTGAGGCAAGTGGCTGTATCCGGTCCTCTAGCTTGTGGCTGAGATATACACTACGATTGGAGTTTAACTGTGTTAAAAGTCTGACTGGACATAATTTGGAAAGGCACACACCTGTCCATATAAGGTCTCACAACTGTAAATGCATGTCAAAGCAAATGACCTAAATGCAGAGCTCAGAGACAGAACTGTCATGGCACACCTGGGGAAGGCCAAAAAAAAAAAAAAATTAGGGCTGCATTGTAAGTTCCCATAATTCTTAAAAAAAATAAAGCCTGGAACAACCAGAATCAATTGGGGGAGAAGAGCCTCGATAAGAGTGGTGCCCAGGAGCCAGATGGTCACTATGGATGAGCTCCAGAAGGATAACCATCACTGCAACACTCCACCAACCTGGAACTTTATGACTGTTATGGGCATATGCAAATAAACATATTTTTAGCATGAAACTTATTTCTTAAACTGAGTTGTTAGAAATTGAACATTTTTCTTACAATGTTTTTTTAATAAATGACCTCTTACCCATATTTAGTGAATATGGTGTTCAGACTTTAGGATGACATTTTGTCCTAGGTTAATGTAACAAGTCAGGGAATTTCCCATGTCATGTATACCCTTATGTTTTAGTCTAAACGTGGATAAGATGTCTAGGTAATGAAAACACACTTATTAAGATGTTCCCTTGTGAAATGGATTTAATGCTCATGGCCTTGTATCTTTTCCAAGTTAAAGTAGGTCCTAACATGACCCTATTGAAAATATACGGTATAAAATGTTTACTTATTAATATTGGGGCACAGGGGAGATAATTTTGGATGCAGAGATGTTGCTCCATTTTATCATGACAGAGGTTGACATGTTCAAGAGGGTATGGTATTCTATTTTACAGATATATTGCAAGCATATTCTTTAATCTGCTATAAATTATTGTAATGGATTATTTTATAGGTCTATATTAATATTTAACAAAATATTTTTAAAAAGAAAAGAAAAAAACTTTATTGCTGCCAATAAAAGCTCTATTTTATATTGTATTCAATTATTTATATATTGTAAATAGAGGAATTCTTACTAACTGTATAATATATCTTTGATATCTGTACGGTTATTTCTGCTAAATTCTATGCTTTAAGAGGCTATAGTTGTAAATAGGGGAGCCGGCTGCAGTTACAGCAGACTAGCCAGATGGAAGGCTCTACTCGCTGCAAGAGACATAAAAGCCCACTTTGAATTTGCAATAAATAAATAATATTTTTTTTTTTTTAAAAGCACCTAAAGGATTCTTAGACTGTGAAAAACAACAAGATTTTCTAGTCTGATGGAACAAAGATTAAGTAATTTGGCCTCAAAAAGGTGTCATGTCTGGGGAAAACCAGGCACCACTCATCACCCAATCAATACCATACCAACAGTGAGGCATGGAGGTGGTAGCATCAGGTTTAGGGCTGTTTTCAGCATCAGGGACAAGCAGACTGGGTAGGGTTGAGGGACAGCTGAATGTTGCAAGATACAGAGATAACCTTCATGAAAACCTACTCCACAGCACCCAGGACCTCAGACTAGGCCAAAGGTTGACCTTCCAACAAGGACTCTAATTACACAATCAAGACAACAAAAGAGTGGTCCTTGAGAAAGTAGTTTGACTTTTACTTTGTAATTATGGGCTATTGAGTGTAACTGATGAGGGGAGAGAAAAAATATATATAAACAATTGTAGCATAAAATAATGTAAATTAAATGAAGGGGTCTGAATACACTATATAGACACATATACATAAACACACTGAACTTAAAATTTAAAGTCATATGCTACTAGTCACAAAAAAAAAAAAAAAGAAGTTACTCTCCAGAGCAAGCCTTATCATACTCACTAGGGGTAAATTTCTGCTAGCCAGCCTATTATTATTATTATTATTATTATTATTATTATGCACCGTCAAATTCCGCAGCGCTTACAATGGGTGGACGAACAGACCTCTAGTTGTAACCAGACAAGTTGGACACACAGGAACAGAGGGGTTGAGGGCCCTGCTCAATGAGCTTACATGCTAGAGGGAGTGGGGTAAAATGACCAAAAAGTAAGGATTACAGTGGACATTTTTGTGATAGATTACACAGATCTCTTTGTTCTTAAATCTCAATATGTAGGATAGGACTTTAACTCCTTAAGGATACATGACATGTCATGATTCCCTTTTATTCCAGAAGTTTGGTCCTTAAGGGGTTAAGCGATGACAAAATGGGTCATCCTTCCAGTGGGGGCAAAATGCAAGCTGCTCCGGGACTACAAAAGTTACAGCAAGGTGTTGAGGTACTCTCAGCAACGACTACCTTGGTTCCTGCATTACTCCAGATCTAAACATAAAATGACTGCATGTTTCATGATTCACTACCAAGGCTATTCGTTAACCTATAAACCTTAGATAGGCTTTAATTTCTTTCCAGGGCTGATTTTAAATAAACAACAATACACATGTACTGAGCATGGGTCAGTGTTGTATGTATATAGTAATGGAAAATAAGGCTATTGACGAAATCTGAATACATTCACATTTCAGCAATATAATATATACACACACACAGTATATTTTTATTTTTAATTCAGGCACATTCCTGGTCTGTCAGAAATGTAAATTACTCTTGGCAGAAGTTCTAATTGACGCTTCCCGACTCAAGCCTGCAACAGAAGTTTGTGGGAAGAGCTAACGTACACCAAGACTTTAGGGTTAAACGGTTCATTGATGGTTTAACCCCTGAGATAAGTTGGCACCCAGGGACATCCTCACACCGTAACCACTTAATTCTGATAAAGTTATCATGATCGGACTATTCCTTTTAATGAATAATCAAGTGTTGTCTCATACTATCTGCTAGCTGATATGATACACAAGAGAACACATGATGTTCGACATTGGATGTTTCAACATGTCCATTGTTAAAGGACCACTATAGGCACCCAGACCACTGCAGCTTAATGAAGTGGTCTGGGTGCCAGGTCCAGCTAGATTTAATCCTTTCTATAAACATAGCAGTTTCAGAGAAACTGCTATGTTTATATTAGGGTTAATCCAGCCTCTAGTCGCTGTCTCATTGACAGCCGCTAGAGGGCTTCCGCGCTTCTCACTGTGGGAAAAAAAATTAAAAAAAAACAGTGAGAAGACGCCAGCATCCAAAGGAAAGCATTGTGAATGCTTTCCTATGGATTGGTTGAATGCGTGCGGCTCCTGCCGCGCATGCGCATTCAGCCGAAGAGGAGGAGAAGAGGGAGGAGTGGAGGAGGAGAGCTCCCTGCCCGGTACTGGAAAAGAGGTAAGGGATTAACCCCTTCCTCCCCCCTCAGCGCAACTGGAGTGGGACCCTGAGGGTGGGGGCACCCTGAGGGCACTATAGTGCCAGTAAAAAAAAAAAAAAAAGTGTATGTTTTCCTGGCACTATAGTGGTTCTTTAAGCATATATTTTCATGTGAGCACAGTAATATAACTGATAAACATCACATTTGTTGAAAGATTCTCCAATCCAGGCAGTTTGCCAATTCGCTAACTAGACTTTCATTTCTTGAACATAACAGATATTCACAAATAATAAAAACAAATACACAATAGGACACTTTGTTCTTCCGTTAGCCCCTGGAGGTCACTAGCAATACAAGAGACGTCTATGAAACCAGTGAAACAATTACTGTGTTGTAGTGCTATACTTCATATTGACACTTGCAGTAAATGTGCTTTGTTTAGGTCAATTTATCAATCCATCCGTGCACAAAAAGAAGCAAAAACACAAATAAAATAAAGTCACAGTGATATTCTGGAGACATCACAATAAACCACGAGCACAATGGTAGACTTTACGAATGTCTCCAGAGCACCCAAATGTAATTCACACTAATCTGGGGCAGGCCTGGACATGTATGTCACTGTATGTCGCATTTCACAACTTGCATAACTTACAACTCTGGAGACCAAGTAATAAACTATGAGAAGGAAGTCAACTGCTAAACCTCGAGATGGCATTTTATAATTTACACATTGCTGTTAAGTTAATTTTCAAGTTCAGGCCTAGGGCTCCTTTACGCTTGTGGTAGCGCAGGAGAATACATCTCAGCCTGTCTGAGATTGGCTATTCTACTAAACGTCACCTATTTGTAGGATTACCAGATCCACCATGTTTTCTATACTAATAGAGAGCAAAAAACAGGTCACAAGAGTATTCTGAGAACGGACTAATAACATAGGAAAAGAGGACCAATAGAGAGAGAATCATGTATTTCCAAACAGTACCTGGAATGTCAGTAATGGAGAGAGGAGGGATTATTGGTGGCAGCTGCACACAACAGCTGTTTTCTGATAATATCACTCCCACTAATCTCAATAGACTGCAACAACCCCCACCCCCACAAAAGCATGTGGTCAATCCCATAGTGCAATAGATTTTTATTGCAAGCTGTGGCATCATCTACCAGGTAAAAGCCATAGAGCTCTCCCTGTAGAGATGCACTAATCTAACGCATATCAATGAGGAGATACTGATTGGCACAATGCATTGAATTCTATGTTATTATGAATTGAACTTCTCATAGGATTACACTGTGATTAGTGCAAGGCGGCTGGCAAGGCCCAGCACCGATTACAGTCGGTTGGGGACTGGCAGGGAGACCCGGTTTGTGTCTATTTAAAGTCTGTGATGTCTCCCTTCAGCAGCCTGCAGCCCAGAAACAGCGGCTGAGCGCAATCTCTCAGTCGTGGTGGACTGAATAAATTTTAAGGGCTCTACAAAGCGCTCACTTCCAGCGCTGCACAAAGCTCATCACACGGTCTGGGGAAAAAACGGCCATAGGTATCCATTGATACCAGAGTTTCTGATGTATGCAGGAATTTAAAGTGGGTATGTCACCTTAAGCTCACCTTTCTCCTATTTTTTCCTCTTCTCTTCCTCTTTAAGAATCTATTCTTATTTTCTTAATGTCTGAACTCTGTCTGAATGTCTCTTTAAAAACAGACAAAGTAGGGACTGTGTCTTATGTATTTTTCCTACACACGACAAATGTGACGTGCCTTAAGCTCCACCCTTTGTCAAGACTGCCAAGTGTAGAAAAAATACATAAAGTATTCCCCCACTTTGTCTTAAAGAGAACTAGATGAGAAATAAAGAAAATGGGAAGATAAAATGAAATAGGAGAAAAGCAAGTTTAAGGTGCCAGAGACGCTTTAACTCGGCTATACTACACTATTACGCATTTAAAGAGCTGCTTGCAGCTCCTCAAAAGCTCTGGGGCCACTAAAAATGGCCCCAGTTGACAGAGGGGAGCCCCGGGTAACAATTAATACCTGGAACAACAAGGTGTGAGTAGGGATTTAACCCTGCTCCCACCAAAACCGAATGACATGTTAGTAGTACATCCTAAAGCCCATTATAGTTATGATTTCGGACACGCCCCAATACTGTTAAAATAATTGCAAGTTTCACTTGGTTTACATGCAAGGAGAGGTGCAAATCTACAAATACATATGGTCTGGTAAATAAAGGTGCCAAATATAACTCATGGTGCTCAACCACTTAGGTCCAGATATTTAGGGTTCCGGCCTGGTTAACAACTTTAAAAAAAAAAAAAAAAGAACAGTTTCTATAGGAGTGTTTGATGAAAAAAATCAAGTATTGTGTCATAATACCCCCAGGAGTCTAGTTAAAGTAACACTATAGTGCCAGGAAAAACACTCGTTTTCATAGCACTATAGTGCCCTGAGGGTGCCCCCACCCTCAGGGTCCCCCTCCCGCTGGGCTCTAGGGGGTGGTATAAGGGTTAAACTTACCTCTTTCTCCAGCGCCGGGCAGGGGACTCTCCTCCCCCTTTATAGCCAGGTCATCGGCTGAATGCGCATGCGTGGCAGGAGCCGCGCGCATTCAACCAGTCCATACGAAAGCATTCTCAATGCTTTCCTACGGACGCTGGCGTCTTCTCACTGTGAAAATCACAGTGAGAAGCACGGAAGCACCTCTAGCGGCTGTCAATGAGACAGCCACTAGAGGCTGGATTCTCTGAAACTGCTATGTTTATAGAAAGGGTTAAATCTAGCTGGACCTGGCACCCAGACCACTTCATTAAGCTGAAGTGGTCTGGGTGCCTATAGTGGTACTTTAACATACCCCACAAGTGCAGTGAGTGAAACACTAAAATCAGTATTCCTATACCAGCAATATTTTCCCTGCAACTGTGTACACAAAAAAAAACAACCCAAAATTTACTTATAGCACTGAGTCACAATATTGTCCCAAAATGCAAGTATTTGCTATACACGTATGTTACTCATATAATGTTTGCAGTAATGGGGGGGGGGGAATAGAAAAAACAGGGCTGAAAGCAAAAAACGTACAAGCAAATAATTACATCCTTTTTGAAACTATGATAACATTTTACTACACCTGGCTCCTTTATGAAAAAAAAAAAAAAGTTTTATTGTGCTAGCAATTCTAGGAAAAAAAAAAAAAAAAAACTGAGCATAAGAGAATGCCGATTAAATACTTAATAACTTGCCTTGTGAAGCTGGGGTTATCAGATTCTTAGAAATCATTGCATACAGCCTCCTAGGGGAAAAGTAAATAAAAAATAAATTATGTTTTTAAATACCGTCCACAACAAAGATTTTAACAATTTACAGAGCATGACAGTGTGACAGAAGACATAAAAGCCGTTTAAACTGATTTGAGCAAAAGAAAAAAAAACAAAAAACAGAAAAGCACCCCACTATAGAGTTACATTAAATAGTACATATTCATTATGTTAATTACCTGGGTTCTTTTACAGAAAAGCTTTGTACCCCAAATAGTTCTCCTAGAGGATCATTGGAGCAGTGGACAATATGCTGTTGCTTCTCGTCATACAACTGCTTGGCCTTAATGTACTGACCAAGATGGTATATAACCTACAGCGCAAGTACGGAAACAATGCAATAACTACAATAAGACACAGTACAGTTTGAAATTAATGTGTGTTTCAGTGGTTCCCAACCTGAGTAGGTCTCAAGAACATATGGATTGGTCCATGTGATAAAAGGTCACTTTAGACTCAGACTCTTACTCTGAGTAAGCAGGCACTTACAATCTGTAACACCAATCTTCGTTCTCTCACTCGGCTGTCTCTCCACCCTTTGTTCTTCCACGTGCTCACTTTCACTCACATGGTCTACCCAATATGTGTCCATCGCTCTCAACATCTTTTTCAACATTCGCATGCTCTCCACCTCTACGTACAGGTTATCTTTTCCATGCTTTCCTCTTTTTCGAAAGGCAGACCCTCTCTCTTTCCACTCTGCACCTCTTCCATCACACCTCTCTTCTCATTCTTTTGAACTACTCTGCCTGCTTTTTCAAACAAAATCTGCTTTTCTGAAGATTTTCCTCAACATTAATTTTGGTATTTCAGCCTCTCTTCTGATTGTCTACAATTCAGGCCCAGAAAGATGGCGTCATTCTCGATATTTATAATAGTTGGCTATTTCTACCTTCGAGTGGCAGTGAAACTTATTGGGCAGTTCTATACTCCTGTGTGGGTTAATGATGGGATGTCATAGTGTACCAATTGCTCATGACACAAATGCCAAATTAGAAGAGGATGAATGAAAATAGTATTTGCCAATAGAGAAGGGAAACACTGCTCACTATCTTACAGCACTTACCTGAGATGGCTCGCCAGAAGAGATCTTTCATCAGATCAGAGCCCCCAACAGGTCCTGACACTTGGGAACTAACTGGTGAACCCAAGGGGCTGGGGCCCCAGGCTGGGAACCACTGGTGTATGTTGCATCTCTAAGGATTTTAATAAAATGTGTACTAATGCTCACCTCCTTCATTGTAAATATCTCAGTTTGTGCACCTGCAGATTTCAATAGTTTTAGCAGAAGTGGTGTTGGTTTTACCTAGGGGAAAAAAATGCATTTATTATAGGATGACTGGTGGTTTTCCTGACAACAGGCTGACAGCAAAGTGACATAAGATGGCCTTAAAAACAAAAATAAAGCATGCAGGTCTGTCAACTGATAAACAAGTCAATATAACACATACCAATGTTTCTTGCTCTGAAGCCATTATCTGAGTGCTTTCTAAACAATCTGTAGTGGACGATATATTCATATTGCACGTTTGCCTGTAACAGACATCAGTTTATTACAATCAACAATAATTTTTTTAGGTTAAAATTGAATATAAAACATGCATTAAATGTATTAGGATGCAGGCAATTTACAAATAAAAGCCAAGACATAAAATACTTAGAAATAACGTTGATAATAAGTAGCAAGAGCTCCCTGTAAGAAATCATCCTGAAATGACATGTCAGACTGACAGGAGGGTAGCTAAGCATCAATATATCTTACCTTTACTAAATACAGAGAATATGATAAAGTGCTTCTGTCCAGGAGCCTTCCCCAGCTCTCTGCCTAAAGTGCAGCTTTGCAGCTCCCAGTCCCTTTAAATGAGAGCTGACAGACAAGTCGAGGCTAGATCCTCAGCAAGTACGGTGCATGTCTGAGCATGACCGGGTTGTAAAGCTGACTCACCACCTGTCTGTCTCTCGTCTAATCTGCCTGAGCCGGCTTTACAGGATCACCCTGCAGCCGCTAGAAAAGCTCGGACACAGGTAGCAGTTACTGCACCCTGCAGCCAGGGGGCACTGCAACCCCCCCCCAGAGAAAGACCCTCACCTGTCACCAACGTTCTACGCTGACACATTGTAACCAGACAGAAGGGGTGGAATATAAATCCTCGATCTATTTATTCTATAGGATTATATGATCAGGACCATGCACCGCTTAACTACCCCCTCCAATACATTACAACTCCTATCATACACAGGCAGCCATAAGTCAATGAGAGGCGTCGTGCTTTCTCAGTCTCTGTAGATTTATTCACACACCGATGTCCTAACATAATAAAAGGGACCACTTGCTCGGAATGCACGATAGGTGAATACGTTTTCATTAAAGTGTTAATACGGGATCGGGGGGGAGGGGGGTGAGCACGGACAACAGGAGCGAATAAACACTCTTAAAAGTAAGATCAAGCAGTAAGTATTCCTCCCATGCTGCTTGGCCATCCTATTGGCTGGCAAAGCATCCTGGGAGCAGGAGTCCTACACTAGCTGGAAGGCTGCCTGCAGGCTGCGGCCTGCCCTCAGGGATGTTTACCAATGTGTACTGCACATGCTCAGTGCCGAGCTCACTGGGGACCCTGCCCTGTGGCAGAGCTATGTGTGGTGTAATACAGAGCTGTGCCATGTGTCACTGTAACCAGACAGACTGACTCACCATGAGCTGGTAAAACAAACTATCACAAGACCTGGGAATTACTCACTTCCCGGAATACTCCAGAATATACCTTCATTATCTCCCCCAAACACCCACTAGTCACACCAATACAGAAACTGGAAGTGATCCAGTACATGGCTAATGTCGATAAGGATGAACACACTGCTCTCAGAATAAAGTAAAGTACAATATACACGGGAAACTATGTGCAAAAATTTCAGCCAAAGTTTCCTCAATGTTTAAAGCAGCTCTGTTACTTTTTAATATTCCATAATGATATCATTTTTATAAAAACCGGATCCTGACAGAGTTAAATTTAATTGAGATTTAAATTGCAATAAAAATATTCTATATAACAAAGTAGGATTCCTTTGTCTTATGGACAAGTCTAAGGTTAACAAAAGGCTGAGCTCCAACATATTCAACTTTTGTCCAAGTGATGGTTGTTGGATTCAGGCATGGTCTAGCTAGCATGATCATCACAAAATGTCATCTTTGAGGCTTCTGGGAGTACACCACAGATGAGGCACCAAGAGATTAAGAGAGCTCCCCTGATGAACATGGTGGTGGATGTGAAAGGCAGCTTCAGGTACCTTTGACAGCACCACAACGGCCACTGGTCCCTAAATGGAGGTATCACATTTTGCAAAGGCCCCCTAAAACTCACATATCAGCTTTCAGGCATGCTCAAATATCACTAGGCATTGGAGAGTGAAAATTTAGACCTTACAAACAGAAATGTATCCCTGGTGTGCATGACATTAAAGGGACACTATAGTCACCTGAACAACTTTAGCTTAATGAAGCAGTTTTGGCGTATAGAACATGCCCCTGCAGCCTCACTGCTCAATCCTCTGCCATTTAGGAGTTAAATCCCTTTGTTTATGAACCCTAGTCACACCTCCCTGCATGTGACTTGCACAGCCTTCCATAAACACTTCCTGTAAAGAGAGCCCTATTTAGGCTTTCTTTATTGCAAGTTCTGTTTAATTAAGATTTTCTTATCCCCTGCTATGTTAATAGCTTGCTAGACCCTGCAAGAGCCTCCTGTATGTGATTAAAGTTCAATTTAGAGATTGAGATACAATTATTTAAGGTAAATTACATCTGTTTGAAAGTGAAACCAGTTTTTTTTTTCATGCAGGCTCTGTCAATCATAGCCAGGGGAGGTGTGGCTAGGGCTGCATAAACAGAAACAAATTGATTTAACTCCTAAATGACAGTGAATTGAGCAGTGAAAGTGCAGGGGAATGATCTATACACTAAAACTGCTTTATTTAGCTAAAGTAATTTAGGTGACTATAGTTTTCCTTTAACCTTTCAGGCCTGCAGAGGCGAGTAACGTTTAAAGGAACAAAACTATTCCTAAGGCTATAATGTAACTGCCTGCCCTCTTACTTGAAAGTGTTAAAAACCCCTTCCCTCCCCACTTACATGATTCCAGTGCTAAGGGCCCTCAGTTCTGGATCTGTCTCCTATTCCATCAACGTCACAGTAACGGGAGAACCTACCCGGCTTTGCGCATTAGACCTTCCCAATAGGAAAGCATTACTTCCCAATCTGCATTTTGAAGATGCTGAACGTCCTCATACATGCCTGAGGACATCCAATGTTGTTTCACAGAGTTAAACCCTGTGAACATGCTGGAAGCGCATTTAATGGCAGGGTTAAGAAGACAGGGACACTGTCCCCAGACCATGTCAATGAGATGAAATGGTCTGAGTGCCTATATTATCCCTGTAAGTCCTGGCTGATAACCTAGTTTAAAGGGACACTATGGGGAGGGAGGGGGCGCGGGAAAGGGGTTCCTAACACCATAGTGTTCCTTTAAGCGGAGATAAAAAGATTTAATTACAAAAGGTGTTTTCCTATTAATATTAAACATATGTCATGTTTTGTAAATAATTAACAGTAAAATCATCAGGAATAAAAAAAAAAAAAATAGCAAAAAAATTATCAAAATCGAAAAAAGGAATAAAAACAGATGGAACATTTGGCAAAAAAAAAAAAAAAAAGTGTTTTTTTTAAATGTTGCCCATCTGTTTTATAAATAAGAAAATGGAGCAGGAGCACAAAACATGCAAAAAAAAAAAAACCTCATGGAGTGTGAAAAGAAAAAAACAGAAAAACTGGGCATTAATCACTAAATTAAAAATAAATTAACCAAATTGAGATTATAGCAGAGCTAACGAATTTATTTAAATCCACCAAATCAAGCTTTCATTTCCTACATTTCAGAGTTTTGTGAATAATCCTGTAGAAATAAATAAAATGTATGCAAGGTCAGTGCCTAAATAATCCAGATCCAGTAAAGGTACTGTGATACTCTATAAGCACAATACACAGAGAGCTAGCCAGTAAAAGGTACTGTAAAACTCTGCATTATATGTACAAGACACAGGGATCCAGTAAAGGTACTGTGATAACCTGTATTATACGCACAATACACAGATCCAGTACAGGTACTGTGATAACCTGTATTATACTGTATGCACAATACACAGAGATCCAGTAAAGGTACTGTGATAACCTGTATTATACGCACAATACACAGATCCAGTACAGGTACTGTGATAACCTGTATTATACGCACAATACACAGATCCAGTACAGGTACTGTGATAACCTGTATTATACGCACAATACACAGATCCAGTACAGGTACTGTGATAACCTGTATTATACTGTATGCACAATACACAGAGATCCAGTAAAGGTACTGTGATAACCTGTATTATACGCACAATACACAGATCCAGTACAGGTACTGTGATAACCTGTGTTATACTGTATGCACAATACACAGAGATCCAGTAAAGGTACTGTAATAACCTGTGTTATACTGTATGCACAATACACAGAGATCCAGTAAAGGTACTGTAATAACCTGTATTATACTGTATGCACAATACACAGAGATCCAGTAAAGGTACTGTAATAACCTGTATTATACTGTATGCACAATACACAGAGATCCAGTAAAGGTACTGTAATAACCTGTATTATACTGTATGCACAATACACAGAGATCCAGTAAAGGTACTGTAATAACCTGTATTATACTGTATGCACAATACACAGATCCAGTAAAGGTACTGTAATAACCTGTATTATACTGTATGCACAATACACAGAGATCCAGTAAAGGTACTGTAATAACCTGTATTATACTGTATGCACAATACACAGAGATCCAGTAAAGGTACTGTAATAACCTGTATTATACTGTATGCACAATACACAGAGATCCAGTAAAGGTACTGTAATAACCTGTATTATACTGTATGCACAATACACAGATCCAGTAAAGGTACTGTAATAACCTGTATTATACTGTATGCACAATACACAGAGAGCCTGGCCTGAAATCCCCTGTAACAATTTGTATAATAACACAATGTAGTAAATTCTAGAAATGAACACATTACCAGCGCCTGGTGATTTATCCCTCACTGATGGAACAACTTCATTCCCCCATGAACCTTAACCTGCCTTACAGGATGATGGGAAATGTAGTTTACAAAGTTTTAGGAGACAGTGATCCCCTCAGAGATCCCTGGGGACCAGATAGGCCTATAGGGCCAACAGGGACCGAGCATGGACTACAGGGGGGACCCCCCCCGCCACTGAGCATGGGACTACAGGGGGGGACAGGGGGGGACCTCGGCCACTGAGCATGGGACTACAGGGGGGGACCTCCGCCACTGAGCATGGGGACTACAGGGGGGGACCTCCGCCACTGAGCATGGGGACTACAGGGGGGGACCTCCGCCACTGAGCATGGGGACTACAGGGGGGACCTCCGCCACTGAGCATGGGACTACAGGGGACCTCCGCCACTGAAGGGATCTGGTGGGGGACCTCCGCCACCAAGCATGGGACTACAGGGGGGGACCTCCGCCACTGAGCATGGGGACTACAGGGGGACCCTCCGCCACCGAGCATGGGGACTACAGGGGACCCCGCCACTGAGCATGGGACTACAGGGGACCTCCGCCACTGAGCATGGGGACCACAGGGGGGACCTCCGCCACTGAGCATGGGACTACAGGGGACCCGCCACCGAGCATGGGGACTACAGGGGGACCCCGCCACCGAGCATGGGACTACAGGGGGGGACAGGGGGGACCCCGGCCACTGAGCATGGGACTACAGGGGACCTCCACACTGAGCATGGGACTACAGGGGGGACCTGCCACCGAGCACATGGGGACTACAGGGGACCCGCCACTGAGCACATGGGGACTACAGGGACCCGCCACTGAGCATGTGGGGACTACAGGGGACCCCCACACTGGAGCATGGGGACTACAGGGGACCCCGCCACCGAGCATGGGACTACAGGGGGACCTGCCACCGAGCATGGGACCACAGGGGGGACCCGCCACTGAGCATGGTAGGGACTACAGGGGACCACCGAGCATGGGGACTACAGGGGGGGACCTCCGCCACTGAGCATGGGACTACAGGGGACCTCCACACTGAGCATGGGGACTACAGGGGACCCGCCACCGACATGGGGGACTACAGGGGACCTCCGCCACTGAGCATGGGGACTACAGGGGGACCTCCGCCACTGAGAGCATGGGGGGACTACAGGGGACCCGCCACTGGAGCATGGGGACTGAAGCAGGGGGACCTCCGCCACCGAGCATGGACCACAGGGGACCTCCGTCACCGAGCATGGGACTACAGGGGGACCTCCGCCACTGAGCATGGGGACTACAGGGGACCTCCGCCACTGAGCATGGGGACTACAGGGGACCCGCGCCACCTGAGCATGGGACTACAGGGGGGGACAGGGGGGGACCTCGGCCACTGAGCATGGGACTACAGGGGGGGACCTCCGCCACTGAGCATGGGGACTACAGGGGGGGACAGGGGGGACCTCCGCCACTGAGCATGGGACTACAGGGGGGGACAGGGGGGGACCTCCGCCACTGAGCATGGGGACTACAGCGGGGGACCTCCGCCACTGAGCATGGGACTACAGGGGGGACCCGGCAACGGGGAGCTGAGACAGTCAGAGGGTAACAGGGATATCTAGGATTATTATAGAAGCCTCCAATGCGGACACAGCATCTGGGGGGCCCCTGACCCGGCTCTGACTGGGGGGGCCCCCTGACCTCGCTCCATCCTGGCCCTCCGCCCTCCGGCACTCAGCCCCTCAGAGCTCAGCGCGGGCTCTCTACTCACCTCGGTTCAGCGAAGCCCTCATCCTCCTCCATCTTGTAAACCGCCTAATCCTTTATTCCGCCTGTAATGGAGACATCATCAATGTGAGCACATCGCCAGGCCGCGCGTTACCACTGGCTCCCCCACCCGGCCAATGCGGGGAACTGCACCTATTAATATACACAGGCTCCCCCACCCGGCCAATGCGGGGAACTGCACCTATTAATATACACAGGCTCCCCCACCCGGCCAATGCGGGGAACTGCACCTATCAATATACACAGGCTCCCCCACCCGGCCACCTCGGGGAACTGCACCTATTAATATACACAGGCTCCCCCACCCGGCCAACTTGGGGAACTGCACCTATCAATATAAATACACTGCCAGGCTGCACATTATCACTGGCTCCCCCACCCGGCCAATGCGGGGAACTGCACCTATTAATATACACAGGCTCCCCCACCCGGCCAATGCGGGGAACTGCACCTATTAATATAAATACACTGCCAGGCTGCACATTATCACTGGCTCCCCCACCCGGCCAACTTGGGGAACTGCACCTATCAATATAAATACACTGCCAGGCCGCACATTATCACTGGCTCCCCCACCCGGCCAACTCAGGGAACTGCACCATCTATATCACTGGCTCCCCCATCTGGCCAACTAAGTGAACTGCAGCATCAATATGCGTGTACTGCCAGGCATAGCATTATGTAGGATCCATCATGTGGCGATCTTAGGTTATTGCACCATCAATGTGAACGCACTGCTCAGCCCCTCGTTATACAGACTGCCCCATCCGGCCATTTCTAGGAACTGCGTTGTCAGTGTGAACGCTATAGGAGGCTCCCCCATCCGTCCATCTCTAGGAACTGCGCCGTCAGTGTTAACGCTATAGGAGGCTCCCCCATCCGGCCATTTCAAGGAACTGCGCCGTCAGTGTGAACGCTATAGGAGGCTGCCCCATCAGGCCATCTCTAGGAACTGCGGTGTCAGTGTGAACGCTATAGGAGGCTGCCCCATCAGGCCATCTCTAGGAACTGCGCCGTCAGTGTGAACGCTATAGGAGGCTGCCCCATCCGTCCATCTCTAGGAACTGCGCCGTCAGTGTGAACGCTATAGGAGGCTGCCCCATCAGGCCAATCCCTAGGAACTGCGCCGTCAGTGTGAACGCTATAGGAGGCTGCCCATCAAAATAATCCCCAGGAACTGCGCCGTCAGTGTGAACGCTATAGGAGGCTGCCCCATCCGTCCATTTCTAGGAACTGCGCCGTCAGTGTGAACGCAATAGGAGGCTCCCCCATCCGGCCATCTCTAGGAACTGCGCCGTCAGTGTGAACGCTATAGGAGGCTCCCCCATCAGGCCATCTTTAGGAACTGCGGCGTCAGTGTGAACGCTATAGGAGGCTCCCCCATCCGGCCATTTCTAGGAACTGCGCCGTCAGTGTGAACGCTATAGGAGGCTGCCCCATCAGGCCATCTCTAGGAACTGGGCACCGGGCCAGTGCGTGAACGCTTTATAGAGGCCGCCCCATCCGGCCCATCTCTAGGAACTGCGCCGTCAGTGTGAACGCAATAGGAGGCTCCCCCATCCGGCCATCTCTAGGAACTGCGCCGTCAGTGTGAACGCTATAGGATGCTCCCCCATCAAGCCATCTCTAGGAACTGCGCCTTTAGTGTGAACGCTATAGGATGCTCCCCCATCAGGCCATCTCTAGGAACTGCGCCGTCAGTGTGAACGCTATAGGAGGCTGCCCCATCCGGCCATCTCTAGGAACTGCGGGTTCAGTGTGAACGCTGTAGGAGGCTGCCCCATCCGGCCATCTCTAGGAAATGCGGGTTCAGTGTGAACGCTATAGGAGGCTCCCCCATCCGGCCATCTCTAGGGACTGCGCTGTCAGTGTGAACGCTATAGGAGGCTCCCCCATCCGGCAAATTGAGAAACTACTGGTGACATGTTCTAAGATCTCTGCCGCTTCAAAGATACCATCAGAATAGAGCAGTGTTTCTCAAATTTATACCCCTGCCTCGAGAAAGTAATTTCTACTTATTTAAGTTCCATATGAATGTGCAGACGCTGATATTCTAGTTAATCCAATATTGGAGAACAGGCCCGATAAATGGTAGCAAAGACTATGTTTAATATAAATATGACATAATGTAAATATTGTGTATGTAAGAAGGAGTGTATAAACTATTAACCTGAAGTATAAAAGTCACAAGATGAAAATATAATACATACATCATTGTTACACACAGGACAATAACACACACACAGTTACAAACAGAGGACACTAACCAGGGCCGCCATCAGGGCATGACAACCGTCATCTTCCGGCTCCGGCATCAGTACGCGGCGCGCGAGGGAGCTGAAGAGGAAGCACTCATAGAGTGCTCCCTCGCGCGCCGGCCTGCCCGCCCGCCGCCAGTGTCAGGGGGGGTAGGAGGAATGAAATTCGAGGGAGTGGGGGTTAGGAATGAAATGG